CCATTACCAGCCTGAAACTACAAGCTGGAAGAAATCTTCATGATGGAAGCAAGCTCCTACAGACTTTCATCCAATTTTTCGGCGGCTCCCGATTATACGACTGAAACTCAAAGCAGTTACCACCAAGCGTGAGCACTTTTGACCTTGGCTATATATCTTGTCTCGACTCTCCTTTCTAGGACGATACTACTTTCACTAGTAACGCAAGACCAGCTTCTGGACCCGAGTGCGATGGGTGAAAAGGAACTGGATGGTTTTCACGTCCCTCATCCTGATTTTGTTATACGGCCCGAATATAATGAAGGGCGTTTGTCTGCAGATCTGTTGTGTGGAAATTACACAAGTCGCGTGGAATTTAGTACACTGTAGTTGCTCGCTGGCATAACCCCGCCCGCGATTTATCAGCTCTGATTTTCGCGAGTCCCTTGTTCCGACCTTCACAACTTTGTTCTGACCCTCAAAATCATCCATCAGTGGAGGGACCCTAGAATCATGTCGATGCAGAGGCTTCGACCAGTTCATCTACGAGATAAGGATTCAACAGATGGTGACGTTGAGTAAACTAAACCGTCGTTTATTTTCTTTGTCTAAGATCAACCGCCTGACAAACAGTTGCATCAGTATCATCCTAATTCCCGGTATTAGCATGCTCCCCGTCCGAGAATGGTGGATTTTGTCGCAGCAGTGGACGGCTTTTTTCGAGTCGACAGAATCCCGCGTCAATCTCTTCACCTACGACTATCAGATTACGCTCGACAACACTTTCTCGTTTCAGGCCCTATTAGACAAGGGGCATGACTTGCTTGCTGCTCTCAATCAACACCAGCAGAATGTGAGTTGTTGCTCCAGCGCAGAATGCCTCCGATGACAACGAGGCTGATACCACAAGCCAAAGAACATACGACCCATTCTTTTCGTGAGCCACAGTCTCGGATCTTTTGTCGTGAAACAGGTAACTGCTGGCTTTCTCTATCTGGTTATACCCGGTGTTAATTTGTCAGGCGTTTTGTGTCGCCAACGCCCAGAAGCATTGTTACTCCCCGCTTCTCAATTCTGTCTTAGCAATTGTGTTCTTAGGAGCTTTACATCTGTCCTCTGCCCCCGATCAACTCTCTGAGCGATACATTCGTATCCTTCGATCTATCCCCAATAATATCTCTAAGCAAGGGTTCTCTCGGATCGCAGAGGAGTCCTGGCTTCTTGCCGACATCTCCAAGCTCTTTGACGATACCGAGATTCAGGTGGAAATACTTTCGTTGTACGAGACTGAAGAGACACGGATCCGTGTCGGTATGAGGGAAGGGAAGGGTCTTTTTGGTTCCCACCGGAGCTGCATGGTTTGTCTCGATATCCCGCCAACTGTGCCTTGCTGACGTTATCGTCATACCGCAGCTTTCGGGGCCCGAAGTGTCGAAAATCGGTGCGATTCGAGAGCAGCAGTTTGCCCTCGCAGGGACACACGCGGAACTCCCCAGGCTCCAGCAGCTCGATGGACAGCCTCACTATAAGGTGCAGGAATGGCTGCGGTTTGTACTGAGTAACAATTACAGGCAAGCAGTTGAACGCAGACTCAACCTGGGTAAGCATAAAAACTGCAGATTAGAGCTTCGTCTCTGTTTTGAATTGACTATTGAAACTAACCTGAGTTCCATGAATAGACGTAACAGCAAGTCCAACCATCAGCTTGTCAAGTTTGTCCTCATACGATGCTGCCAGGATTGGTATAGCCTCAAAATCGTAGAAAGTAATGCGTTGTGCTTACAATATTATGTAGCATTGAAAGACAGCAACTACCAGCCAACAAAGGCTAACTCTGGAACCAATGACGCTGCAGCTGGCTCTTCAACCACAAAAGAATGGCAACTGATTCCAATTTTGGACGGATTCAACGCTCCGAGGCGACTTGCAAAACTCCCATGTTTTATGATGGACACCCCAGTTCGAAATAATGCTTTTTTCGGTCGAGAGTCTATCATTGAAGAGCTAGACAAATATCTACTTCCGCAGGGGAAGTCGACACCATTCTCCCTAGGAGATTCGCATCGACGACATGTGGTTCTCTGCGGAATTGGCGGTATTGGTAAGACGTCAATAGCCATTGAATATGTATTTTCTCGGAAAACGAAGTTCGATGCCATATTTTGGATTCGATCCGATGAGGCGTTAAAACTTGAACATGGTGAGTACGACATACTTGACCACACGTTTCAGTTCAAGACGGATTTATGATAAGACTCAGACTTTTGTCGGATCGCCGTGGAGCTTGGTCTTCAGGATGCAAATGAGCCTTTCAACCCTGTTGTATGCCGAGAGCTCACAAAGGGCTGGCTCGAGAATCCGATAAAAGTTCTTGATCAGGAACATGACATTATCAGCCAAGCGGAGGTTCAGTGGTTGATAGTTTTTGACAACGCGGACAGCCCGGATTTGTTGCAGGATTATTGGCCATTGTCATCTAATGGATCAATTCTGGTCACAAGCAGAGACCCGCTCTCCAAGAACAGTCCTTCTATTGCATACAGAGCTATTGACTTAGCCCCCTTGGAGGACCACGAGGGCGCAGAACTTCTTCGACGGCTCTCCCACGTGACCGACGATGTGGAGGTCTCTGTCAAGATTGCGGCCAAGCTGGGAGGTCTTCCATTGGCTATCTCCCAGATGGCAGCAGTGATTCGGTATCAATATCTTTCATTTACGGAGTTTTATGAAAGGTACGAAGACGAGCATGATCGGCGTGAACTTCATTCCTTCGACGCGGTCATTCCTAGACCCGAGGCTAGAGGGAACATTGCGTCTATTTGGGCAGTGGAACAACTGGGGGACCACGCAGCCTGTCTTCTGGAGATTTGTGCAATGCTAGACCCTGACTGCATACAGGAGCGGCTTTTTATTTGCGATTTGAGTGCCGTGCGGTGGCTGGATCATTTCCCAAAGACTTCCTTTGCCTACTCCGCTGCGCGTGCGAACCTGATCAAAAGATCTCTTATCACGCGCAACGCTGATAAGAAAGAGTTCAGGATCCACCGCGTGCTGCAAGACTCAGTCCTATCCAAGATGTCTACTGAAAAGATGCTTCAAACGTTCTCCTTTTCGGTAGATCTTGTACTAGCAGCGTGGGGTCGTACACCACTCGTGCAGAGGCATGCCATAAGCCTGGCCAGGAGTCGTGATGGCCTCTTTCCTCATGCTCTAGCACTGAGACATATGTTCGAAAGACAGTATAAGGCCAAAATCCATGGACCAGGCCTGCAGATTGCGAAACTCATGAATGAGGCAGGTTGGTAAGCGCAAATTAAGCCGTTTCCGGTCATCTGCAGCCACGATACTGATCAGACAAAACGTGCTAGGTACCAACACGAGAGAGGGAATTCGGAAGATATGAAGTCTTTTCTTACATTGGCATTGGAGATTTGCGACCAGACCCCTGGTCCAGAGTCGGCCCAATTGCTCGCTGATATCCACTACGGGTTGGCAGCCGCAGCGAATGAGACCAATGATGGAGCGACTTGCCTCAGTCATACCGAGCAATTACTCAAATTGCGTCTTGAGACAAGTTCATCCACCGGCAAAAGTGACATCCGCCTCGCAATTGCACACAACGAGTATGGCATAGCTTTGGTAATGAACCACGAATATGAGAAGGCTATTGCAGCGTTCACGACTTCCATTGACGTGTATCGTGGACTACTTGACTACTGGCCTTCGATGGACACAAATCCACGCACAAATATGGGCTTCACGTTCTGGGTTATGGGAGACCTAGACCAAGCTTGGCAGACTCTGCGTGATCTTCTCAGTGACCGGGAAATCAAATTTGGTGTTAATGACAGGGAATCGTACAGGTAGGTTGACTCGCTTCAGCGTTTGCAGAGGCATGAAACTCATGAGACTTATCGCGTTCACAGAACTGGTAGAGTGTATCACGGGCTCGGCAACATTTGCTACGACCGTGGCCTATTTGAGGAGAGCGAGAATTGGCACCAGAGAGCACTCTCACATTATCAAAGCACGCTTGGCAATATCCATCACAAGACTGCAGATCTCTGCCATCGCGTTGCTCAGCATTGTCTACGACGCGGTGAAATGGACCATGCTAGGTGGGTTTTCCGGTCAATTTAGAGAGAAGAAGGCGTGCCTAACCATTGTACTAGAACTCTAATCGACCAGGCGTTAAAGATATACAGTCTGAGAGAGTCAGTATATCTCCCTGAGCTTGCCCGCACAACGTTTCTCAAGGCACAGCTCGCCATGAATTCGAGAGAGGTTCTGGAGGCTACAGATCTTTTCAAGAAAGCAAAAGACATGAGATCTCGAATACCACATGCCCCTCACAAGCCAGATGCAAGTCTGAGGGAGTCTGACTTTGATCGACTTGTAACATTCTTTTCTCGGTAAGGCAGGAGATGAGTACGGAGACAAATTGGAGTTTCTCTGCTCTAGTTAGAGACTAGTATGGGCATGTTGATGTTTATTCAAGGCTTTTTTTTGTCATAGCTACAAGGGCAAACAGAGAGGAATGTTGATTGTCATTGTTGAGATCATTAGAAATAAAACAAACTTAATCGTAGAATACCATTGCACGGCCTTCAATACTCTGTCGTGGTGGTTCTCGGTCTGAAGCCAGTGGATTCCAGAAAGAAGCGTGGGGGACACCTAGTATTGTCGTGTCAGAAACTGTACAGACTTTTGGTGATTTTTGGACTCATCCACCTACCCGGGCAAGCTGATTTCAACGAGTCCATCTGCTTAAATACGATGATCTCACTAGGCTCGTGATCGCTCAAGTAGTACCACTTGAGCCCATCCCTGTAGTACATGACTCTATTTTCTGTCGCAAGGTCTGGGTAAAGCAAGTCCGCTACCGCCAGGTCCCTGCGAACATCAATCAAAGATGAATCGCAGAGAACCAGAGGCCAGTCATTGACGGGACCTCGAAGTGGCTTCCAGAAGCTGCGGGTGACGGTAATGAGTATTGGGAGTTGGCGAACACGGAAGGCATCTTACTTGATCCACTGGAATCGCTTCTTCAGGAGGCCATCTGCCTCTTTCCCGTACTGGCGCCGTATCTCATCTATAGTCCCTTCGCGGCTTGTGTCTATAGTTACAGTTGGGCGACCGGACTTAAAAAGGACAAACAGTTGTGCAATCTTACCTACATGAACCACTGTTGTTGGCTGGTCATACTCATACGCCGTTCCGTCTGATACTGGATACATAGGGTGTCGCTTTCGTATCTAGAAGTGCTTATCAGGAACCAAGTGCCGGAGGTAAGGGGGTAGAAACTGTACACCGTAACGAAAAACATCTACCCGACTAGCACCAAGATGAGCTTTCAGCACTCCTTCCATCAAGTGAAGGTACTGTGTGACCTCCTTCTGCTTGAAAAAATCGTCATACTCGAGGCCAGTGTTGACCTTGAGAATGGTGAAGCCATTGCGCTCGAGCTGAAATTGATCTTCCCGTCCCCGCATATTCTCGACGGTAATACCGTTTATTTTTTCATGTGTCATGTTGCTCTGGGGGCAGCCATTGTAGGGTGGGAATTTAAACGTATAGGGCCGCTGTTGCTTGTGCAGTTCGTCCGGCGTCAGGAAAAACAAGCTGGCCTGAACTGTCGAGCAGGAGTCGTCCATCGGAAGAATAAGTTCCTGTTTGTCTGCTATCAGATCTGGATTCAGCAGCAACGATGGTGAAGAGCAAACAGCACAGCTTCCGATCAGCTGTATCTGATCCCTCACCATCCAGGCGAGGTCACTAACGAATTCTCTGCTTATAGCGCGTGACCGCGGCTCAAAGTTGTGGGCGAGGCTTCGTCCTCACAGGAAGTCAACCCATGCAACTCTGCCCAACAGCCCCAACACATCATTTGGCATCATTACATGGCTCCACAAATGCCACATCCTTATCGAGAGCATGGAGTGAGGCTTTGCTGCGGGGTCTTGTGCGAAATACCTCACTTGATCAAATCTTCCTTCTCAGTCATGGCATTTGCCACCAATTCCTAGGAAGAGGGTAACAGTAAATCAAGGAATATTACATTCGCCGCACTCTGCATGTTATTCCCTCAGCTGCATATAACCTAGCTTTAGATGGAATTGTTGCTTATCACAAATTAAGCTGAAATCGTAAATGGATAGGTATCAAAGTTTGCTCCCCATTTTCACCGGCCCACAGCGCGGCACGGCACGGCACGAAAGTAAAATTGATTAAATGCACTTTTCACCCCACCATCTTACTGTCATTTAATGCTACACCCATGACCATATCATGCGGGTAATATGATCTGGACACGTACTTGTTCATCATTTGTTGTGACATCGACATCGACAAGACAAACATTCATGGTTGTCGGTGTCAAAAGTGGGGTAAATCGGTGGCCAGGGCTTGCAGCGCTAAACAATGCTTCTCCGCACACCTGCGAAGAAAATGGCACAGTCCCCCGTCACGTTATCTTCACACTATGTATGTACTTATTGGGGCACTCCCCGTCGGAAGAACAACATCTTGTTAAGTTCTGTGACAGCCTCCATTAAGCCTTCAAGGACACCGCGCATCGAGTGGTATGCATATCCTTATATTAGGTCCAATATGCAATCTTATTCTTAACCTGAGTGTCATAGATTTATCAGCATGAGCTCTCTTCAAGATCATCCCGATGTTATCAATGATCCTCTTTCAGAAGATGAGACATCCGAGCCTGTCCCCTCCGAAGGCGAGGAGTTAGAGCAGAAAGACACGCGCGAGCGACCCTGGAAGGGCTTCTGGCCCCCTCCACCTAGCAGCAAACCTGGATACCCATACGACGTGAAGCCGGGCGACATTGTTACCATTATGGGCAACTGATAGAAGTAGGATGGTTGAACGAGTTCATATTGAGGAAATGCGAAATGCCGCTGAGCAGCGGGCAGTATATCAGATGTCAATTAGCTTTTCTTCTGGCGAGATTCTGCTGTTACCCTCTTTCGGATCAGTCGTTACAGAATGAGATACATTGCCTTTCTCCATTGTATCATTCACTGTGTTTCAATCTAAGTTATGTCATACCATGAAAGCTAAATAACTCTCCAATATAGCTTTCCCCAAACAAATAGTTCATTCAAACATCCTCCGACCTGTTTTGACTTCACAAGGTCGGCCGGACTTTTGGAGAACTGTCTTCATTGCGTTGATCAATGCCATGTCAGAGCCTGAGAGATATTGTCAGTACCCAACATATAGAAAATGGAAAAACAAACAGCACCTGGTTTTCCCAAGACAGAAACAACAACTGGGAGTTGCTCATCCAAATCACTGATACGAGAGTGATACTCCAATTCGCCGACTAGATCTGCAATTAGATTTCCAGTATTCCAGAGTGGAGTTTTCTAAGGGATATCATACTTGGCACCGAGACTTCAGGCGCCCCCATCACTGGCGCTAGCCAGATGCTATCAAATGCATTTGGGGCGGTCGGTGGCCTCCAGATGTATGAGCAATCTTCAATTAGAATGCATCATGACTAAAACTCACAAAGGTGGATCCTCTTTATAGTCCACTTCTTGGCTGGTGATGGGCAGGATGACAAGAGGATTTCTCTGACTTGTCTGCAATATATGCTTCAACAGCCACTCCTTATATACTTCGAGACGTCTCATTCCGTCTTCATGTTCTGCGCATGAGATATGCTTGGCAAGGTCCCTCCGAGTCTGTCAGCAAATGCTCCATAAGGGTTTCAGATCGCTAATATTTCACAAACCATCGGAAACGCGTCACAGGGTTAATATAAGGCTCCCGGCCAAACTTTTTATGGTACTCTTCTCTGAAGCTGTCCATTGTGTGATAAGCATCGTATACAAAGGTGTTGATCCCAACCTAAACCTCCCAATCAGCATAGTGTCTCTTCAAAGCTGCTGGATGAACTGCATGATAGGCTCACATCCTTCAGATACTCCTGAACTGTGTGGTTCCCAGCCTCGTTTGGTGGAGAAGCTTTCCAGGTGTCAGCTATAGAAACCTTTTCCGTTTTGATACCGAACGTGGCCTCCAAGTCAGCAATGAATGAATCAATCAGCTGCATCTGCTCCGTGTTTGGAATTGGCAGAAAATCAACAGGGTAGACAATTGAAATGGGAAGCTAAGTTCGTTAACGCATGTGCAAACCATGTCCACTGTTGCAACTTACATCATCGTAGGTAGCACTCGTCTGGTTGAGCCAAACACCGACCCATTTCTCTAAAGAGAGAATACTTCTCGTGTACATGGCAGGTGAATCAAATCTCCTGAGATCGATTAGCCAGTTCCATCCGCAAGGAAGTCCGGAAAACGTACGGAAAAGAGGGTACTGCATTGTCCAAGGGAATCAAGTCATGAGTAAGGCGGATCTGGAAAGCTCCATTTGCCATTGCGGGCCGCCGACTGCTTCCTGTTGCTGTGGCATAATTGTCAGCCATGCCGGGTCCTCTGGTCATATTGCACCGAGTCAAACCCACTGTCTGTGCCAAGAGTGAAGTCCATCCAATCATACGAAGCAATGGCCGCGCCGCTTCCACCGCTGCTGCTCCAAGCAGACTGATAGCCATCTGCTCGTGGATTGAACGGCGCATGATAATCGACAGATTCTGTAGGCTCCTCTCGAGCGATCAGTGAGCCTAGTTTGAGGGTACCCAGGAGCTCGGCTCCGGCATCAATCAGTCGCTTAACTGCTGGGCATGTTACCGTTGCCGGCTTGGAGAGACTGTAGAACGCCCGATCCCCTGCTGTAACCCGGAGCCCTTCGACTTCGAATATGTCTTTAATGGCAAATCTCACCCCACCAAGTGGCTTGTCATCTGCAAGGACCCCAGGTATACGAGAGCTCACTGCAACTCCGAGGCTTGTATAGAAGTCACCACTGACATGGAGATTTTTGAAAGGTCTGTCAAAATGTTATCCTATTGAACTGGAGTACTGCAGTCTCCCTTGCGGCTCTTTTGGAGTCACATTGACGTACCCTGGGGTAATCGGAGGCTGGATGGCGACCATGAAAGCCCCATTTACGTCATCGTATATCCTGTAGACAGTGTAAAGCTTCCCGTATGAGACCATGCGAGGACCTGGGTGTAGCTGGCCGCCAACCTCCTTGTTGAATGAGATCCACCAATCTGGCTTCCACTCCTTGGGCAGGCTTTCGATAGACGCTGACAGATTCGACTGAATGCTGTTGTCTTCCGTCACAACAATGATACCCGCAAGAAACTCTGGTTGGAATATATCGTCGATATGTAGCCAGGCCTGGATTTGATCGTGGAGCCAGGTTGAATTCGCCGTCTCCGTGGGGCCCAGTCGAAAAACGGTGGCAAGGGAGGTGATAGTGGTTGGTAGGTCCAACTGTGATTCATGAATTAGTTAAACGACTCATGAGTTAATCGGAGCATAGACATGCCTCCAACTCTGGCAGTGCGAGGAAGCGCTTATCTCCCAGCTGAAAAAAGGAGTGATGCTCAATCACTGGGACAGGCGCCGTGGCGTAAGTGCCCTGCGGGAAAGCCATTGGTTGAATAACTCGACCGCCACCCATTGCGAATACACTTCTCAAGGATGTAATTAGAGTGCTAGCAGGTCTGATGGAGTGGATTTTGGAAAGCATAGAAAATGCGAAGAAATGGAATCGGATCTTAATATGAAATGGGTCTTCCAAGGTTCGGCTCGCGGGTTGGCCCGTGACCCCACCCGAACTAGGCATTAACCGGCGCCCCACACAACTGTGACAAGAATATGCAGTAGTTCGTTGTGCTAGCATTGCTACCCTAGTCACCAGGATATGCTAATCATGAGGGGTGTACAACTTGCAGCACTGACGCCTCCTTTTCATACTAACCCAGACCACCTGGGTCCGGGCGACTCATGAAAAGTATCATCTTCTGCATCGGATGTGTTGCCGCTAACATAACAGGACACATATTGAAACCATCTCCCTCACAGACTTAGCTCCTACGGCAATATGGTCCAGTCCGCAAGGCAGACGGCGGGTGAACCCCGTGAACGACAGCATGGAGAAGCCCAAGGCGTGAAGCGACGTGAGAAAAAGCGACGTGAGTATTGACGAAGGTACAATATGAAGTACATATTACTGACTTCCGTCATTAAAGGCCGGCCTTACATGCGGGATGAATATGCACAGGCAATTCTGTTATATTCCCAACAATCTGTGACGCGGTCCCTGTACGCGGGAGTTCATTTTGAGAATCTGGCCCGTTACTTGCAGCAGCCATACGAGGCACAAGTACCGGATCTGGTCGCCAATAAACGCGACGCAAATATTGACCCGGCCTTCAACTTCGTCACGTTCTATAATCTCGATCCCTCCACAGATACACGAGAAACTTACATTAATTCGCCGGACGTCTTTGAGAACAAGGCAAAGGAATTGGCCGATTCTCCCTACGGTCGCTTGATATTCATGAGGGGCCATCCGTCGCCAGAATGGCTGCTGACAATCGGCGCAACATATCAAGTTGACCCTGAATTTTTTCGGAGACATCTGGACTTTCGGCACGGTCTGCGAGACCATTATTCGTTGCCCTCGCTGCCATCCACGCTAAGTACCGCATTCACACTACGTGTAGCGACGATAGGCGCATCTGTCGCAAAGACGAAGACAGACTCCGAGCAAGACACCATAGAAATACTCCGCGAGGAAAATAAGCTACAGCTCAACGAATACCGGGAAAAACTCAAAATTCTCACCCAAATGAAACTTGGTGACTCAATAGTGCGGGACTTGTCTATCCATGACCTCCAACAATTTTCTATTGAGCAAGATATCTCGCTATATGTGGGCACATGTGGGGCAGGATGGTTCGGTGAGTGTTGCTTGGTATAATTTCATTGTTGACAAAGGCTAAACTTCTCTCTGTCCGTATCAAGCTTTGATCTGGCTCGACACAACCAGCAATTTGAAGGAAGGTGCAACCTCGTTTCTTACCAGCCCACTGCGGACGGGATCCTGGATGATATCCTCGGTACCTGTAATCCAGCATCGGGCAGGTCTTGCCCTTAGACAGCCTCGCAAGCTTCGGGAACGTGCCGCAGAAGAGGCCGACATGGATGGCCCCAAGCCCTCAGAAAGAATGGTGCAAAGTGCATGCCTTCTCCATCTTGATTATGGCCTTGACCTAGACAAGGCCCTTGCTGCAGGGAACAGCTTCTACGCTCTGCATGAGATTCTGGTATTTGCAGCCTTTTCGGAAAATCAGTTTCTTAATATGCTTGAAACGAAACTACTCAACGAACTCGACCCCGCGTTTCTGGTCCAACAGAGAAACCCGACTTTGTCTAATCTGCTCTACCACCAACGGGTATTGGACAGACATATCCAACGAATCAAGGATAACCTGGCCGCATTCAAAGGCAAAGGATCTCTAGGATGGCCCGGATCGACTTTAGAGCCAGAAAAGCAACGAATTGTTGACGATGTTGCTGAAAAGCTTATTGGTGATTATGAATACCTACTTTCTCGTTCATTGACTTTATCCGGGCAGTGCAGCCGCGGGATGCAGGTTGTCATGAATAACGCCATGATCAAGGAGTCCCGCGATGCCATGAGTCAGGCCGAAGGCGTGGTAAAGCTCACACGCCTCGCTTTTATCTTTGTACCGCTCACTTTCACTGCGTCCTTTTTTGGCATGAACTTTGCTCAGTTTGGACAAGGAGACCTCAACATATGGATATGGTTCGTTGTTTCAACACCTGTCTTTATACTATCGCTGCTTTTGATGAGGTATGGTTTTCCTGGCAATGTCTCGAGAACATCCAGAAAACCAGGTACGTGGACACCCAGAGTCGATTCCAATGGCACTGAATGTGGACCTTGAGTCATGGACACAGCCGCGCAGGTGATCACATTGCGGGTTCTCTGGGTAAAGTTCGAACAATTCACTGCTGAATCTCGCTAAGAAAGCACCTAATTTGTCTCTTAATTTGGTCCCGCTTCGCTGGGTGGTCCTTTCTCCTGCGGCCCAACTACATCATCTCTCTAAGCGCCCGCTCAGGTTTGCAATAAGCAAAATGCACAGGTCACATTGCCCTCAAGTGCTATGATTCTTTGACCTTGCCGCATACATACTTGAGAAGGGGAAATCTCTCTGCATAAAGATACGACTCTTTCATATCCCGCTTAGCCCGCGGTCAGATCTTAGACCAAAGCCAATAAGTATAGCCGAGGCGATGAACCTGTACCGAGCAGCGAGTTAAGGTAACACCGACGCCTTAAGAGCTACGGCCGAGCCAGGCCGTGATGTCAACAACCGCGCCCTCCCCCCCAACCAAAAATAGAGAGGGGAAGCCTCCTCTAGTTTGCTATACAGAGTGGTCAGGCAGATGCATGCAGATTTCTTATTGCTCGAGAGCTGCCATAGAGGCGAAAAAATCACAGAACCCTCGAACTAGCCATTTAGGGAGCACGCATAGAGATTGTAACAATGCTGTGGCCGCACTATAATGTAGAAAAGGAATATCGCGCCGTTGACGGCGCCATCTGACTAGGCTTTCATGAAATTGCGGACTTGGTAGAAACCGGAGGATTATATATTAGGATTTCTAAGTCACTAGCCCCGAATTACTTGTTGTATTGATCTTTCACCTCGAGACACTATCCAATTCTACGCATACATGAGACCCTCACATCCTGCCAGTTGGCTCCTGGGAGTACACAGGCCCAACCACGTCTTCAACAACGAAGCGATGATAGGATTGAAAATTATTCGCTAGTAGAAGGGAAAGCAGCAAATATCCGACGTATGCAACGACTACAAAATGCGGCAATTGAAAGAAGACTTGACAATATTGCGAAAATGGCCGAGGATATTGAGCAATCACTTATCCAGAAAGCCGCTCGCCGGGCGAAGTTAAGTCAGCAGATCGATGCTCAAAAAAGAAAAACTGAGAGGGCACAGCGCAGCTAGCAGCAGCGAGATGACGCAGACCGAAGAAGAAATGAACGTGTACACAGTCAGCAGCAGATGGGCAAGAATAAGCTCGAACCTCCCCACTAACGCAGGCCCACTCGAACACAGCCTAGACCTAGAGCCTAGCTAGCAAATGACATCAAAGGATTTGACGAACCAGTATTCTAGTTGTAATAACTTACAAGGGCCCACCGGTATTAGCCAGACTACCGGCGGGGAGAAGATCAGATCGACTCATAGAAAACTATTCTGATAAGTATGGAGAGGACTGTTTAAGATTGGGACATCCATGGAATTGGGCCATCCGTGTGCTAGCCTAATCCGGGTTAATTCATCGTTACATCCATTTACTGCGTGGCAATAGCGGTACATTAGCTTAGCTACCTATGCCTATTCCCTGCCATTAGATATTTTCCTCTATGATTTCTCATCAATGATTTATAGTTTCTTATGGATTATTAGGTAGACGGAAGGTATACATCGAAGAGAGGTCGTATCGCACACCTCATTTCGTTGGTCTCAGTACCTGCGAAAAGGACACTCGTCTCCCCTGAGGCCAAAATAGCCCCGGTTTTGCAGGTTGTTCTGAAGCTCGCGGAATTTGCTCTTTTTCGCTTTCTTCTCGAACAGAATGTCGATCTCAAGGTAGCTCAAGCCGTAGGTTTCCGGTAGTCTCCAGTAGCACCAGATCAAGCACAAAAGGGTCGTCCCCGCGAAAAAGAAACAGGACTTGCCCTTCCAGTTCCACTCGTCGGGACTCAGCATATTTGGCGTCATCCAGTTGATGAGCACGCCGGACAGGTTGTAGGCCACGCGGGCCAGAACGACGGTCTTGACGCGGAGCCGGGTTGAAGGAATCTCGGCGACCAGCACGTAGCAAATTGGCCCGATGGTGATGTTGTAGACGAACGTCAGGAAAACAAGAAGAGAGCCAAGAGCCCACAAGTGCCATTGCGCGGTTGAAGCTAAGCTGACACACCCTGCAGTAAGTAGAGTGAGGAACAGGAACAAAAGTCCAAAAAGATAGAGTCGGCGGCGACCCACGCGGGGCATTAGAAACCAGGAGATTACACCCCCAGCAATTGCCAGGCCAAACGTCCCGACTGTTAGACTGAAAGCCTGGCTGGTGTCGAATCCAGCCTGCTTGTAATAGTATGCCGACCAGCCCATCAGGCTGCTGCCACACACTTGCTGGGTGACCCAGACGAAGCATGTAATCTCTGTTCGGCGAAGGTCGACCCGTTTGAAGCAGTCCAGGTACGAGATGGCGCTGCCACCCGTCAGATGCTTTTCGACTTCGTTGGTATGTGTCAACATGGCGGCCGTCTGATCCACGCTGACGCCGCTCCGCGTCAGCCGTGCCAAAGACCGTTTGGCCTCTTGCGGTCGGTCGTGCCGGATCAACCACCAGGGTGATTCGGGGGCCAAGATCACGCCGATCAGGATGGGCAAGCCGATGGCCCACTGGAGGCCAAATGGAAGGCGAAAGGACAGTGTGGACTCGTTGTTGGCGAATGAACGAGTCACACCCGTCGCGAGGAGCTGGCCCAGTACCCAGCACATATTGATGCTGCTGAGAAGGTATGCGCGGAGCGCGACTGGCATGACTTCGGCGGCGTAGTTGATAGTCAGGGTCTGAAAGACGCCCCATGGGATTCCACACATGATCTGTCCTGCAAGCAACATCTGCAGATTGACCGCGAAGAAGGGCAATAAGATACAGAAAAAGAGAACAACGAGAGCGGCAGATATAGTGATGCGATATCCGACGCGATCAGCCAGCAGACCATTGAGAAGCAGTCCAACAATCTGCCCTGCCTCTGCCCCAGTGGACAGACCAAACTGCCAGCGAGCAGGAATTTCATAGTCGCCGTCCTTGCTTGGCACGCCATAGTGTCGTTTGAAGGCCGGAAGTGAGAAGAAAGCAAATATGAGTAGAGTGTCGAACCCTTCCATGATGAGGGTAGAAGAAACGACCACCGACCACGCCATCGCCTTGGGGTATAGCCGGCAACCATCCAAGAACTTGATTTTGCGTTCTGCTTTTGCCGCTTCCCTAGCTCCAGAATCCAGCCGGCGCAATCCGGGAATTAGAGTAGAGAGACCATAGAAAAGATCAGACTCGGATGACCGAGCGGTAGAGGAAAGCAGGCCATTGGTACTATTGATATCGCACCCCCAAACATCATATAAACCATACGTTGTCTTGTGGGTGCTCGATACCGGCTCGAGATGATATGAGCCTGGCTCTTTTGGGTCAAGGGTGGAGGGGGAGATCGTGGCCTGTGTCGGCAATTGTTGAAGCGGACATGGCGGCTCGGAATAGGAATCAGTGCTGGAGTTCATTCCTGCGATTTTGATATGGATTGTTTGGTGTCTTCCGCCGCTACACATCCAGTGTTGTTGTTCACATCCTGCATAAAGCTATTGACCGGTTTCAGTCTCAGTGTCGATGGTGAAATATATAAAAGGAGGAATTGGAATCTTTTACAGAAGTGGCTGTTGCCTCGACTCGCGCCATCAGAGAATATTACATGGTTTGAGCACCATGCAGCTGGCGGATTATTGGGCGTGTTTGACAGCCCCAAATCCTTACTCATGAAGAGCACCAAGGAAGACATCATATTAGGTTTCGGGTGAGTTTTGGCAGACCCGAAAACGTAAACATGAGGGGGAGCAAAAAGAGAAAATAAAAAAGGAAAAAAAGGGGGATTGGCTTAGATTCAGCTCCTGAATGGTGACATTACGCAGCCAAGTGTAAGCTAAATGTCTGTCTTAACTATGGGCCCAATAGTACGACCGTTATTCGGGGTATAGTTGTGTACGGATGCTAGTCAGCCTTTCTCTTCCGTTGGGCCAGATCTTCTGCAGAACCTGTTGTGGCTTGAGCGGCTCTAATCTTCCGAGGAGTAAGGTGGCCCCTTCTAGTCAGCGAACCATCTAAGATTTAAGGATCTCATGTGTTGAAAGTATAATTCAGACTGTGAACAATTTTGATAGAGGACGGTGATGATTACTATTTGATAGCAAAATGAGACATGTCTTCTGCGTTCTCGATAGTTCAATCGCCTTGACAAGCGGAACTAGGTGGCAATGGGCCTTTCACCTATTAGAACGTTGACTGCTCTCCAGGTTTAATCGAGAAATTGATCTCCACCTTCGACTCTGCTCTGGTTGTCTTCCCATGTGGCTCGTAAGTGGAACCATCCGGGGTACCTTAAGCGAGGATCCGATTCTTGACCTGTTGATTGGGCATTAAAGGATTGGGACAGCTGTACAAGATGCCTTAGCCGCATAATGCTTCCCAGTTCGCATTGGTTACTGCTTTTAAGTTTTATCAGCCAACCCAAAGATATGAAGGTCCAGACCCGTGCAGGTGCATGGAGTGCTGATGGCGTTAGGATATGGGTGCAACAAATATCGGAGGTATTTCATTTGACACGGAAATAACTTTAGACTTCGAAACCATTGCGATCCTCAGTCGAGGTTGTAGTTGTACGCAGGAATGCTGTGCGAGTGCCCAGGAATAGTTTGAAGCTCGAAGCCTCGGCAGACTGCCTTGTTCTCTGCATCGCGTCGCTATGCCGATTTGGAAACGGAGCATTAGTGTTGACACAATGGTGGACTTGACGACACTATCATTCTTAACTAGACACAGAGGCCTATCTACGTGTTGGTTTAGGCGAGACGTGACTAATGCCGACAAAAATTAAATAACCCCATAGACTGTAAAGACCAGGAGAATGCATTTCTCCCACCTAAGGCAGAGAAAGTAGCCTTCTGATAAATTCTATCTTACAAATTTCATAACAGAGTCCAGAAGTCTGAAGTGGATTCGCCGAATAACTACTGGTCCGCAGCTTATTCAAATGCGACGGAACCCAATCAATCTGCACTAACAATGATGATTCAACGTCCGTGCATTGCTGCTCTGGTTGGGTCAACGTCACCCGTTGGAATGGACGGATCAGGTGGCGAACCTAGCATCAGTCTCAGCTGCGCTCAGGCTGGTTCCGAACAGCCCAGCATGGTAGATGATCTGCCCGGTCCATGGCAACACATCATCTCCCAAACCCCTCCTCGAACCAAGGTAGGGTGATCGGTCTTTTGACATGCGACTGCTCTTTTGACCGCCAGTCATTACAAGCTCACGGGTACCTCACCTACGCCCCTATAATTTTACTTTGAACTCATTTTAAAGAGTTGTAAAGAAAGTGTCATCCAGTACTATTGCAAACACGGGACTTTCCTACAGCGATCAGACTGCGCATCTCTACGTTGAGTTACAATCAAGACCAAATGTGTGAAGTAAGAGTCAAAATGCATTGTGTCAAGTACTCGAAATATTGGTTCTGAGGTGTCACGATTCAGCGGCAAGCCCAAACAGCATCATACGGTATTGGTGCCTACCAGAATATCGACTGAATGAATGATTCATGCATCAGGCCAACCTCTTCCAACGTCGAGTCCAGTTGAATCTCACTGGCTTTACCTGCGAGTTCCTCTTCCGAGATGGATGTAATAATCTTCTGTTCTGCTTGAGATATCGAGTCCAGCAGCGCATACAGGATATTTGTATGCCCGACGAGACGGCGTAGATCGCAATCGCAACGGGAAATTTCGACGTCTAGCTTTCTCTGGCAGATGCTCATCAGGCTAGAACGATATGCCTCCATAGATCAGTGTATATGGAAGCATACGAGGTATGCTTTAAGGTACAGGAGATCGGACACGCAGTAGAATTTGCATCTTAAAAGCGTGCTCTGCAGATATCTGAGGTGCAGAATGACTCGTCACATCCGAATTATATAGCCTAATATTATCTCCTAGGAAAATGAACAGTGTTGCATGATTTCCCGTCAGGAGATTCTGGTCTCTTCGTCAAGGTCGTACAGAAATTGATGTAACCATGGACATTAATTGTATTACACTGGTTGAGCATATGTTTTCGGCTGAGGCACATGCACGTTTGCGCCTGTTCTAAATTCTGGGGAATCATAAGTACAAGAATGTGGAACATTTATTAAACGCCTCGAACCTAAACCCAAAAATATACGGTACTGTCCTATGAACCACTGGAAACAGGCTTTTTGCCACAAGCTGACACCACGGTTCGCAACCACGAACAGGAGACTGTAGCAACTGATGTCTGCGGAATGCTCTGGGCCTGCCCGTTCTATCTACAGTGACCTGAGAAACCATCATCCACCGCGAGTACAGCCACAGACATAGCCACGGCCACAACCACGGCCAGGCCGTCAGAAAGGATTCGTGGCGCTTGGAGAGGTCTGTGCCTTGTAGTATGTCAAGGTCTGGTTCCATTGGTATCTAGTAGTACCTTGGATCAAACATCACTGGAGAAGGACAAGCAGCGGAAAGCTCATTCAAATGTGCGTTAGACACAAAGACGATGTCTAGCTGATGTGCAACAAGATCTCGAGATGGGGGCAAGTGTAAGATGATCACCATGGAGGGCAAGCAGTTTATCACCTGAGTGTCTGCTACACATCATCCAGGTGAGTGATGCGGTGTTTCCAACCTGATGAATCCTCGCCAACTAGCTGAGTACACGAGACCTAGTCGTGCTTCAACTGAATGCTGTAGCAGGGCGGTCTTACTGCTTTAATGAACTCCTTTGGGATTTGCCTTTCCCTTCCGTCCTCTTTGGCGTTGCCTTTTTACTTTTGTTCATAGGTGGCACCGCCTGAGTGCAGTCATGCAGTTTGTGGACATCAATCCAAGCCGTATCCAACTACTGCCTATTTCCTTTTAATCAGTCCGCAATGAATATCCGAATTCATTGTGCGCAGGGGCAGATACTAACAATAATGTGAGCGTCAGGTCTCCGGAGATCTTCGCTTTTAGCTGAACCTCCAAGTCCAGGTTCAAGTCCAACCGCAATTTCAACGGTTCATCCTTCTCCTTCTTTAACTGTTCACTTTGCTCTGACGGCCTCCCGAGAACTCGTCCAGTGGTATCTTTAACCGTTCCCACCACGCCCTCAGTTCTATTGAGCACCAAATCGCTGGACTGTCCGACTGTTCTCCCAGCACTGTCAATGGTGTTTGACTGAATGAGGGCTTGGTCGCCGCGTCGGCCGCGTCTCAGTCTCTGGCGTTCAGCAGCAACTGGAACACCTTCACCCTCGGCCACGTCGCGTTCCTCCTCCTCGTTACGGAAAGGCTTATTCCGAATAGTCTTGCGTTGTCGTTGAGGGACCGGTTGGAGTTGAGCCTCGATGGCGGAAGACTCTTCTTCCAACGCGTCCTCAAAGTTCGATTCCTCCTCAGACGTCTTAAAAACGACAGTTTCTCTTTGAGTGCTTAGCGTATCAACAATTGGTTCCTTCTCTACTTCCTCGGCGAGACCATGAGATGGCGGTCGTTTATGTCTTAGTTTGCGTGGTTTTCTTCTCTGTGGAATAGGTTTAGAGGCCAAGTGGGCATCATTTACTTCGTTAGGCTCAACCATTGCGATTGAAAGCACGAGTTGATCACCAGGAATTTATCATTAAGCTGATAGTGCAAACAGTAGAGCCAAGTATTATAGTAATCGCCTCATTGATCGTTTCCTAGTATTACGGCAGGGTTTGCCGCTATGAGTCTATGACGTCCTTAGCTTCTACCCCACATTATCTTCAAACTTGGATCCATCGAACTAAGTCTGGGTGTGGGTTGAATCTGGGTCAATCCGAATTATCAGATGGTTAAAACCATGGATTTAATATGTGGATTTCGGATCGACCCATCACGTACTGACCCACCGACCCAGAAACCATGCGGGAATGCGGATGCATATCCACCGTACCCAGTGTTCTGATTACCGAATATCAGTGGATGCAATGAGTGGGTAGTTGGATTCCGCCCCAGCATTAGGCCGTCGGGATGTGCTCGTGGCCGAGCCCACGACAGCGGGATCCTTGACTGTTACAGGCTGATTTGGATGGGCTCTAGATCCATCAGGAGCGCGATCGGAGGCTAGTACGATATCTCAGTAAAGTGTAAATTAAAGTTGTAATGGCTTCGAATGGCTGCCTCACTAACTTGTCGTTATTGGATTTTCAGGAGATTTCCAATCGCTTCCTTTTCTATCTGTTTCTGAAATTATGCTGTCATGGTTGTCTGCTGCGGTTGTGCCTGTGATAGGAGCTGTCGCAGCACAGATCGGACCGAGGGATTCGGGGCCTGTGTGGTAGTCAGTACTATGCAGATGAACGCTCATGCGTATCAGGATGGGCGTACGTGTTTGTCAATTAGCAGCATAGCCGGTGAGCCTATACGAACCCATAGCTACGGGAAATGTGATATTCCTAGCACATTCTAGAGGTATCACAAGTCCAACACCGTTAGTCTCCACAACTGCACCTTCCACTAGCACGGCTTCGTCGACAGTACCCATGTTGTCCACAACTTCGTGCTCAACTTCGTACTTACCCCCATCCAACTGGCAGTGTCTCCTTTTCTAAGGAGGAAGCACTTAAATGCAACATTAACAGCAAGGCCAAGTACTTAGCAGACATAATTACCTACTATCAGCCGGTCCTAACTAACAACATGGATGTTGATATTGTCTTTGATTAGCTGCAGCACAGAGGCTTGAGAATGCTCCAGACCTGGGTTTTAATAATATTAACTCCATACTAAGCGCTGCAACTGTATATTTCCAGTTACACGACCCTTCTACCGCACTATGACCATCTACACCAGCACAGATAGCCTCCAACGGCTCAACTACGTGGTATCCGCGGCCCGGAAAGATGACGTAAAGCTGGGTATCTGTTCGTGAATAATGTGGAATATAGTGGCCTAGATCTTTATGTCAAAGCGTATTTCTGGGCATATCACCTTGAAGAAGATAAATGAATCGCCATCATGGTCGATTTCCCCCCTGAGTAATGAGTTTCCAAGATAGATAAAGTCAAGTACGCCCCAATGAATCCGCAATATCCAAGATATGACTAGTAAAATTACCTAGTCTTGGAAGGAGAGACCTGTTCTCGACTGCAATTAAGGGTCATATCTTGCTAGCCTGGAGTTGTAGTTTCAGGCTCGTGTCAAAGAAAAGGGTCCTTTTCTGCGTCAGCCTAGTTCATCGCATTCACCAAAAATGACGATTTAGTAAGGTACCTCTGGGATGAAGAAGTGGCCCATATCCAGTCCAGCATAGGTCCTCGCAGAGATGCGTAGTTGACCATCTGGATATTCGGAAGGAAAAATGGCATTCTTCCAAATGCGATATACTGGGCCATATTGACAGTGAGCCAGTACAGTCTATCGAAAAGAACTTGTTCAAGAGTTGAAAGAGCGGAGTGAATTCTGAAGTAAAAATTATGGGTGCAGAGTATCTTTGTATCGGAAAATACTACCTTGTCAGGTACAAGCCTTGAGCATATTTGCGCGACTATCAAGGTAATTATAAAGACTAGGTTGTGGAAACTATGCATAATCAGCTTACAATAATATTAAGCATATCTGGGTGAGTTATGCAGGTGCTAGCCATCCTTATACATGCATAAAGACTCTACTAATTCTAGAGAGCAGTGAATGACAACACAAACAACAGACCTCTCTGGCTCTTTTAGCACTTCCTCGCGAGCAATAAACACTAACCATCTCGCGTCATTCATCCATCTAGTCTATCTCCCTAATTCCTTACTTCTTGAAACCTAAAGAAGAAAAGATAAAGAGCTACAGTCACCATGGATCTGAAGAATGAGTCTTCTAACTCTGCTTCTGGCGACGGTCAAGGCAACGGAGTGAAAATGTCAACTTCCTTTCACGGTGGAACTCGCCTCAATCTGCCTTTCTACGGCCAGAGCACTGACTCCATCGCTGTATACGTCCTTACACTCGTCGTGTTCTTCTTCCTTGCTTGGTGGAACAGGTACTTGGTCGCCGTCCGGGATAAACTTGAGAACAAGATCATCGAAGCGCGTGCCCTTGAAGCCCTCGGACAACTTTCCCTCCACCGACGCAGAACTCGCTTCAAGGCTCGCCTCAGTCCTCTTCCAAGATTCGTGCGGATCAACAGGGAGGATCATGCTCACGCTCACGCCGACGACGAACCAATCGAGATGCTCGCACACCGCGCTGAACGGGTGGGCAGTCATGAATCCACCACTAATAACCTGTCCCCGATTGAGTCGACTGCACTGAAGTCGGTCTCGTACTATGTCTGGATGCGAGCATTAGTGGAGATACTCAGGGCTCTTATCGCGTTTGTCTTGTGAGTTTCCCGTTTTTCGGTATTGACGCACTCTGACATGTGTATTTCCAGAATGGTAGGAGTCATGAGTCTCAATATCGGTGTTCTCTGTGCCGTACTCGCAGGAGTCCTCGCGGGGGAGCTGATCAAAGGATGGCTACATGCGCCAGCTTGAAGACGGGAGGTTGCCACAACGGCTAGACGTCGGTCACCATCACACGGGGCTTGGCCTTTCGAGAGTCACAACTATATCACCGGAACCTCTGAGTTGCAATTATTATCACGGACATTCGAAGAGCAAACGAGGGCGAGGAGGCACATGTACCTATCTTCGGATACTCCTTCCATAGAGAATTTCGGTTGTGTGTGGAGATCAGCACCTAAGGTTGCAATACTCAATGATTGACAGATAGGGTTATTTAGTGTCGCCGGCTTCGTTCACACATCGCGATAAACCTCGTCATGTCGAGTCATTGTAGTATCCATCTCTTGCCTTAAAGGAGGTCAAGCGCTCTTGGCTGATAATCCACTCCGACAGCGAAACCACTGGAAAGGACGGCGATTACGAAAAAGTTATCAGAATAGAGTCTTGACTGGGTGCCTTTTATCTAATATTTTTCGCGACTACTGCTGCCAAGTAGTCTAGATGCTGTAGGGCTACTTGTCTGCTGTGGGGAACTGCTCAAATCTGCTCATTTCTGCTCATGATGGGACCCGCTACAAAGATACTGATTTCCGAAGGATCAACGCGAAAGATCATGACATCCTAAAACCTTAAGTTTTGACTCTTCCCCCGTGGCTATCATCATGCTGCACAGACTTTCTCCTTTTTCTTCTGTTATCTGTTGGTTGAGGACTGGTCAGAGTCAAGACACAACCTAAACTGCTCCGCCATCGCGATGAAGTTGTCGCAATACCAGCGAGCAGCGCAGATCCTGCTCTATCTTGCAATACCAGTCGCATCTCATGATACAAACGGAAGGCCAGGTCACGGACTCATAGGCTATGGCATCTCCATGTACAAGCCTGTCTGTGCTTATGCGTGTCGTGCCTCGATTACAAACCCGCTGAATTGCGGCACGGCAGTAGAGCACGAGATAGACACAGATATGTCCCGGACGACAATGAATACTCCGAGCCCGTCGTGCTATGCAAACAACGATCCCTTTCTGCAAACACTGGCCTACTGCATGCACACTCACTGTACTGATGTATCGGTCTCGGTTCTGGAGCATTACTGGGAGTTGAATGTGGCTGGTAGACAGCAACATCAACCGAGCCCGAAAGAGTCGTATCAGGAAGCTCTTGAAAGCCTTGCCAGACCACCGACTATAATCCTTAACACATCCGCGGTTCTGGATATTGCTTCTTTGGTCGAGGAAGAGACGTATTTGAGTAATTACAATACTCTCTGGGCGTTCGAGGCTGTCGAGACGTCCCATGAGCGATACGGGTAGGCTTCCTGCAGTGATTCACAGCGCTGCTTGCTGATTTGCTTTGCTGTAGCTTAGTCCTCCTTCTCACCGGTGCAATCATCCCAATCGCCTCTTCTCTACTCCGTTTCGTACCATCCCCGGCCGCTTTGCGAGTATGGTTCAAGGCAGTCTTCGTCGATCCTCCTTTTGTCGGTCGTCGCCATAGTTCCCCCATACTCGACACCTTCTTTATGCCTACTAGAGGACAAGCCCTGTTTATCGCGTATCTGTTAATAATTAACATAGTATTGTGCGCTGTCGGGTTCCGATCTGCTAATCCAAGCACCTGGTTCGCGTCCACGCACGACGAAATCCTCACTTACGTGGCAAATCGCATCGGCGTGCTCAGCTTTGCGAATATTCCCTTACTGGTGCTATACACCGGTCGGAACAACTTTCTCCTCTGGCTGACTGACTGGTCACATTCAACCTTCCTCTTGCTCCATCGCTGGCTGGCGTTCATCTGCACTCTCGAAACTTGTCTGCACTCGGCCATATATCTGCAGATTGCCGTCGCCAACAGTGAGCACAGTACCGAGAGTAAGCAGCCATTCTGGATCTGGGGTGTCGTCGCCACTTTGGCGATGGCCATCATGATCCCATCATCAACATGGCCAATCCGGAAGCGGTGCTACGAGCTATTCCTCGCTTGGCACATCGTCCTGTCCTTTCTGGCTCTTCTTGCGTGCTACTGGCATATTTGGTACAGGTATGGACATCAGTGGGGCTATGAAACCTGGATCTATGTGGCGTTCGGTATCTGGGCCTTTGAGCGGGTATTTCGGGTCCTGAGGCTGGCGCGGAATGGCATTCAGAAGGCTCATGTCACCGTCTTGGATGATGAGTATATTAAAGTCGAGGTTCCAGGTGTACATGCACAGGGCCATGTATATCTCTACTTTCCCACTCTGACGTGGCGGGTCTGGGAAAACCACCCCTTCTCCGCGATTGCCAGTTTCCGACGCGACAGCATGGAGAGGAAGATCGACGTCGTGTCGCAGGATGTCAAGAATGAATATCTGTCGAAGAACAGTGCTTCGGTGACGACGTTTCTTGATGCGGACAAGCCGCCTTCTACGTCCTCGGCGCAGGACCTGGCCACCGGACCTTACCAACCATGCCTCACGTTCTTCGTACGCACCCTGTCGGGAACAACGCGACAACTACGTGCGCGGGCTCAACTCCCGGTTTTAGTGGAAGGATCCTATCCCCCATCACCCCTGATCAGTCATCACTGGAGCAGTCATCCCAATGTCATTGCCATTGCTGGCGGAGTTGGGATCACAGCGCTGGTTCCAGATCTGTGCAGCCACCGCGGAGGACACACGCTATTCTGGGCTTCCCGCAGCAAAGCATTGATTGAGTCGGCCCGAGAGACGGTGGGGGACGCACTGTGGCATGATATGAACGTGAGGATCTACCATGACCAGCGAATGGATATCCCCACGCTCTTAACAGAAGAGGTCCAGAAGTATCAGGGTGCGCCGGTTTGTGTTGTTGTCAGTGGGCCGGCGAGGATGGCGGATGAGGTTCGACATGTTGTTTCGGAGATGGTTAGACAGAATCCGGCTTTGCTTGTTTCTTTTGTAGAGGAATCTTTTACGTGGTAGCGAATAGCCAAGATGGATAGTCGTTGGACTGGCCAAAATAAAAGTCCTCATTTCACGCAAGTAGATGAGGCAAGGACATAGAAAATATTTATCCAAGAATATTCTCCAGAAGATCTTGTGATGTATTTTCCTTCCGAATTTCTGGTTTGTTATCTTCAGTTTAAAAGCTGTTCATTGCAGTGTGAATTATGACTTGCTGTTGTGACCAATATGCGTCAAATACCGATGGGTGACAAAACGCCCTGGAATTGGTCATGAGAAGCTCAATATTTTCAACCGATGATCAGCTATTTTTATTCTGTTTATTATTGTCGTCATACAGTTCCTTCCATCTACCAGCCTCTACACAAATGTGGTATCGCACAGCGACATGCAAAGTACTACAAGAAGGGTAACTACGAGGGAGATATCTGCACTACTCCACCGATCGTCTGTTGACAGCGTCAAGAGTTCACGTGTACGCCCCCCTTGGCATGCTGGTCGGCCTAGTGATTCTATCAATTCCCCGATTCGCCGACAGATGTACGAGGTTTCCGTTTGTTCACATACCCGACAATGGTCTTCGTCGGGCTGTACTGCGGACACGCGCGGATCTACTTCCGGGCCACACTGGCACCTCGGATCACGTCCTACCTAGGTTGTATTTTCGCCGGTCCTCCGCGTCCAAGATGAAGGGACGGTGGTCGTCCGGTTGTCCTGCACTCATGCTCCAGTTACCGGACAACACGGTCCAGCATTGAATTGCATCCTCCGGGACCAAGACGGAGATGGGAGCCGGGACAGCACATTTTCCTTCGGTTCGCCGGACCCAGGGTGCGGAAACTCGTCCGTCTACTGTGCAAACGCATGCTTGTGACCGGCGGATGGGAGTTCAGAGAAGGTCCGTGAGGGAGAAGATGAAGTTTCCCATTCCTCCTCAGGCAGGACTCAGTGTTCGTTTCCGTAAAATAGGCGGCTCAGATGCGATCCCTAGGCTGGAGGTCGTGTCAATACGATCGTCGAGGGACCATACGGCACCATTCTCCGAATCCTTGTCCAAGATCGCTATCACACTGTGGTTCTCGTTGCTGGCGGACGAAGTATCACCGCTGTTTTGCCTTTGCTGAGCATTTATCGCATTTGATGTCGCTAAATTGTCATGTCGCGTGTGTAACGAAGCGCAATGTCCCTTGTAGATGCATATGACGGAAGGTCAAAGCGCCATGAGATTATTGTCGTTGATCAAGTGACGTACGACTCTTCAGGGATCTGATGGAGGTCGTATGCATGGAAACGAGCTCGGAGCGGTGCTGGTCAGCGGCCGCAGACCTGAGAGTCTAAAGATCGATGTGAGTGATGCAGTGGCTCGTGTTTAGTCTCGCGTGCCCAAGAGTGAGGGTTGGCAGGTGATGCCGCATACGGAGAGGTTTCATGGTAGGGAAGTTTTTCAGGTTCATTGAACAAAAGAAAGCGATATGATTGTTCGATATCCCCAACATCTGACCTAGTAAGCCAAGCACCCAGAAAAAGCATATCTCTGGTCGTTCTTAAGAACAAATAAGTTGGACAGAGACTAATGGTCAAAACAACGTGACGTGTCTGGAGCGCACTTGAATTTATCACGTGATACCATGGGGCCGAGGTTCCATCCCTTTTGGGGATCAGTTCACGTGACCACGTAGCTTCAAAGTCATGTTGAACTCGAGAGTCGAGACCTCGGGGCATGAGGGATTTTAAGAAGCTTTTTCAACGATCTAACGATTAATGTTTCAAGCTTGGAATCGCTATCGTTCTGGACTCCTTCCTTGGCTCCTGTGAACACTAAGTTGAGTTTTCGCAATTGGGCAATCAAGCATAAATTATGCTGTCCGCACCGCCCAGGTATAAATGAGGCAAGCCAATCGGTGGTCGGAGAGTCCACATCCGATATGGTGACGAGGATGATACCGACCAGCGGTTCGGGAGTTGCAGAACTTGCAGAACTTGCAGTAGAAAAGTTAGAAATAGCCGGAGTGGATGGCGCCTCTACCATCATCAGGAAGCGCTAGTGGCCACTAGGGGTTATTACTTCAGCGGAGTTTCGACATGGCTAGCCCGACATGGTAACAAGGCATATGCACATTACTCGGTATTTGTCCATTATCTGCCGTCAGCCGACTGCAGCATCCAATAACCGTGGATGAAACATAGCTCCGCCTACGCGTCCAAGATGAAACAAATAGTACGCAGTACACAGTACGCAGTACTTTATCCACTACCTTAGTAGGACGTTTACATACTGCACTGAATCAGTGGCAACTCCTAGCATGCAGGAACTTCATTCTTCGCGTGGTAGAACTTGCACCTACTCTCTGCAGAAGGGACGCGTTGCTAGTCTCCTCCTTTAGTGAATGAATCTCGAGCCCCTCGCATCCGACCGGATCAACCGGTTCCAGGAGGATTGTCCCGCCAAGCAAGTCCTTGTTCTGGGTGGATACGCAATCTTGGCGCACCAGAACATAATACGGGTACGAGTACGGTGGTAAAACTTGGATCTACGCAGCCCAGCCCAGTCAAACACCTGTTTGTTCTTCAGCCCCCCTGCTCTTCTCGATCATAACCTGGTCCGGTTATCAATCCGCCAAGTAGTATATAATCTCCACTTTCCAGAAATCTGCAGTTGGTTTCTCCCTTTTACTACTGTTGATCTTCACCTCACCACCGCAGCTCTCCTCGACTCCTCCCACTCTTCTCTACCCGCCGTCATGGATGCCAGGGCGGAGTCGCCGGATCTGGGCAAACCCCAGTTCGAGTCGCACACTTGGCTCGAACCCATCGTATGTCACGTCGAATCCAACCGAGAATCTCTAGTCTTGCCGTATTGACTATCCATCTGCAGATCGTTGTGAGCATCATGATTGGCTCGTTAATCATTAACCGCCGTAGAGGCTTCAGCATTTTTGGCAGCAGAGCAACGGTAGATGATAACGGCAGCTCGACGGAGGACTATCCCTCCAAAATCCCCACAATATGCGGCATCGCCATTGAGATTCCGGATTCCTCTCGCTGGGCGCACCATATCCACAGCAGGATCCTGCAGAAATTCCCGTTTCTGGTCGAAATGTTCTACTGGGCCGTCAACTATCTATTTTACTCTGTCACCAAAGCCACGTCGCAGTGGTTGTCCCCCGCCGAGATTGGCGTCGTCCAGGTCGCACAGGATCACGGTGTCGGGATCTTGAACTTCGAGCATCATTCCATCGCGCGGTTTTTCTTTCCGATAGAGGAATCCGACTTTCAGTCATTTTTCCTCAATGGACACCAGTCCATCATGACCTTCTTCAACCGCATTTACTCACTTGTCCATATCCCCGGAACCGTGCTGTAAGTCTATTCCAACATTGAACCTCCTGCAACTCAGTTCTGACCACATCTCAGGTTCTTGGGCTGGTACTACTACGCCGCCGAAAACCACAACACTTTTGCCGTCGCGCGACGGACCATGACCCTCGGCAACTTCGCCGCATTCCTCATCTTCTGCTTCTACCCCTGCATGCCGCCCCGACTGCTCCCCGACTCCTATGGCTTCTACGACACCGTCCGCCAAGAGCACGCAGAGAGCGTCTGGGTAGGCGGGAAATCCGTCAACCAGTTCGCCGCGATGCCGAGTCTGCATTTCACCTACGCGTTCGTCATCGGGTGTACCTTCATCTACCACTCGGGCCTCGTGCACAGACTCCAGGGCCGACCGGTCCGCAAGTCCCCGTTCACACAGATCTTCTTCATGGTCATGGCATTCGTGTACCCCTTGCTCGTGCTCAGCGTCATCATCGCAACGGCAAACCACTACTGGCTTGACGCGACGGTCGCCACCTTCACCGTCACTATCTGCTTCTTGGGGAACCGGGTCCTGCTGCTCCTCCTCCCGGTCGAGTACTGCATCTGCTGGGTGCTGCGGCTCGCGAAGCCTGTCCCGACCACGGGCGATCGGAATCTGCACAAGTGGCGCCAGTCGCGTGGGGATGTGCCCTTGCTGGCGGAGCAGGATTCTGACCGGTTCTCTGATTCGGTTGTTTAAGCGAATTCACAGTTCTGGCGTTTGGTTTGGGTTGGGTTGGGTTGCACTACGGACCACGGATACGGGTAAAGGGCCGGCCATCGCATATTTGCATACCAGGCGCATCTAGATCTAATATGTACATATTTATAATGGTATCACTCTCAATGGCAAGGAGTTGCTTACTTGCCTTCATTTTCTGAATCGCACTCCGGGTGGCTGACTGCGTCGTATTATCACGTGATTGCCATGACGCGTGTCTTTGTGAGGAATTACGCCAATCAGCAACACCACGCAGTTGCGAACCTGCTTAATCCTTCATGGAAAGTCTTGTCAGTGTTTGATCTGCGCCTCCTGTCTAATTAATTGACCATAACAGGGCAGCTTGTGGCTTGTGGCTTGTACCGGTGTCGTGTGACTGGCATTCTTTCCAACCAATTGCAGGACAACATAATCCGGATGACATCGTCAATTGTCATCAGATACCAATGTTCATACCAGGCCGTCGTCAGTAGATCCATGTCGGTGCGCCAACCACCCGTCGATTAGTCCGGTGAAGGTTCTGCTGATTAGACTGAGGGTCAACTGAACGTCTAGACATTGGGAATTGGGTGGGGAGTATTAGGAACCATATAGCCTTAAACTGTGTCCTGCTCGATTAGAAAGCGAATTGATACTAACTATTCTCCCCATTAAATGGAAGGTCGTATGTACCTGTCATGCTTGACTCTCGCGGGGTTATCGAGTGTGGTTCTGTGCTGCTTCTTGTGAATATTTCAGAAATCATTGCTTATGTGATGTGCACTGAGCTGTGACTTGTCTTTGCGTGTGTGATTGCCAATATTTATTGAAGATCTCTTGAGTGAAGGAGCATTGATAGAGACTCGTCGGAGATAGGCCATAGTTAAATATGTGTGCTTAGAGTTGAGTAAATTGCTGTCTTGGCAGACCTTTTTCATTGGCTTAAGAGACATGCATCTAATTTATGGTTACTGCGAATATTTATTCTCAAATATATAACTTCTTATTATCGTCAGTTAGAGCTCGCGGATTAATCACGCAAATTGACAATTGCACAATGGGTGGATGTATATCACTGTATGTTACTCCGTACAGAGCGACACATGAAGATATATTTTGGAATGTTCCAAATCCCGCGACCTTCTGAAGCCCAAACGCAATCAACCGCCGACATCGTGACGGTTGACTAACAATTGAATAAGCAATATCGGTTGACGGATCAGTTGACATGAATAGTATAGGACATGGAGACATCTGCCATGCATGCTAGGTCTTCTTTATTTTGTGCTCATCTTCTGGAGAAGTAGAGATCACTAAACAACAACCTAACCGAATATTGGATATCCGAGACCTCGGTATGAGCTACGCATATAACATGAAGAGTGAAGACTAATCAATAATATACACCACCGAGGGCATGCGGTTGTATACTTTGTCGTATACCTGGTATAAAACTCTCCGAATAAAGTCCACTGAAAACGCTTACAAACCCAAGACAGGCATATCTCCATAATCCTAACACTTGATTACACCACAACGATGAACTACCAAGTCCTGATCACCGATGAACAGAATGCAAAAGTTGCCGGAAAAAGGCGAGCTGTGTACCTCCGACCTTTCCTATTATTCTGGCTTAATTCTCTCTTCGCCGAAGTCATCTTCCTCGCCGTCGGCGTCTTCATCATGACCGGAACTCGCGACCTGGTTTACAAAGTGCTATGGACATTGGTCTTCTGTCCATTAGGCATGGGCGGAGCAATGGGAGGCCTGATAAACTGCTTCATTGTCGACCATTATTACGGAAAGAAAGCAGCTCATTTCACCGGGATTCTTGCATTGCTCGTTCTGAGCAGCTGCAACTATCTATGCTACAACCTGGACAAACATTTTGGGTGGTTTGGGGCTTCGGAACATCCGTGGTGGTTTCATTGGCGGTATCCTATGATATGGGCGGTTGGCTACTCCAATGGGCTACTTTTGTTCACGGATAAGGGCCAGGAGATGCTTGCTGGAATGGGTCTCTAAATTGCGACAGCGACAGTCGACGGTCAGGCGAGTCCCCAGATCGGACCCACAGGATACTCTACACAGTGATGATGCATGTTCCATAGGTTTGGAGAAAGAAGGATCGGAGAGGGCAAGAATACAGTTCATTCTCACAAAGCATGTGAGGGGTTGTCCTTTAGAGCGATAATGATGAAGTTTGCGGGAGGCAATACTGACAGTTTTCTGTATCCCTATTCTCCTAGACGCTCATACATGGCTCGAGCTCCCTTCCCTTCTTGTTGTAACCAGGGTATTAACCGCGGCGAAGCCCAGCTTGATAGTTGGCTGATATTGTAATCAAACAATATGGACCCTTGCCGCAGAAGACAATTCCAACAGCCCGAGAGAAATCCAGTAGGATCAATTCTAAATTAAATTGATTTTGTTAGAGCCACTGCTTGTCGACTGAGATGGATTAAGACACCTTAATCTTAATCTGAGTGATATTCTCTCGACGCCGGACCTACATTACTATAACCGCCACAAACTGTACGGAAAAGAAGATGGTAAAAGAAATCTTCTATTGTTGTACAGTTCCCTTTGTTATCTTCTACTCCGTGGATCATACATTAATCTAACCGTTCCAGTAGCCAATGCTTCAAGGCTCGCTCCTGCTGGGTCTCATGATAGTCACCAAACATCGGCCAGACCAGAGGTGCAACATGGCACTCTCTTTCCCCGATTACCAGAGTCGTATCGTGATTTGCTTTCTGAGATACATTAGTGATTCCGTCTGGTAACATTAGATCCTGCAGCCACTTACTTTGAAGCTATTGACCCAAGTTTTAATCGGGTCTAATAGAGCCTCGTCACCACCGGCCAGCACCAGAGTCTGCTGGACTCGGGTGTTGTCCCACCACCACTCTGGTGCTTCTGCTGCTTCGATATAGTTGTTTGACTCCCTTCCATTGAGATACGCTTGCGACCACTGCATCGTGACGTCCTTTGCATCGATATCCCTATGTTCACTGGCTTCTACGCTCGGCCAATTGTGGCGAAATGAGACCCACGGAGACATAAGAATAACACCTTTAATGGGTTCGTTGATGACTAGCTCTGGCACGTCTTCGGAGGGATGCGTTAAGTGGGACAGTACTGCCAGGCACAGATTTGCGCCGGCAGAGTCACCAGCTAGTAGAATTTGCGACGGTGAGTGGCCAACATCCTCTAGAATGTACCGTAGAGCTTCAACGGCTTCGCGAAATTGAGTCGGATATGCCGCGTGCGGTGTCAGTGTGTATGTGCAATGGAACCAAGCAGTTTCTATGCCAGCATTTGCGAGAGTCTTCTGTATCCGCGGCCAAAAATCAAGGTAGGGAGCTGTCGCATCCATGGCAAAACCACCGCCTGTTCCGATTATCAGTAATGTCTCGGCATCCTTGTGGGCTGAATAGAATACCGTGAAAGTTGAAGACGATGTATTTCGCGGAGGGACTGCCAATCCAGAACCCTTTCAGCCCGCGGATATTCGAGACAAAATGTGGCTGGAGACCAGTCTTTTGACAGTAGTGCAGGTACAGTTGGTCATAAGACTTGAACATATATCTATCCCCTGTTAACTGTGTACATTGCGCGGACTTTGTGGTACTTACTGCAGCTGCAGCGGACTGAATCTCCTAGTAAGCTGCAGAAGTAGGTTAGTAGTTTTGATGGTGCAGGCTACGTGGTACGGTACATTACCTTCTTGATGATAGCTTGGATCAAATGATGATGATAGGTATCTGCGCCTGAAGGGCCTCGGAAGAACCCTGTGGCTGCAGCATATATTGCCTCTACGACTGTTGACTGTGAGTTAATGTAGTGCATAATCTTTGAACCCTTGCCTTACCAACTGAAAACCAGCCGTTGAACGCATCTAGTTTATCACAGGCTGTCAGAGTGTGCATTGTGTTTATTGTATTGTGTATGCACATTGAGAAGCTCATCCGGAACGCTGAGTACGCTTCATTGCACTTTATGTGATTATACGCCATGCCGCAATGCTGATTAGTATTCAATCCCAATGACCGAGGTCGGGTCCACGCAAACAACCTCGGCACGCAACAGCATTAATGTGGGTAGTAATCGGGTGCCTGGAATTTATTGACGTGCTCTTCAACCAGGGTTAGATGCTTGCGGCCCGCCGAACTGATCATGCAAAGCCTCGGACGTGGAGTGGTGGGAAACAATATATCCCGTTATTTGTATAATAACGCCTAAGGCACGAGCTCTGCGAAGTGAGATTTAACCAAAAACAATTGAGACCATATCCTAACGCTTATACATATAAGATACCTTTTACGGAGTCGCTTAAAATTCCGAAGGCCAGGTGGCATCCATAACCATATCTTCAAATCATACCCATATGAACTCTTTTCCATTCTACGTAGCGCTCCTTCCCCGACGTCCCTCCACTAATGCACCGGTCGAACTCCTCTTGCGCGCCTGGTTGGCCAGGTTGGAGCTTCAATCTATAGGGCCATTTGTCGATAATAGTGTTCGTCTCCTTCATCGCCGCCCCCAACAAATCGGCAACCTCATAGAACTTAAACTTCTTCGAATACCTACTCTCAGGATGAACATGCGACTCCGGTTATACAAAGAATCTGTACTCACCGGTCGAAGATGTGGTTATAGGTTTTGACCAGCTCCCGGCCAACGTTGAATTTGATGAGGTCGGGATCATAAGCGGAAGTTGGCCCCCTTTCACAGGGAGATATTTGAGGAGGCGTTTAGTTGTTGGACTATGTATAGTCAAGTCCTGCATTTTGTCTTCGTCGGTTAAAGTTTCCTCAACCGCGTTCATGAAGAGGGTAATCAGGGTCGCATGTGGGTTTTCTGGAGGCGTTTGAAGCAAAGGCACCATCAAACTTAGTGTGTGGTGAATTCCCAACCAGCCAGCATCCGAAATGTTGGACACCTGTACAGATCCATCAGTGTGTTTTTCTGAGGTACAATTTCAGACCAAAAGTTCGCTTCATGAGACAGATGCCATTTGCTCACCTCGATTCTACTGAAAGAATCATTCTCGAGATGGTCAGGAAGGCAAGCGGCGTCGAGCTGAAAGAGTTCAAAAGAGAGCCTCAGACTCGGGAGCCAACCAAGGAAAGATCGGAGCATCCGGCGAATGTAAAAGAAGAGCTTGCCATATATATCCGCAGTTGCAGGGCCTGTTGATGTAGCGGCAACCTCGTCTAAAGACCACCCATGAAGCGGATCGGCATTGTCATTCATTGGCCAGGCATTAGCTGTATAGAACAATGCCCTGCTTCTATTAGCGTTTATAGCACGGCGTGATCGTTTTCCCAACTCACGGGTTTGGTTCTTGAAATTCATGACGTGAGGATCCAAACGGGAGGAGGAGGCCGTCCTCCCTGAATTTTTTGAAGGCGATTCGATGCGAAGGAGACTGGCAATACATGAATCGATCACGGTAGTCCCTCCGTGATTCAGCCAGAGTAATAGCTGCACGAAGTTCACGTGCACGATCAGCAGTCAAGCCAGCTGGCGGGTCAACCAAAGACAAGAGACGGTCCCAAGAAGATCTTTCGAGAACAACTCGGAGAGAGTGACGTCCAAATGTCCATGTCTTCCCTAAGAGGCAACCGGGCTCTTTGCCTTTGATCTTGTTGCAGACATCTTCGATGAGAGGTCGAATTCGATGTCGGAGGAGGTCAACGTGTGACTTGCGTACGAAAGCCGAGTACCAGACGTGAATGATGCAATCAACTGCCTCGTCGACTTGTTCGACTACTAGGGCAACAAGAAGCAAGATAATATTGCGAGCCACAATTTCAAAATCCCGGTCATTTATTGTAAGTTCGAGGGGGTGGCTATAGCTACTCGGAAGCTGAGCAATCGTCTTGACAACATTTCGAAGATCTCCTGAAGCTATAGACAATGGTATGTCTCATCAGCTCCAGACAAGGGATCGTATGGGCATCAACAGGGAACTGAAATCAAGCACATAGCAGCAAACAAAATGCGTATCACTCCACCATATTCTTCCCCTTCGTTTGATCCAAGTCGAAGGATGTCGAAGGCAGGGATGTTACCCCAGAGGTACTTCTTCATCCCAAACTGTTGTCCGAACCCTCCTGCAATAAATGAAGGCTTTCGATTCTCCAGAACCCAATCGGGCTGCCATGTTGCTTTATTGAGGAGCGATTTACATTCGGATCTGTGTTGCGTCCAGTGCGATTTCTGGCATACTGGACCGCAGTACTACAAAGTCAGTAAGTCAGGACCAGCATATATACCGAAAATGTGTATGATAATGAATGAACTCACAAGGACGAGAAGACAGTTCTCGCACGTGTACCTGCCTTGTTTCTTGCAGTCAGTATTTGTGAGGTCCCATTTGGCGCAGATAAGCTCTGGAGTCGTCATTTTACTTCAATGCTCATCAAGTTGGATGAGAAATATCAGATGAAACAGTAACACGAAGCATCAATATGAGCCATACTGGGAAGATGTGCTGACTATGAGCTTCCACCACTATAAATATGAATAGCCTATGAACAGATGCCACATCTATCACTGATAACCCCGCATGCACAGGTGTGCAAACATGCATTATACTAAGGCGGCGCAACCTTGCACAAGGCTGGTTGACTAACAGAAAGCGCTGTCTCTCACCAATTGCTAGGCTTTATTCAGATTCCCTGAGGGATATTTGGAAATATCAACTTTCTCTTTTGCCTCAGGGTCTTCTTAAAGGCCGTTTCCAAAATTTACCTACGCCCCTATATTTATAAACAACGCCCTACCGATCTACATTACCCAGTTTCTTCTGCCTTAGCTCTCTCGTCACATGGTGGAGAGCGTAAGCAACCACGTCGTGACTGACATCCGAGCTACTCTCCTTCAATTGCTCTATCAGGCTTTGCTAAAACGCCAATGCGACCTCGGTTGCACACGGATTATCAGCCGCCACAAGCTTCTAATAATGTGCGGGAACCCCAGCAGTTGGAAGGCGCTGGCAACATGAATAACTTCGTTGGAAGTGATGGACGAGTATCTGCAGTGGAGCACGCAGACAAATAGGCATCTTTGCAAGGCTATGTCGGAATCCCGCTAATTCTCGAACATTCAGACTATCTGGAGCTTCCTTTGTGCTCGCCCCAACAAGTTACCCGACGACAAGTTCTCGGAATACGCGAACCCGTGGCATGCAAAGTGAAATATCCCACAAGCGCCAGCGCATCCAAGACCTCACTCTGGGAGGCTCTATAAAGTGGAAACTGCGATAGAACTCATACTTTTCACTGTCTCCGTGCCTAGTTCCACCTCTTTCTCCGTCGCCGGCTGGTTCAGACCCATCGTTCGTGACATGGCAGTCATGAGCATCCTTGTATTTGGCTCTAATAGATGGCGCAAGTCTTATTCGCCATCGTATAGTACAGCGTGTTATGCCGTCGTATTCTGTAACGAGCAGGGCATCGTTGCGAATATCAGTGGCGTTAAATACCACAATGGGACCGCATTTAGCTTGGTATATAAGGTCCGCTGTAGTAGGAGGTAAGAGGAATCGTCCAAATCCTCCTTGTATTCTAATGGTAGACTCTAAAGTCCTTTAACCTCTGCAGGTCCTTGTACCATTCTGCGCCATTCATCTTGCGGTTGGCTTTCGCACACCTGCAGTGGTATCACCAGGTTTGAACACGCCAGACTAAGATGAAGATGAAGATGAGTAGTCTTTTTATCAGGACTTGTTAACGCCATTCACAGTGGTTTTGAATTTATTATACTAGGCTTGTATGGATTATATACTGACACGCTAAGTAACCTCAAAATCTTTGAATAGCCATCCCTTTTTTCAAATGGTGAATGTATTCCTCCATATATATACGGTTATACCTCTCTAAATATTAGTGCACTAAACGCACCAATGGACTAGTCGCTCATCAAGTCCAACGCCTTTACATAACCCATCTTTAGTAAGCCAATTGTGGCTGTATTTATTTATCAGGCAACATCATGTTCTCCCGCAATACGAGTTACCATCATCATCCATCATGACCAAGGTCAATCTCATCCTCACACTGTTCAACCTTATCCCCGCCATCCTGGCAACATGCTCGACCCAGTCCCCCTTCTACCCGCCTCCATCTTACAACCGTCAGTCCTCTGAAGTATGGGAAGCCCTCGGCCTTGTAGAAGCGTCGCTGTCAAACTTACTCCGCAACTCGAACAACCTCAATACATCATCCTACTCAATTGAAATCACCTCATCACGGTCCACCCTATGGTCGACGTTCCATACCGCAAAGGATAAAAACATAACGCGACCTGGAGCCGAGAGAGTTGATGAGACAAGTCGATATCGTATCGCAAGTATCACCAAGGTCTTCACCGTGCTGGGGATACTCCAACAACATGCCGCGGGGAACCTCTCCCTCGAGGATACGGTGGACAAATACATCCCTCAACTCCGCAGTGCGCATCACGACGGGACCAGAAGTTCTAGTAGTATCCAGTGGGACAAAATATCACTCCGATCTCTGGCAAGCCAACTCTCTGGCCTACCCCGCGACTGGGTCCAGGGGGATCTCCTCACGGATCCCGAGCCCGTCGACACAACTGCTAAATGCGATTCTGACAACAGCCATATGCCCTGCACCGAGCAGGACTTATTCAACAATTTAAGAAGGAGGCCTGCCTTGTTTGCGCCGAACACGAAGTCGACGTATTCCAACCTTGCATTCGACCTCCTGGGGCTCGTGTTAGCGAACGTCACTGGCACCACATACGAGGAATACATAACAACCTCAATCCTCGATCCCCTGGGAATGTCGCAAACATCCTTTGCCAAACCACCGGACAGTGTGTCCGTTCTTCCCAAGGGAAATGCATGGTACTTCGACGTCGATGAGGCTGTGGAGAATCCCACAGGCGGATTATACTCTTCTACGCACGACATGTCAATTTTTCTCCGCTACGTCCTGAGCAACTACAAAGACATCGCGGACGCAAAGTTGAATTGGCTACTACCTGTATCATTTACGGCCGGGATGGGGAGTTATTACGGCATGCCGTGGGAGATTTTCCGCACGGACAGAATTCTTCTCCCAGACGATAAGCGGAGGACAAGGACTGTGACCTTCTTCACCAAAGGCGGCGGTGTCCCCGGGTACAGAACCATTATCCTCCTCGTGCCGGAATACGATTTGGGTATCACGGTTCTCACAGCTGGAGACGAGACATTCCCGGAAGTAATAGTGGAGATGGTCACTGTTCCACTGATTCGTGCAGCTGATGCGCTTGCTGCACGGCAGGTCAAGGAAACATATGTGGGGAGATACACCTCTCCTCCTACCAGGGAGCATATGGCAAACTCCACGTTGACACTAACATACACACCAACCCATGGCCTCGAGATCAACGAGTGGACTTTGAATTCCACCGATATGCTCAGCTTCATATCTAAGCACTTTCAATCCCCCAAAATTACAAAATTCCACGCTCAGTTGATTCCCTCTGGTCTCTACAGAGGTGACAAGCAACTAGGAGAGGTATGGAGGATTGCAGCCGTGATGGATAGGGAGTTCCCTCCGGCATCAGTGCTAGGGCGATGGAGCGGACACGCGAGTAATGCTGATTCATGGTCGGGTTTCGCACCCGTTTCCGAGGAATTCTGTATCAGCGATGTAGATAATATAATGTATGCGGGAAGTCCCTTGAGCGAGTTCGTCTTTTGGGACAGGGACGAGAAGACTGGCATGTTTGGAAAGGTGGAACTGCCGGCCTTTAGGATCAATTTGACTCGTGCGGACCAGAAGGAAGAGGGAGTGCTGGATGAGGGAATTCTGATCAAGCACGAACTTTGAATCAGTGGCGAGAACTGTGGGATATTGTTCGATGAATGCATCCTTGACCGGGTCAATTGTCTCGCTGGCAGTGGGCAATTCAGCACAGGCTAGGTAGAGAGGTTTTGTAAGTATGATGACGAGCCCTTTGATCGCCAACGATGGCACGAGTGCCTCCTCGAAGGCAATCAATTACCAAGGTGTTTTCATCCACTGCGGTTCAGCTCACTGCAGGATTCTACTTTCTTGGTCCTTCAACGGAGAGCTCAGTTTCACACTGTTTGGCTCCCTTTGCGTAGAATCCAATACATCTGATTGCATTGTAAATAACCGAACACGACAATAAGAAGCGGCTTCGCATGCCGTCCATCAATATGTCCGACATGATAGTATCCCCAGCGTGGCCACGGTGAAATGGAAGACCCAGCTCCTCCATAATAATGGACAGATACGTGAGTCCGTACATTTTCTGAGATGTCCCAAAGTGGTGGAACTGTCGAGGGAGATGTGCGAGGGCTACCAAAGACGTTGTATAATAGTTGCTTGCAGTGGCGTAGTAAGATCTTTCAGCCAGCCGGCAGATAATATGTCGACTCCTGCGCTGCTTTGCTGTTGTTGATATTCTGTCCACTCACGAGCATCTTCGACAGATTGATGCGGATAAGGTTTCCACAACCCTCTTGAGCGTTCCCAGAATCGTCTTGTACATCGGCAGTGCTCCCTCTGCTGACGAGGCAGCGCGCGGCCGCACAGGTTCCGTACCGGGGTTGCAAGCTCATTTAAGGTTATCATAGTAAGAAATACTTGCACTCTGGTTTATCTGTCTATTGATTAGTGATAGTGATCTCTCGTAGTCTGTTATCTATGAAATAGATAGACTATTCAACTCTCGGGCAACGATCGAGGATATCTACGAGCATCTCGTTAAGGAACTACGACCAGACGGGCTCCAAAAGAACGTGCACAATCAGTCCGGTCGTGCACTCCTTGCTAGAAGGCTTATGGACGGAGGACCTGAGTATGATGGACCCAATATCATGGACCATCTCACAAATCGATGACTGGAATGCAGGGAACGTAAGTTCCTAAGAGTCCCTGTTTTCCTTCATCCCTTATGCACAAAAGACGATATGCCGCAAGTACTACCCTATCGTGCCAGGTGTATTTAAACAGAAATATACGTTATTTTTGCATAAGGAAGCAACTGGAGCACGGGGTGTTATGTTCTCAGCGTAAGCGTGGTGCTTGCCAGGGACATGGGTCTCATCTTTTGCAAAGTGATAATGCCGTCCTGTACCAGAAACTAGACAGGCCACCTAATTAAGGCTTGGAATGTTCTGGAAGAAGCAAGCTTTAGGTTAGTCATGTCTCATTCTGCAGACGATGCAAGACAATAAGTGTTATAGTGAAGGTGCTGACTGTAGTCAGAAGGCAGGTTGAATATAATACAAGTATTTTCAATCTCAAACGCAACATAGATGGACGATTTCTTTTGGGAATTACTATACAAATAAACAATGACCTTTCTAGAATATTGTACATCAAATGTGACATTAGTTAGCCTATTGGCCTGGTCAACGATGAACAGGTGTTGGCATCACCGATTAGAATACAGTATATGATCACCACTATCCAGTCAGTAGACCCACACCAGCGAGCCTGTAGTCGATGGGCTATTGAAACCTTGATGATTTCATCAAACACTTCTCAAAGAATGGCAATACGGCATTGCAGCTATACTAAACAATAAGGATGCAGTTTGCAGTTTGCTCTTTGTTGATAACTGCTTTGGGACTAGTGCGGCGTAAAGACATTTTTGAAGGAAGGGAACCGCAAAGGCTGAGATCCACCATCTTAGTGGTCAGAGCAGGAGTGGACAGGTAGGAAGACACCTGAAGAGGGAAAAGTGGGAATTAATGGGGTTCATGGCGCAGATATGCGGACAGTGGTCTCTCATAAAACAAGGACTACCAAGCACCGGAACGACATATACTAGGTTCATCATTGACGGAGAGGACAATGCTGTAGCTTATTCCCATTTCTATGGTGCAAAAGTCTACGAGGGAAGAATTATAGGTATCCCTTGCCAAAACTTCTATACTTGAAGAAAGGGAGGAAATGAAGCATTTGCTTCTAAGGTTGATATAGTGAAGTCGAAGTCGCATATCGGCGATGCAAGGCTCCAGCATGCAGCACGCGGTATGGTGTAGCTTTAACAACAAGGCCCACAGAAAGACAAAAGATAGGATGCCCAAAGCCTGGGTATTAGGTGTTGTTGATCATCCTGCATCGATTGCGGGGAGCAGGCATCCGGGAATCGAGGATATAAAGACGGACATTACGCCGTCAGGTTTAGACAGAGGAACTCTTGCTGAAATGTAGTTAAACAAGATCAAAGCTGCATTGGCTATCTCAAAACTATAATGCCATTCTGATGGAAGTCCCGTTGGTACAGCACTCGTGTGGGTCACATTCTGGCTATCTAGGGAGACACGATATTTGCGCATCAAAGATCAATTGAAGTTATCTCGAACAAAAGATCAATGAGAATACAGAATAATAGCAAATCAAAAGCTCTAGTGAGCGAAAAAGATACCAAGCCCTTGTCATTTAGAATTGATATCACATTGTTTTACCCACGCTTATGCCTCAATGGGCACACATCAGCCGCAAGGACTTCAGGACAATAGATGAATCACTACTCATTGTAACATAGCATGAGGCTCAGGTGTTCTCCAAAAACCAGAAGATGGTTTAAATTCCATATCCCCATATCCATACACATCCAGAATATACTCCCATATCCAAACACACCCAGATGGTACCATCCTACTCGCAATATCTCATCCTGTAGAATTGTACTCTTACACGCATCATGGCCTACCAACCGAGTGGGCAGGATAAGAGCGCCCGACTGAGTCTCAACCTCCCGGATGAAGGCACCAACTTTGATGAGCTCGCTGCTAGGCTCCATATCCGTGGGTCAGCATGGAACAGGGAACATATTACGGCTCTCAGGGTCGTGCCGCTGGACGAGTGTCCCCTATCGAAGATATACCCAGTTGGATACCTACCCCGGCCGAACGATCCAGGTACGATCCGTTCTGTATGAAATTCTGACATCCTATCTCTCTGATATCGAACGCAGCATTCCGCGAACTCAAAAGATCCCTCCTCGCTCCAAGCCTCGAGCAGCTGCGGCAGTGGTCTTCAAACCGCCGGCTGTTCGAGTCGAATACCTTTTCCACGTTCTTTAGCGCTTTGTCCAGCACTATGATGACTGCGCATCTCACCATCCCAGGTAGCACCCGTGCGCCGAGTGCCGCGGCATCACAATCGCCGTCTTCGGACGAAGACGGTCCAGAATCCGACCCCCGGACCGTAATCCAGTCTTTTCTCAAACGGATCGAAATAAGGCTCAGTCCACGTCCAACGCTCGGAGCGCGCTACACCATCGGAGTGTAAGACACCAACGTTGACAGACAAGCTGTTTACTGACTTGCGCAGCGTCAATAGAGACATGCCTCTGAAATTAGAGCTCGGCCCTCCTGGGTTCGACCGGATTTCCGCAAATTCTGATGGCGGAATAGCTCTATTCGGCAGAGGAGGGCGTACCTCTTCAGACCGGCCATCCGATGTGCCGTTGGTGGCTGTACAAGTAAGACAATCACACTACACGTCCCATAGTATATGAAAACTGTTACTGATTATTTTGGAGGCCAAACGCCGACACGCTGGAGGATTGCACCGAGGTACTGGGCAGCCGGAGCGCTTCAATTATAAGACCCTGGGCCAAGAAGTGGCTGAGCTATTGGGTATTGCCTGCGGGCAGGATCGACTGTTGAACCGGCGTGAGGACCAAGAGGTGTTCCTCATTTCGATACACGGGACACAAGTCCGACTTGTTGCCGCGTACTTCACAGCAGATTATCTGCATGCGGTGAAGCCGAACTTCCTTCCCGCAGAGCAATATCTCTGGGTTCGCAGAACCAGGGCTATGGAGCTCAAAAGTCGACAGGGACGCGAAGAGGCCCTTAGAAATATAATGGGCCTTGTCTACTATCTGTACAGCGGCGAGGCGAAGATGAACCAGATTCGTCTTACCAAAAGTCAACTCCAAGCCACTTACGAGAAACCCCGACCCTGAGGTCCCTGATCTTCTGTCTGGCGAAACCAATGGCTTCTCCACCGTGGTTTGAAACAACGTATTCCCTGCAACAACAACATGATGGCGAGGTTGTACTTCTTACTTCATTGTTTCCACTGATGGGAATAATGCTTTGGCATTTGGGTTAAGTTGAAAACACCGAGTAATAACTTGTTCTATCTACAAGGACCCTACCACGAGCAGGAATAATTAATTCACGAAGTCAATAAAGTCACGGAATGTTGTGAAAGCTAGTATGCCTGCTCAATTGGAAATCGGTCAGACTTGCCCCCTGCTATGACTGTATTATTCTATAGCTCTCCGAAGAAATGTAGTCCTGATCACTCCGGACGACTCATCACGCAGTTGATTACACCCATGAACATCACCAAGAATGCCTTGCGCCCTTCAGGCTCTACGAGATCAAATTCATGCGACCGGTACATCTCCAAGTGCTCCTCCAAATGCTGGCCTTGAGACAGCGCCTGCAAGTAGGATCCCGAAGCCACCAGTTTGGTAATTTGTACGCAGGTAAGAGAGGTACGACGCATATTGGTGAGGAAAGACGCATACTCTCTTTGATGAGGATCCTTGTTGAAAGCGGCAAAAATCAGGAATAAACCATATGGCACCTCGCCTTTGATCTTATTCTCTTCTGTTGATCCTTTCAAAAACTGGATAGCAGTCATTAGTTTGGAAGAGGCGGACATAGCGGCTAAGGAACGTACATTGTAAATTATCAGAGGAAAAAACAGATAGTTCTCTCCCTTGGGAATTCTGCCAATAGCCCCAGGACACTTGAGGGCCCCCTTGGCATTGAATAATGGCAAGTGAAATGGTAACGGTCCGGATTGTGTCCAACTGCGCGAATATTAGCAACGGATTGTACGGTTGCGAACAAGATACAAACATCTCTCTAAGGCCATAGCATGCCCTGATCATCTCGAATAGGAGACTTGACAATGACATTGAATTAGGCTCCTGGTCCTCAGAGAATTGAAGTGTGAGATGGTATGTCTCGTAGAAAACAGAGGAAAATGCGTTTTCGGGGTGGCTGAACTCATGATATCGGCCTCTGAAGATATCTTCCCTTGTTGGTTCCATGAACTGCCGAATTAAACCTTGGAAAGCTAAGGCTTCGGTTAGCTACGACATGATATTCGAGGTCACTTAAGAACATACCCTGGTCGCCTTCGTCTGGAAGGTGCTCCTGACCAACCATCTCCGCTGCAGATATCGTGCCCTTTTCTTTCACATTGAGTGCGCGTACGTGTTCTGATGTCCAATTCTTTGGTTTCTGTAGTAGGAATCCAACCATCTGGCGGGAAATATTTGAGATATCCATTGTTGTTAGAACTAGAGCTGAGGCTGTAAATATGAAAACGTTGTGGTGGTAGTAGCTGCGCATGATATCATTGTCATAGCTAGGTCATGATCAACACAGATGCAGAATTTGGTTCTCACTATCTTCCATTTTTAAACTTCAGACCATACTAATTGAGATGGCACCACTTCATCGTTCAATAGATAATTTCATCATTCAATTACCGTATTTCAGAGGAAGGCAGATGAAGAACCCTCAGGATTCGCCCGTCAAGCAGCCCATACTGCATCTTTGTTGTTTAGTATAGCCGCAATGCTTTGTTTGAATTTCTTGCAGACCCGTCAGCCGAGGATCCTGGTTGACATGAAGTCTCAAACGAGTCATCTCATTCAGTTCTTTGTCAACCGGTCTCGGAAAATGATCACTGTTGTCTTCGATGCATTGGTCTTCTGGAAAGAGCAACGACTGATTCATTCGACACCCTCCGTGAGTGAAATAGCTCGTTTTTCCTCTATTAGAGCATGGCTTTGCCTTGTTAGTATTAATATTCCGCCTTTTCTATCTGACTCTGGTAAACTCCTCTACCGTATCAAATATTTCTTCATTATCCCTCGTGCAGAGAATCCAAGCGGGGCGTCCAAGGAAAGATGACACAACAGTCAAGTCAAGCTCTTCGACCAATTTACCTTCAAAGGGTCACCTCGCTGTAAAGCTTTGCAATCACATATCGAAAAATGCAACCTGCTGTCATAGATGACAACCAAGGATGGAAGTGTGGGATGTTTCAGGAAGGCAGTACGACTCGGCGATCTAGCAATCTGTCGACTTGTATTCTGACTCTTTCAAGATTTCAAGACATTCGACGGTAATATTCGAGGACTCTTTATGCTGTACTTGGCTGGAATATAAGAAGTCACCGAACGCACCTTGGCAGGTAACCAATCCTTACTCTCATCTGCAACTCTTCATTCCCAACTGTGCAACATGGCCGACTCAGTGTCTACAGACCTCAACGCTTCCCATTCCCCGCTTAGATTTAAAATAAGGCTTTAATCCACTCATTCAAGCCTGAATGAATTGATTCCGCAATCTAATCAAACGCCTCAATAACCAGTGTCTTGTCCGCCGTGGTCACCAGATATAGCCCAGATTGGTACGAGATCGATTAATACCTCAAGCCGCCCGCCTGCAGAAATTCAACTACCTCCTCGCAATCCTTCAGCCAACTCATATACTAAATAGGCTCGCAGAGTTTTTGCCACCCCAAGGAAGACCGTGAGAAACTCCTTCCTACCATCCCGTTCGACGAGGTCGTATTCCGCAGACCGACAAACCCGTAAATGCTCGGAAAGCTCTCGGCCCTCGCGGAGCGCCCGGGGATATGACCCGGTGGCAACTATCTTCGTGATCTGCACAGATGTTCGCCGAGATTGAATACAGGGGATATGTAATCATCAAGATTCACATTCCGGTAAAAATCTGCAAAGGCAAGAAAGAGACCGAAAGGAACCTCACACTTCATTCTATGTTCAGCCTCGGGTCTCTTGACGGTCTAGATAGTTGTTAGCAGTTGAAGCAGGCATCATATCTGGAGAACTCACATTACAAAGTATCAATGGATGGAAAAGTTGTTCTTGTGGATTTACCCCGGCAAGCGCCCAACCAATGGTCCCGTCGCACCTCAGGAACCCTCGGACTCGACATGTCTTGAAGTGGAAAGGGGATCCACATAATGGGGTCCAACCAACAGATATTAGCAACAAACTTGAGAAAAAGAAGAGAATACTCACAGATCCCTGGCCTCCGCGTTGTGGCAACGATGTAAGAGCGCCATGACTCATAATCCCGGCGAAGAGACCATCAGGAGGCGTTTCGCCGTCGGGGGTTTGCGCCAGTTTGTGGATCACATCGACGACCCATGTGAACGCATATCTTCAAAAACCCGAAGAAGTGGACGCGAAAACATCTTGACTCTCTCAGGATCCAAGACCATGAGAATCCTTCAATGACGGAGATGGTCGGGGAGCGAAATCTCCCTACCAATGAGATCCCGGTAAGTCCTAACCATGGCAACTAACTAGGTACAGTCTAGGCTTTGGGCGTCTGCTTCTCTCTTATTTGCGGTAGAGAGATTGCCCTGGTTGAAATCATACATACTTATCACGCGAATTTTAGACCTGATTAGTTGGCTCTCTTGAATGACAGTAAAACTCAATGCTTACCTTGGTTTTTAAATAATTGCTCCTCAGGGCTGAACATCTATGTTGCCTGGGGTTCGGGTTCCGAGGATCCCAGTATCCGATGGTGAATTGGCGGCACAAGCCGTACCACTAAACGAGTTCCCGAAATAGGGTCCAGCATCGATCAAATCATAAATCATGCTGCCTAGCTTCCAGTCCCCTGATCCTCGCAACGATTGGCCTTGAATACGGCCATGCGAAGCTTAGTTCCCGACTCCACACCGGCCCCTATCTCTAGCATCAACGTATGCTTGCTCCCTAAACATTCCCTTACTCGGTTGTATCTAATTTCTTCGTGGCTTGCCTGGACTGTGACTTGGCTGCAAAGAAGTTTAGGCAATTGAACAGCCATCTCAAATATTCAATACCAGTTTGCCCTGTCTAGTCAAACACAGAAAGTAGATATCACATGTAGAGTTTCAAACAGTGCGTTATTTTTGCTAGCTAGTTAAAAAAGGCTTGTCCGGCCGTAAGGCTGCAACATTTTTTTCTGACTTCCCTGACTGTAGGGCAATGACAAGAGGGATGGACTGACTTCTTGAAAAGGCTAGCAGCCTTCTAGCCACCCGAGCCACCCGAGCAAAAGCGAACAAGCAGCTGAAACTTGAAACGGTGGATATTAGGTTGAACGCTTTCTGTTGGTCATCGCGCCCTGGGAGATTGGAGTATGACGAAGAGCATGATCACTTTTTACCAATTCTGGAGTGGCTTGGGGTTGTTGTATCGGCCCATCCGACTAGGGCAGCACTGCCCATTACCTGAATATTGAGTACCAGGGTTTCGGAGAGCATGGCCTGGCTAGGCTGAAACCTGCGATCGTTAAAATCTATGTTCTGCTCCCTTTTCTTTGCTTCTGCTCTGTATTATGAGGTTGATCCATTGAGCCTATGCAAGATTACCATCCTACACGTCACCATTGTTCCATAAGACTCGAAACGAATTATCAGTCGGTATGGCGCCAGACACTACCCTGTCCATCCGGAGTGGAAGACCCGAGACCCCCAAGAAGAGCTCGAAGACCAACAAAGAACGGAGTAAACGCTGTCGGAGTGAGCATAGCAAGACAGAAGGATGCGGGAGGGTCCTGCTGGCTGAAACCATCGGCCGGGCATTATATCACGGCCACGCTGGCCTTACACAGGACGTCAACCATATTCCTCACGATCTATTCGAATGCCTTGAGACCCCTGTTCAAGGGAGTTCATCGACATGGCTATCAGTTCCCAGTCACGACGGTCGCTCCAGTGGCAGCACACGCAGTAGTACGAGGACATCCGACGACACCCTCTCCGCTAGATCCTATGACACCTTACCCACCGGCTCTAGTTGCATCAGCGAAGAGGATGCGCATAGCCAACAAAACTGCTCCATCAACGCCAGCCGAAAATCCCTTCCCTATAAACGCATCGTCATCTCGGACGGACTGCCTTCCGTCGACGAGGTGGAACGACTGGCGACTCAATATGGTCAAGCCTCACATATGGGACTGCTCGACCCCAGCTACAGCATCTTTCTAAATGGAGATCGAACCGCAGGTTTATGTTTCAAGGTCCTGAACAAGGTCGCGATAGTGATGGGCGATCCTATGTGCGACCCAAGTCAGATATCCAGCGTGCTTGACGAGTTCAATCGGTACCGACGTCGACAACGCTGGGATATCTCATTCCTCGGCGCCGGTGAGGCGCTTGTGAGCTATACCAGAGCACGTAACAAGAAATGGACGGTCTTGCAGTTTGGTAAAGAGCGGGTCTTGAACCCTCTGACAAACGAGGTTATACTCGAGACCAGCGGAAAGCGTATTCTGACTCAGAACCGACAGCTCCTCAATCCAAGCAAAGGCGGCATTACCTTGCATATTTATACACCGTCCTTGGAAACGGATTACGAGTTGGAGACCGAGTTGTGCGCAATCTATGATGAGTGGCGCATAGCCCGCAACAAGTCGGGAAAACTTCAAGCCTTCATTACTGAGTATGATCCCTTCCTAATGCCGAACCTCATGACATACATTTATACTCGGGGGCAAAACGGAAAGGTGAACGGTTTTGCAGCCCTACGATGGATCGGTGGGAAGAATGGATATCACGTCGATCCGTGTATCGCTGCCCCTGGAGCGCCAAAGGGGATTAGTGATCTGTTAATATTCGCCTCAATGGCTTGGCTGAGGCAGATTGGCATCTCACACCTTAGCTTTGGCTATGAGCCTTCCGACTCGCTGGCAGAGGTGTCAGGAATGCCCAGTCCTCTCGCACATCTAACCCGCCAAATATATCGATATACATTCCAGCGACTACCGATCGGCGGAAAGAAGACATATTTCGACAAGTTCAGGCCGGATGAGGAGCAGGATTCACCTCTCTATCTTATATTTCCATCGAAGATCCCAGAACCACGACCGATCATTGCTATGGCTCATGTTGCTAATATCAGTATCCGGAAACTGCTATTCGATCACCGTTCCAAGCCTTCGGTCCCGCAATGATTTGTACTGTCCCTGCAAATGTCCTTTCTAATAAAGCGTAATTGTTCTGGGACCCTTACTCTCTTTTGGCTCATTTTTCTTGATTTGGGTGTACACTCTTTCTCCTCGTCTCTTCCAGCCGCTATTTAGGCTACGTCTGCTTGGTGTCTTCTATCCTTCCTTATAATATCCTTCTCTTGAACGAGTTCATATGTCTGTATGTATATATTCCGTTTGATGTTTCTGACAGCGATTAAAGTATAGATTTCCTTCTATTTCCATGCATGTTCGCAAAGGCTGATGGCCTGTCTAGCTCTTTATGTACGGCCTGCATCAACGCCGTAGCCATTTCCATGCGTACTGTTGACCTCTATACACTACCCCCACGAAGTTGAGGCGCAACTGTGGAAGCATCCATGCTGGCTAGCAGGCTCAGGCATCTGATGTTCTCTACACATAATCTCTGGTAAAACACTGCAGCATAACATGACCACTCCGCGCACAGAACTTCTCCTGCGCCTCGTACCCCTCCGGCAAGAGATCCCCTTCACCGTTCGCAATCAGAGCTTCGGCAAGGGTACAGCTTCCCACCTCCTCAAAGCCCAGTTGCTGATACAGCCGTACAGCCGCTTCCATTCCCCACTTGACCATCAACCGCACGTGGACATTCTTTGGCTCGGCCCGATACTCGACAAGATACTTGATAGCCTCCGCACACAGTCGTTTCGCGATACCTCGCCCACGATGCGAAGATAGCGTGTAGAGACCGAGAAGCTGCCACCGCTCTTCCTCATTATCCGGGCCTGGTTCTGGCTGCCCGGATGTTGCAGGCAGCGTGAACTCCTCTTTGGTTCGGGGACCGAGCAGCGTCAATTGAGCGACCCATTCTAGATCCTCTTCGCTGAATGCATTAGATTTTGCGGCTGGACGTGCCGCGCAAACAATTGTCTCCCTCCCTGGTTGCGACAGGCGCGATTCCCAGTATTCGTCTGTGAGAAGGGCTTCTGACTCGTAGGTTGCGGCAAATGATGACGGGGAGAGTTTGAGGGCCTGAAGACGCAGGTCTCTGTATCGCTGCGCTAAGCAAGTGAGATCTTCCGTCTTGGAGACTCGGAAGTAGGTATAGTGATAATCTGATGTCATGTTTTTATAAATTTCAGAAAAAGGAACGGTTGCGATAGAAATGATTTTGCGAGTCGGTTACGGTTTTTAGTTGTGGCAACCACAGAATACATCCGCTAAATCCGCAACATCCGCAGCCCTATGAAGACGCCAATCTACCAGCCGGTTTGGCTGAGCACACGGCCCAGACACTGATGTATATTGAGTGAGTTTTTGTCACCCTATATTACGCATACCGCCCACTTCGCTTTTGTGATTGGCGAGACAAACCGGGACACAGGAATTTACACTACCAATATGCCAGTTGTCAGTATCCGCAGAATGTTCCGATGTCCACTATGTTTGGCAACGACGTAGCCTGGTCATCCAAATACCTTGAGCAAATGGAACATCTTCCTTGCCCTACTTTGGAGTCGGATATAGCGTCGATCACGTATACCATTCTATTCCGAGCCACTGAAGTAACTGCGCCACGAATCGACCGAGCGGTGGCATTGACACGACGCACCGGATACACTGGCTCTGACTAACTTAGGAGAAACTCATACGCTACTGGTTCAGGCAGGCCACAGTATCTATGAAAATATCTGAGTTCTTCTGTTGTACTACACCTCGATATGAGCCCTGACCCCCAGCGCTACATCCGAAAAGGGAATGGTCGCAAATGACGAAAACCACAAGGTTAGGATTAGTAATCATTTCGATTCGTCGGTTTTTCTTGAAGGGATTCGCCTTGAACCGGGATTACAGGTGTCGCCTCCGAGTATCTAGTATTGATAGGGATGGAGTTGCGAACGCGTCAGGAGACGTGTAAAGCCGGAAGACAAGGATGTCAGGCCAGGTGAAACGGCAGCGTCGTTCCAAGGTTGCCTGTGAGCCATGCCGGACCAGGAAGAGGAAGTGCAACGGCCAGCATCCTTGCGAGATGTGCACAGAGTCTGAGTACACATGCCATTATGACTTGGGCTCACGCAAGAAACGAAACAAGAGCTTTGTCCTAGAAAGTCTGACGACAGTCCGACCGGCGCAGAGGCAGCAGGCCGGGTCGCATTCAGAGTCCCCAAGGGCACCGACTCCACGACGACCATCACCACCTGGTGAGCGATTTACCAATACTGTGCAGCAGTCGATCGGACCCAATTCTGGCGCAGTCTTTGTGCAGAACCTGGGACTCAAGATCGACCCTGTCAACGCACTGGATCCCCAAGTCTTCGCGTGGAATATCGGGCTGCGCCAATTGCCGGGCAGCTTCATGGCGATGCCGATAGTAAATATCATATCTGCCGAGGAAATGACCGCGCTGACGCACATTTACTTCGACAAGGTAGCTCCTTACTACGGCTTCGTTGACCGGGATAGCTGCTTTGAACATATCCAGTCGAGATGGGATCAACCTTCCGCTTTTGAACCATCTGATGTCGTTCTTTGCGGAGTGGCCGCGATGGGCTACTTGTTTTCTCAAAGGAGAGCAGTGGCCGCAGAGCTGCATCTGGTTGAATCGGCCAAGTCGGCTCTCGAACAGCGTTCTGGAGGCGTGATACCGCCCCTGATGTTGATCACAGGATGGGCCCTTCGAGTTTCTTACCTGCGGTTAACGGCCTCGCCTCACACAGCCTGGATGGCGAGCTGTTCATTAATGCACCTAATTGACGCGTCTGGTCTACACCTCGATCCGTCATCTAGACATGCGCTTCTACGACCGACGCAGAATATCGACGATGATATTAAGCGTAGGCTAGTCTCGTTTGCCCAGTACATCAACACATGGGTATCGTTCGACTTGGCAAGATCACGAATCATCTTACATGGCGCATCATACTCACCCCCATCCAGCCGAGACGGAGATTTCACAGCCGAGATGTTGGATCTGCTGCCCCTTTCCGAGAGTCTTGACCCCTTCACACCGGTCGACGCAGTCCAGCTTACCGCCATGCTCGTCAATATCATGCAAAGCAGCCGCGCGCAACCTCCGTCTGTTCTCTCTCAATGTAACCTCGTATTATGCATTTTCCGCCGCCTCCGTGCAGTCCACTCAACTCTATCCCCGGCTCTGATGAGCCAAATGCTGGCGTTAATTACGAAAGCTCTCGCCTGCGCACGAGAATTAGTAGACGCAAACTGTCCATGGAGTCACGTGGCGAATGTCCCCTTCCAGATTATCTGCACGCTACTGGCGGTGGACAGCCCAGAGTCGTTGTCTCTGTTAGATGACGCGGTGCAGACTCTCAAATACGTAACGGATGTCTACGGCACTGAGGTACTGAGGGAAGCATACCGGACCGCGGGCTCTCTCATTCTATTGCAGCAGAGACGAAAGGATCACGATGCGGGCCGTCTGAATGCTATCTTGGGCCTACACTTCGCCCCTGGTCATGAAACCATGTCGCAGCGACGGCCGAGCATGCAGGATTCCGAGTCTTTCAGAGAGTTGGTCGCGGATTTGTCCAGTTCGGATAATTTTGATTTTGCGCAGTTCTTTATTGCGGATAATCCTTGGAATGTGCTGGGAATGGACAGCTAGAATTTTGGATCCCATGTACCTTAGACTTGGAAGAGACGAGCGGCTCTCGCTGCATGATGTTCCCTTGCAGACCGTCATCCCACAGCATACACAAATTTACACTAACGAATACACAAGTGGAACAACCATTCGACTATATAACATAATCGCATACTATCATGAACAAGAATACGTACATCAAACGAAATCAACACCCACAACCCGAACACCTAACTATCCCATATAGCCCCATAAGCAGGAACGCCCCTCGTCTCCATCCCATAAACCACCTTCTTCGTCAACTTCTCATTCGAAATGACAATCACAGCCTCAGCCTGAAACTCCTGCACCGCATCCCACGTCAGCCGCACCAAATCCGGCCGCCCCTGCTTCTTCGTGTCGTGCACGATCGCCCCCGGATCAGCGGCGTAGACCGCGTCCACGACGTCCTTCCCGAATGTATCGACGGGGTTAGGCGTCGACCAGACTAGCCGGAATGGACAAGTTGGGACTTGGATGTGGCCTAGGAGAGGGCCGATGCCTGAGCCGGTGCCTACTAGGACGACGCGGTTGAAGAGCGTTGCGATGCGCATCACGCCGCAGGCTGCGGACAATTAGCTGAGGAATATAGTGAGAGAAGAGGCGACTTACTGGGAATACCGCGGACCCATAGGTGGGTGGGTGGCTTGCTGATCTGCCGTCCTGTCCAGTCTCCTGCGCGAGACACGACTAAGGAGTACCCTTTCGGTCTACCGTTTACTGCGGTTGGAGCTGGGACAGTCGCGAATGAGTGCCACTCAAGTAAAGGCCGTTCGGATAGTCGCGTAAAGGTCCCGTTGACGGGCATCGTGTAGTCAAAGTGAAGCCGCACAGCATGATTGGAGAGGACCTCGGCGTCGACGGGGATCTTCCGGAGGAAGACCCACGAACTTGCAATGCTGGCGGTTATGACGAGGAGCATCCAGAAATTAGGTGAAGAGGTGACGGCCCGCCCCAAAGATTGTGTGCCGCGCTGGTCGCGTATAGAGAGGATTGTTTGGATCCAGATGATACCGAGGATTGTCCAGCCGAAGAAGCGATGGATGCGCTCGAACGTGTTGTGACGCTTCTTTCTAAAGGTTGGATATGCGAAGCCGATCATTGCAAATAGGAGGAGTAACACGATTAGGGAAAGAGTGAGAGTCGCAGGTGAGACTTTTGCAAGCACTCGGGCATTGCTGACCTGGTTGTAGATATTATACCCGATAGAGCCGGCGAACCAGGCCGTAGCGGCCATTGCAGCGCCCGAGTGAACTCCACCAAGATGGTAGATTTTTGCGCACCGGCGGCGGATTGCCAATGGCCATGACTTTGGTACAGAGCAGCAGATTGTGTAGAGAATGTTGATGACAGCGTCCTGGCGGACGAGGACGGCAATCGTGAGGTTGATGAAGGCGATTGTTGAGATCCATTGGGGGCCAATCTTTGGAATGAACAGAATACACAAGAGCGCAGCAATATTGGCAAGCCAAATGAGCGTGAAAAGCCTCCGGTAGACAATAAAGATTCGGTATCTGAGTCCCCGGACGACCTTGCGGTTCTTCTTCTCCGCCAACGGCATGGGTTTGTAGAGTGACTCTGATGAATCTGATCGGGTTGACACTGTTGCGCGAGAAGAGTTTAGAACAACATGCTTCTTCTCGTCTAGTATTTCCGTATCAGACTGCGATGTCTTGTCTTGGGGACGGCATAACTGAGCGAGCGCCCGTTTGTCGATCTTGCCATTTGGCGTCAGCGGAAACGCATCCACTCTATGCACTTGTGTTGGGATAGCATAGTACGGTAGTCTCGCCTTCAAGTGCATCTGTATTTCCTGCAAATCGAGTGCTTGAGGAGTGACGAATGCGACGAGGTCTCCTTCCACCATAATGGCGGCAGCCTCCATTACACCCGGGCACGACGCCAGTGACGCGCTGACACCGTCTAGTTCGACGCGGAAGCCCTACTGCGTTCAGAGCTGTGGAGCTAGAATAAAAGAAGTACAAGACCTACCTTAATTTTCACCTGATCATCATTGCGTCCCAGAGTTTCCAAGCTCCCATCAGGAAGCCAGCGGGCTAAATCGCCAGTATTGAACATCATTGAGTGACTGTAAGCGATCCATCTGTCAGTGAGCATTTCAATTAGAGAGACTGCCTGGGACGCACCCATCGTCAACAAAAGGATCATAGCGATAGCGCTCGGCGGTCTTCTCAGGCTGTCCGAGATACCCTCTTGTGATGCCTGCTCCACCAGCCCACATAGTTCCGACCTCCCCAATCGCAACTGGAAGTTGCTCATCGTCCAGTATATACACGCTGGTGTTTGGGAGAGGTCTTCCTATGGTTAATTGTTGGCCGAATTTGTGTCTATGCATGGTATTGATGATGGTGACCTCTGTTGGGCCGCAGCAGTTGTAGAAGGTTGCTCCGTTCGCAGCCCATTTATCGGCGAGGCTAGAAAGGCATGTTAAAACAAGTCGAAAACACACTCGGTTGGATAATGGCTACCTCTGCGAACATGGCTCTCCGGCCGTGGCGATGCATCGGATATTGGGGAAGGCTTGGGGGCGGTATCGACTGAGTATGCTCGGAGTGCATATCAGCGTATCCACCTAGCGACCAGGTTCAATGGCTGCATCAAACAGTCTTTGGATCTTGGACTCACCTGCTGTAGTGCCGCGTGCCAATCAGACCCTCTCAAAACCAAGGTTGCGCTGTTGCAGAGACTCCCCAGTATTTCCCAGGCACCTAGCAACGTTAGTAAGGGCTTTGGTCATTGTAGTTCACCAATGCTCACCCATGTCGAAACTGATGGACAATACTTGTCCCACTCTCGAGCCACGAGACATGCCCAGATTGCCGGGCGCATGGCAGACGACGTTTGTAACATTCCCGTGCGTGACATCGACGCCTTTGGGGGTTCCGGTGGTACCTTCATGGCCAGAGATACATTAGCTTAGTTTTAGATTGGGTGCGCAGAGCGATAACAGACTGACCAGAAGTGTAGATCACATAGCACCCTGAATTCTCGTCTCCCTCACAAATCAAACGAGTCGTGTCCGCCCGGAACCCAGTATGCTCCGCCTCAGCAAGTAGATCCTCCAGAACCAAAACCGAGGATAGCTGTGGCAAAGAGTGCAGTCGCGATCTGAAGGCACCCGTACACAAAGCTACAGAGCTTTGAGATTGAATCATCGCATGTGCCAGTGTCTGGTCTGGAACAACAGCGCCGTCGAGCGGAATATACTGCGCACCGCACATGAGGATGCCTAGGATACCTGCGACCATCTCCACACTCCGTTTTGTCGCAAGGACAATCCTGCTGCCAGGGACCACACCATGACTTTGAAGTCGTAGTGCAACGAACTGTGCATATTGAAGCAGCGTACCATACGTGACCTCGACCGATTTGTTCTGGGAAAGATCACAGACAGCGACGGTATCAGGATACTGCTTCGCACAGTTTATGAAGGCATGGTGAACAGTAGGATATGGAACAGGGCACTGGGGGCCGAAGCCGAACGATCGGAAAAGATTTCCGTCTCGCGGTGAGACTTGAGGAGACTCCATTTCTCGGGGACTTTGCAAATATACCAAACCTCGTTGCACGAAGTAACCCTGCCTGAAGGCTCAATAGGATGCAGAAGGAGTCCCTCGCAGGATATGCAGGATATATGTGCGCCCATTGTGCTACAGACTCCCTGCTCATGACGATTAGACACATGTTCCTTCGAGTCAGGTTGAGGGAATTTGGAAATATTGTTGGCCCCGCGCCCCGGCGTAGATATTGATTGCTGACCCACCAGTACTATGTCAGAAACAACAGTCGCCTGGCCCCGGCAGTCACGGCCAGGGCGTAGAATCGCGGGATAGCAGTGAGACAAGCTGATGCATCGCGACGGTCGATTGACTCGATTCGGATCCTTCAGGTGTCCACGACGTCACAGTCTGAGTAGCAATGGGCTGGGCATGCGGGGTCAAAAGCGTCGATCATGGGCCCTCTTGGTGATGGTCCCTGGATTCCTTTCCGATATTGGTGGCTTTACTCGCTCTAGGGTCACTTGAAAAGTGGAGACTAGACCCTGGTTGCATGCCTCTTCTGCATCAGTTGTCTGAAGAGAATGGGTCTCGACCAATCGGTTCATTATAGTCGCGGTTATGATTCGTGGTCGGATTCATATTCCTGAATGTTCTCGATTCATGCACACGGAGTTCAGCCGGATGCGCGCGCGGGGGTTCGTATGAAAACGGTCTGAGTTGCTTATGTTAATCTCACAAATCCCGGAAAGGCATCTTGGCCTCTTTCACTTGTTGCATGTGTGACGCCACGACGCGCAAGTGGTGTTCTCGACATGCTACACTCGGCCTAGCTGCTCAGCCGTTCTCGCCTGTGACTATCTCGACGCGGCCCGCAACTCCGTATGTTTCAGCCCCGACTCCGTACACGGGATGGGCTAAAATAGCCAGGAAATGTCTCAGTCGGGTGTTGAGCCCTTTTTAGCCTGGACTGTTTCCTCGAAGCTAGACCATCCGTGTTGCTGTCTGATCTCTGCCTAGGTGCGCATCGTCATGGATTATTCAACGCAGACCGAAGGGTTTATTTTGGCTGAAACACAACAGAGTTCTACTCGCATTCTCACTCTGAATCGTCCTAATAAGCGAAACGCTTTATGTCAGGCGCTTATCAACGAGTTATTGCATCAGCTGAAGATTGTCTCGGCTGATCCGCACATTCGAGCCATCGTCATTGCTGGTTCGGGCGCCATCTTCTCGGGTAGGTGTCTCCACGTTAAATGTAGGAAGCATGTAGCTGACTTGTCGCCACTTGCGCTTTCCATACAGCTGGTGCCGACATCAAAGAGATCGCTCAGTTGGATGGCGAAACTGCTCGGCAGAAGCGGTATCTTGAAGACCTCTGTCATGCAATGAAACAGGTTCGGAAACCTATTATTGCGGCGGTCGAGGGTAAAGCAGTATGTCTCCTGCCCTTACTATTGTTGACGATGTTGACAGAGAACTGCGTCTCACAGCTTGGGGGTGGTTTCGAGCTTGCCTTGATGGTATTTAATTATCCCCCTTCAGATGGCTCTTGAGCTGACTGTGCTACTCTTCAGGCAGACTTTATCGTCGCTACGCCGGAAGTAGAGTTTCGACTTCCTGAAATATCAATCGGTCTGATCCCCGGTGCTGGAGGTACACAAAGAGTGACCGCGGCTGTGGGCAAGTACAGGGTAGCTGCTCTTTAGGCCTGGTTCACAAGGGACTCGAACTGACAAGGTCATTGTAGGCAATGAACATGATTCTGCTGAATGAACCGCTTTCCGGAAATGAAGCCTATCAGGTCGGACTAGTTTGCAAACTGGTCGAACCAGGAAAGGCTTTGTCGGGGGCGTTGGAGATTGCAGAGAAGCTGGCTTCTCAGAGTGCCTCAACCTTGATGGTGGCAAAGGAGGCAATATGCAGAGGTGAGAGTCATTACTCTCATATTCCTTGATTTTTACTTACAGCTCGCCAGCGGACGAACTGCAGCATGACCATGAGTTTGAGCGGTCACTGTATTATGCCACTTTCGGGACCCGCGATATGGTGGAGGGAGTAACTGCATTCCTCGAGAAGCGGGCACCTGTGTGGAGAACGCCATCTTGAGGATATCGTTGAATGTGGAATCCGATCATGTACATTATAGCAGGCACATGCCTAGAGATGAACACATATACGATGAATTTGAGTATATGCAATTGACCATGAGTAATATTCACGCCTAGAACTTTGTGTTGTTCATTGAGCGAACCCTAGACACTGGACTTTCCTTCCGAGCTCCACTCAGAGACACCTGATGAAGGCAAATACGGCGGCGGCTGTTCGTCTGAACTGTAGACCACATATCTTCGAGAATGACTGGAGCCCTCATCTGCTGAGCCCCTAGGTAAACCATCCTTCTTTACCGTCATTCCAGCGTTCGAGAGTACCCCTACTTCCAGATCTGTAGCATCGAATTTGAACAACTTCCCTGCGCATTCGAACACCAGCGAGATCCTCAGCCGGTATGAACGACTCAGATTAAAAGTGTTAAAAGTGACATCAGTAGTAGGCAATGATATCTGGCCGAACCGCTCAGAAAGGTCCATCTGACCAGAAACAGCCATCCGCAACGATGTTTTTGAAAGTAGCATAGTCTCTTCATCCACCTCGCCCAACATAGATCCCATCAGCAACGGAGATGCACGAGCGGCCGTCCTGCCGATGAGTGTGATGGAGGCCGTTTGTAAGATAATCTCTGGGACTTGAGGGGCATTAGAGTTGTCTATTAATGGCTTGACACCCAGTAACAGTGGGATCGGCATGCCCCCAACAAGGTACAATGGATACCGGAACTCAACGCCAAAGGAAAAGTAAGGCAATTGTCCGGGAGAAAGCCACGCCTTGAATCTCTCCTGCACGCTCAGGGAGCGATCGGTATTTCCTGGCAACAATGATAGGCTGCGTACGGTGAATGTTCGGTCGATCTTCTGCTTCTTCTCTAGTTCGATAGCACGTGTGCGTGCTCGTGCCGCCATCGGAACGAATGGAAGATGCACCACCTTCTCAAATATCGGCGACTTTCTCTCGAACAGGCCCTTTGTGAGCTTGAAGATCTGAACTTTCAGCCGGTACTCGACGCTTGCGGATACCCTTCGCAATGAATTGTGGCACTCTGTATTGAATGATGGGGGTAGTGGTTGGTTCTCGTCGACACGGAATGACTCTGCCTCCGGCCAGGCATTTGGCGATTCCACATGAGGAGGGAAGTGGAACTCAAATGGCCATTCATAAGTTGTGGGCGGTATTTTGCATTCTTCTGCAGGAACGAGGATTCTCTCCCTTTTGAATAAGATGCACTTGCTCTGGTAGCTGCCTGTCGGTCCGGCCGGGCCCTTCACTTTCTGAATCTTGGCTTTCGAGCAACCCGAGAAGGTTAGTCTGACATCTTTGAACTGTTGGAAATCTCGAGGGCAGTCAAAAATTATTCGCCCCCTGATGATGTCGTTTTCCGCGTAATATTGGCGCGGGTCTTCGATGTAGATATTGAGAGACATTGCGCGTTGGCCGTGACAAAGGGTGATGAGACTCAATCTTGCCCTTAAAATGAAATACCTATGATAGAATTTATTTGTGGGGTTATGTTGTTCCATTTAAGAGAGATGCGCGTCAGTGAGCCCTCTGGTGAAGTATACATCTTGCGCAATCTTCCCAAAAAGGCAGAAATAGTACGAATACGGCGAGTGGAGACCGGTGGGCCCTTGACATCGTAACCTCACTGGCCTCGACCACGCTTTGCCCTAGAATTGGATACATGTTCCGGTAAATCTATTGCTTTAGAGGATTTGAGATACTGATTTCTTCGATCTTGTGGTGAATTTCATGTGTTTGGCCTGCATGGAGCCAGCCATCCCATCCTTACTTGCGTGTCTTTCTCTTTGGTGGATTATGACGCTGATTCTTCCAGTCTTTACCCGGTAAATGTCTCTACCAGGTCATTGGACAGTTTTCCTATGTATAACCATGAGGGTTACAATTAGTTGGTGATGCTGCTTCTGCCTGAAAGTACGAGTACGATCAAACCCCTAAAAATGGGAGATCTGCAAGAAGGAACCACGATCCTAAATCAAGAACCAATAGTAATTAGAGCCGTGTATAGATGCTCGTCATTCTCCGCAGCATTGGTCTGACAGTGATGATGACAATCAAGTTCGACAGAGGTTAAACGTATTCGTCTGGCAGATTACTTTATATCCGTCGATATCCTAACGGGGAATTTAGGGTACAAGTGCGGATATATAAACAACCACACTGTCGACATGGGATAGGAATCCTACCAGTACCCATCGTATCTTTTGCGTCCACATTACAAAATGATATTGTTCTCTTTCACTGCCTTTGTGTCCCTCCTGGCTTTTCCCAGTGCAGTGCACTCCGATTCACACTGCAAACTCTCTCCCCTTGACGCTGAATGGCCCTCTAACCAAGAATGGGCCGCGCTGAACGCATCAATCCAAGGGACCCTGATCAAGACGGCTCCGGTTGCGTCGTCCTGCTATCCCGGAAATCCCTTTGGCTCGACTGAAAGCTGCACAATCGTGAAGAAGTATTGGTCATATGCTGCATACCACTCCGCCTGGCCTGAGAGTGTTGATTACTCGATCTACACCAACAACTCCTGTGTGCCTCCTGGCGTTGCGGGATACACCGAGGGACGGGGCTGTAGCATTGGAGCTCTTCCACAGTATATTGTCAATGCCACGACCGAGGGGCAGGTAGCGAAGGCAATGCAGTGGGCGTCCAAAAGGAATATCCGTATCGTGGTGAAGGGAACAGGCCATGATCTCAGCGGACGGTATGCGATTGGCACACATTTGGCGCCCTATCAACTAATTTGAAGGCAATTAGATCTACCGGCGCATATTCGCTTTCGATCTGGACACACAACTTCAGGCACATCGTCCATCGACCTTCATGGCCTGTACCTGCCTCCAACCACACCGCGGACGTCGTGATCGTTGGGAGTGGCAACAACTGGGGATCTATATACACTGCCGGTCATGCTATCAACCGCACCGTTGTCGGCGGGCAAGACGCCACCGTAGGACCAGGCGGATTGATCCAGAACGGAGGCCACGGTCTGCTTTCTAGCCACCACGGTCTGGCCTCAGATCAGGTATACCAAGTTACAGTGATCACGACTGACGGCCGCCGGCTAGTGGCCAACCATGCCGAGAATGAAGATCTCTTCTGGGCTGTCCGAGGCGGTGGTGGAGGCCAGTTCGGAGTTGTCACCGAGTTCGTTCTCAAGACGTATCCTGTGCCTGCGAACGTTGTCACTGGCGGGCTCTCATTCTATCCCAATCGCAGTGTAAAGGCCAGTGAGCTCGCTTCATGGGATGCCTTGGCGGAAACTGCGCGCATGGTTCCTGATCTGATGGACTCGGGTATGACGGGAACTGTAACTGCGCTGACGAAGGAGGCCGCCATGAGGCTAACCGGCGTCAACGAGACGATCCCCGGAGTAGCGGTCAGCATCAACCTGATCGGATACAACATGACGACGAAGAAAATGAACTCTTCTATCCACCACCTCGCAGCGCGCATCAGGAGATACAGCAATTCAAGCGCCCTTACACTGACATATCAGCCACCCTCAGCTCAAAGCTATTGGGCCTTCGCGAACCCCGACCCCATGGCTAGCAGGGCCTCTGGGGCTAGTAGTTCCATGAGCAGCCGACTCCTAGGCCGTCGAGAGCTCACCGACCTACCCAAAGCTGACCTAATCACACATCTCCAACAAATCCTTACATCCCAAAACCCAGGAAAGGGGGGGATGCTCCTCCTCGGCCTGCAGGGCGGCCCTGGACCCGCCACCACATCACCAGAAATGCGGGGTAGCGTGCTGCCCGCCTGGCGCTCCGCATACGTCCACGCCATGGTCTACGGTGCGTCGATCAATGACACTGCGGATCCAGCTGAAGCGTTGGCCACGGCTGCAGAATGGTACGAGTCGACCATCGAACCGGTTTGGAGGCGCTGGGCCCCGGATACGGGGTCGTACATGAACGAGGGGAACGCTTTCAGTAGGACCTGGAAGAAGGACTTTTATGGCGAGAATTATGACCGGTTGCTTGCGATTAAGCGGAGGTATGATCCTGACGAGAGTCTGTTTGTCTGGAGTGGGGTTGGGAGTGACAGGTGGGAGTATGATTTGCGGAGTGGGCTGCTTTGTCGGAGGTAGCTGTTGTACAACTTGTATAAATAGTCCCAGAATGACACGCTTAGGAACATTCTATGAATTCTAGATACTAATTCCATCTCGCGACCAGGACAATGGGATGTCGGATCTACCGACACCAAGATGTCACAAACAAAAATGCAGATATATCAACATAATGCAGCGCGCGACTCATTCTACATACAGTTTTTATGGCAGGGCCTCACTAGACCTTCTCCGCCATCTCGACAGAGCACCCATCGCCCTTCTTGTTCATCTCCATCAGGTCTGCCTCGGTGACCTCACCCTGAGGCAGATGCTTCGCCATAGAAACAATTTCCCAGGGGGACGACGCATCCCTGAAAACATGGTTCAGCAACTCCAGGTTGCGGTTCATAGTCTCGGGGTAGAAGAAGTACACCAGCAAGGGGATGCACGCCGAGAGCACGGCATACATGACATAGTACTGGTACCCGATAGTATCCAGTGCGATGGGCGTGACCATCACGACGACAAAGTTCCACAGCCAGTGGTTCGCTGTCGAGATGGACGACATGGCCACGCGCAGTCGGACGGGGGCCACTTCTGTACAATAGAGGAAGTTACCGCCGAGGAAGCCGATCGGGTAGAAGAGATTGAAAAGGAAGATAAAGACGACGGAGGCGATGGACGCGCCCTTGTTATCTGTGCCGCGGCTGTTGGTGATTGCCAGAGCGATCATGCAAAAGGCCATGCCTGTGCCGCTGATCATGAAGACGACTCGACGGCCGAGGCGGTCGATGGTAAAGAAGGCGATGAAGCAGCAGAAGAATTTCCATGTTAGGGCGCAGGCGGCCAGGATCTTGGACAGGCTGGCGCTGAGGCCGAGGTTCTGCTCGAATATCGTCGAGGCGTAGACGGAGATCAGGTTACCACCGCACATCTGCTGGAAGAATTGCAGGATAATACAGAGACAGAAGCGGTAGAATAGTCGCTCCTGGTCATTCGGGTCGAACATCTCCATCAAAGAGCCTTTGGATTGCGCGGTCAACTCAAGGGATGATTCAATACCGGAAATTTCGGCCCGGATTGCCTCGTCGTTGACAGACAGTCCCTTTAGGGATGCCAGCGAGTGGGTTGCTTCCTCGGTGCGGTTGACCTGGACCAGCCATCGCGGTGATTCCGGGAGCAAAAAGACCGAAAGAAGGATGACAAGGGCAGGGAGCAGCGACAGGGCAAGCGGGACTCGCCATTGCGTCGTGCTCTCGGGGATACGACTCAGACCGAAATCGATCCAGTTGCACAGTGAGTAACCAAGACACATGAATATACCATCGATGATGACATGTTGTCCTCTGTTCTTTGCCGACGAACATTCCGACTGCCATACCGGTACAGCCACACTGTATTGGCCAACGCCCATGCCTAGTATAATACGGCCGATAACGAATTGCACCAATCCATAGGATGCCACCTGCAGGACCTCTCCAATGATGGCGAGGATAGAACCGAGGAATATGGTCTTCCGGCGACCCAGTCTGTCCGAGATCAGTGTGCAAGACAGAGCCCCGATGAGGGCTCCGATCTGGAACGAGGCAATGACAGCACCCTTGCTGGTGGAATTGTGTGCTTCGAGGGACCCGGTCGTGTTAATCGTGTCGATCTGAGGGAAGGTCTCGACCCAACTCTGGAGAGTCGCCAGGGGACCGACACCAGCTTGGTTGTATCCAAAGACAATGAAGGCAGGGGCACCTATCAGAGCCACCTGGGCCCAGTGCAGGGCTTTTCCAGAGAGCCCGAGGTATTTGGGGGATTCGGACGCCATAGTGAGATTGATGCAGCACAACTCTCTGCAGTCCGCTAGGAGACTGACTGGCCTTTATATCGACCTCTGTGGAGTCGAGACGAGACAGGATAAGAGTCACTTTCAGCAACAAATTCTGCTCCCCCGACCTTCCCCGTTCGCGGGGTCTCCAGGCACTGGCCCCGTACCTCTTGGGGAATCACTCCATCAAGAATTGTAATTTGTAACAGCATTGTGTGTTGAGGCGGATGAATCCAATCAAGGGCACGTTATAGGTCGGGCTTTTTCTTTCTCCACTGTCTCCCCACCGGCCGGCCATTCAACCCCCGGAAACTTCCCGAATTGTCAGTGATGCCGGGGCGCATTTCGGAGGGATTGACTGTGGTTGATCAGGCCAAGAACGCCATCGACCAAGCTTTTCTTTGCGTTTTTCTCGGCCGTCTTGGATAATCTTGATTGTGCGGCCGAAGTTGAACCCTTGCTTACCGGGAGTGAGTACCCCGAGATACCACGATTACAACTGATGTATGTAAAGTAGTAAGAACAATTTCATATTCCTAATGTGTGTTTACTCAGCATTAATTACAACTTCCATTAGTGATAACAATTGCATACAGGGCCTGACTTATTAGAATGTAACGGATACCAACCAAGCCAATCAGGATTATTGGTAATTGACGGCGCAAGTTCAAGGTAATTGTAACCACCATATCGGCATGACAATATAGTTGATTCTCGTCAAGTGCACAAGAGAGCACTTGATTAGGGTAGCCATTCTTCCCCTCCACCACCCAGCTGCTTCCACCCAAGGTCCCATACCGAACGGGTCCACACACCAGTGGGGATCTGTTTCAACGCACAGCTGTAGCATTGCAGCACCATTTGTAGGTGCAAGACACAGGTACCCCATAGTTGGCTCTATAAAGTACTCATAGGAGGCACCTGGAACTTGGCGAATGCCAATTCCTATCGCGGTGGGTAATTCAGTGCCAGCTGAGGATGTAGCAAGCTGTTGGCCATCTGCTGCAGTGCCAGAACCGCACACAGTGATGGTAAAATCCCGGGGATTGTTGACATTTCAGCAAGGTGCATTGGACTGCTCAGGTGTGCTATGTTTGGAATTAGTAGACCGTATGACTTTTATGCAAGTATCTCATGATAGGCCCAGAACTCCCTAGCCTGCCTTGTTCAAAGCTGGCCGCAGGTTCTGTCTACCGAGGGCAAACAAGAGCAGCCCTAATATATCAAAGAAACTCATCTTTGCTAGTCAGTCAATGTGCAAAATAAAGATGGTGCGTAGTAGTGATACAGATCAGACTCTAACTACTATATAGGTCGCGATACCGCGCCATTGAAGTAAGCTTTGGCATGCCATATGTTCATGCTGCCAATTTCCGAAAGCAGACAGTCCGGATGTAGTGGAAACTCCCGTAGTAAGGAACCTAGTTATACATATGTTATATGATTTTGCATAATTTTGAAGGATCTAAGTATAGCATAGCTTATGCTTTAGAATCATAACTCGCATCTCTGAAGTTGTTTTCGTCAGACCGGAATCTCAACATTATCTACAGCTTACTGTGCAGCGGCCAACTTCCGAATCTGCCCCACCACCGCCTCGGTGACCTCCCTTGTGGTGGCATTTCCTCCCAGATCGCGAGTGAGAATCCCCATCTCACACACATTTTCGACACAGACCAGAAGCTTCTTCGCCGCATCTTCCTCACCCAGCCAGGCCAGCATTTCTGCAGCTGTCCAAAACGTCGCAACCGGGTTCGCAATTCCCATACCCGTGATGTCAAATGCAGACCCGTGGATAGGCTCGAACATGCTGGGATTCTCCCGCGTGGGGTCCAGGTTCGAGGTGGGGGCAATCCCGATGGACCCGGCCAGCGCTGCAGCGAGGTCGGAGAGGATGTCTGCATGCTGTAGATATCCCACCGTTAGTATTTCCGCCGTCAAGGCAAGATAGCCGAATCGGATTCTGGTTGGCCACTTACAAGATTCGTCGCCACGATCGTGTCCAGCGTCTCGGGCTTGAGCACCATTCGCGTGGTCATCGCGTCCACCAGCATCTTGTCCACAGTAACATCGGGAAAGTCCCTGGCGACCTCCGCAGCCACCTCATCCCAGAGGACCATGCCATTGCGCTGCGCATTACTCTTCGTCACGACCGTCAGTAGCTTTCGAGGTCTCTTCTGCGCCGTCTCAAACGCAAAGCGCATGATTCTCTCCACGCCGTGCCGCGAGAAGATGGCCGTCTCGGTGGCTACTTCCCACGCCTTGCCTCGGTGCGAGCGTCCGCCTTGACCCGCGTACTCGCCCTCGCTGTTTTCGCGGATGATCACCCACTCCAGATCGCCGGTCTTGCACTTGCGGAGAGGCGACTCGGTGCCGCGGAAGATCTTGGTTGGTCGGACATTGGCGTATTGCTGTAGCGGCTGGCAGATCGCCAGGCGGAGACCCCAGAGTGAGATGTGGTCGGGGACATCTGTCATCGTCAGTAGATCGACTTTGGGGGGGTCATGATGATTGACTTACCAGGGGCACCGACAGCACCGAATATGATTGCGTCGTGCTTCTTCAGCTCTTCGAGACCGCCGTCGGGGATGTATTTGCCGGTCTTCTTGTAAGTCTCTGAGCTCCAGTTGTAGGTCGTAAAGTTAAGCTTGAAGGTGTTGAGGGCTTCGCTGAGGGCATTGAGAGCCATAATACCTGCCCCGATGACCTCGGGACCAATGCCGTCGGCGGGAATAGCAGCGATGTTGTAAGTCTTGTTAGGGAGAACAGAGGGAGACATTTTGACAGTGTCTACGGAGTATGCAGATCTCTGAATGGTATAACAGAACAAGTGAGGTTATCAGTGCGGGAGGGTTAATCCTTCTATTATATTCTCCTCAAATGTATTACTCCTCATCATCTCATCTTTGGGACTCCCCACTTTTGAAGGTGGTGATTGTGCCGGACATTGTCAGATCCGGAGAACAGAGGACGAGCGGGGTTGTTCTCCTCCGGTGTCAACGCATAGGACTAGGAAATGTCCGCCATTCCACTCTCCTTTGAGCATTCAATATGTCTACAATGAATCAACAGTTGCCGACCAGGTTGGCAATTGAGTGGAATATTAATTCAAAAATATTCCGTTAAATTTTTGTAAGAACTGAGGAATTGATTTGAAATCAATCATCGTGTTCCTTGACAAACTGTCCGCCTCGTTATTGTATGGGCCATACGCTAAAATCTACCACATTGTACAAGATCTTCAAAACACTCACATATTCTGTTGATACTAGGAACAACATTTTCAACCGAAGGATAATATTTCCTATATCTGTTGTCTGTGAATTCATATCATGGACAAACGGTAAATCATGAAAAGTTCTCGTGAATCATCCAAGGCCAGTCCGCGATACTCCATAGATTATTTATAGCACACGGGTCAGCAGTTGAAAAAGGAGCGAGATCAAGGCCAGCAGCGATCGCATAGGGGAACTGCGAGCCCATTGTGTCCCCGAATATCAAACCAGCTGAGCTATAGTCATTCATATTGTCAGTTTCTATGCCAATGGTGGACTGGCCATTATGCAGATCATAACTCGACGGATGATGGGGCTGATTTGACAAGGGCCGTTGCTCATGTGCTGGGGTAGAATGCCTGGACGTTATCTCGGTAATGTTTGAGGTACTCCTTCTCGACGTCCAGGGCGAAGATAGGGGATCTGCTCGCGACAGGCCCTCATCCAGATCCATTCTACCGTTGGGTTCTATGTCCATGTGACGCTCGCTTGAAGCTGACAATGTTGTCCGCTGTGTGCGTCTGGGAAAAGTCCTGGGTACCGGAGTCTGTTCCCTAGAATCAGAATCTAGGTTGATTCTCAAGGCCGACTCCATGCCTCTGATTGCTTCGATACAGGTCTCCGGCCAGCTACTCTTTCGCAGGGAGAGATTTTCCAATATCGAGATGCCCAGTTTAGCATACTTTAGGGCGCTTATACTGGAAAACTCGCCCTCCGACGCTGCGTACATCAAAATAAGACAGGCCATCCAGGTAGCCCAGGTAAACGATGGCCAAGTCAATGGCGCTTGGTGTTTGCCACTACCCGCGGCATCTTGGCTACTTTGACTACTATTATGAGCCAACAAGTACGTCCTCAAAGCTGAAATCAGGGAGCGTGATGACTCAATGCAAGTCTGTAGGGCTGGTTTGTATTCCGGTGAATGTCGTTCCGCGGCGAGTAATGGCCGATTCATTGATATGATGGACTCATGCCTGAGCACCACAAGCAGCAGCCGGTGGTAAGGTTGCGGCGACGTTTCATACTGGGACGAACATTCTAGCTGCTCTTCCATGGGATAAACATCGTCATAGACCTCGTTCCACCATTGCGCAAGTTCACCGTTGACATACGTGGCCGCGAGGGTGTTATCATGACTGTGCAGGATGGATTTGTTGCGGAGCTCCAGTATAAGACCCCTAAGTCTCGCAAACTTGGCGAGATGGGTAAGCAATCGCAAGTGGCTGTTAGAGCCCTTCGCCTGCAGCACCTTCCCTATTTCTCCGTGCCTTTCACTCTCTGGATAGCAGACATCGATGTCGTTATCCTGTATACTAGGCGGTGTTCCGAGAGCCTGGGACAGATATCTTTCTAGACAATAAATCGACCAGAAAAGACGACGGCGAATATCTGCATCCTCACGGCTGAAACACGAGAATCGTGCAGGACAGCGATGAAGACCTAGATGAAACGCAGTTCGACTGATCAATCCCCCGACCCTGGAAGCTGTATTGAGACGTAATACAGACGTCAGTACTAGCTGGACGCTGAATACTGCCTGCAACAACGGAAGCGTTGAGGGCTCCAGCAGCAAAGCATGGATGCTTTCCATCGCCTCTTGTACTGTTCGATACACCAGGACAGAAGGAATCGGGTCCGCTGTCATACCAGAGTTCTGCACCTGGCGGTTATCAATCACCGATATAGAAAGTATAGAGCGTAATATAGCTAGATTAACACGATCCAGCGACTCGATTCCTCTCTCACCGACCCTTTCCATGGCTTCCAGCACGGTCGGTGCATGCAGGAACGGGAAGATGGGATGCCAATACTCAAAGTAGCTCCGCGACCATCCCACGAGGCTCTCAAATGACACAGACTCAGGGGCTTGAAGAGATAATTCATGTTTCAAGCAGAGCTCATCCAGCCCGTGCGACTTGCCAGGACTTCTTTGTAACTGATCGTCTTCGCCAGGCACTAAGCTCTGGTTCCTGACTCGCGCTTCAAGTAAGACCGCTGACCGCTTGGCGAATGCGCTATAAACTGTGCGGATAAAATGAATACCGCTGGAACTTCCCAGAAAAGTTGCGGAATCATCCCGTCCTGTCTCTCTCATAATTCCAATCTCTCGAGGCGATGGCCGGTACGTGCTTGTCATTGAGTTCCCTTTGCGCCTTTTGGCTGGCCGGCCCTCATGCTGCCATTGCAAAACGTCGCACCCAGCCAGACCGGTCGCAGATGAAGACGGTGTGGCCATATTTATTCGTATTCATGATCATAGCCTGAAAGTTGTTTGCCAAATATTTGCGAAGACCCCAACGCACCACGAGTTTGTGGAGGTAGAGTGGGATGACTAATCCTACTATTTGCGGGGATGTCACGTGGTTCACCGGAGTTTTTCAAGTCCGCCAGCCAACTCTCGTGTGTTATTGTTGTATAACCGGATCTGTCGACAATCGAGTTGCCTTTATTCAGTTGCCAAATGCCTCCAGGTACGATCATCGTCGTGTTTTTTGCGTTGTTTCGTCAGTTGTGGGGATGTCCTTACAATGGCGGTATTCCGTTGTCTGGTTCTTCTGCAGCCATTACGATATCGACAAGACTCTGCTAATGATGAGAGATATACAGAGGCCGAGTCAGTCAGTCCAATTTCCTGCGAACTATGCAGACAAAGAAAATGCAAGGTGAGTCGAGTCGTGGTCCACTATCTTGACATGCAACTAACGTACCGCCAGTGCGACCGCAATATGTATGAATAACCGTTCATCCCCATGCTGTGGTAAACGCAACAGAAACTAAACGACTATTGTCAGTCCATTCTGCTCTCAGTGTTCAGCGGACCCATCAAAATGCAATTACCCAGAGAGTGGGAAGAGGTAGGTAATCTGCCGTCTGGCCCATAATACTGTTCCTGATGGCTTTTACAGGGGCCTACCATTAGGCTACATCAATCAACTAGAAATGCGACTTGCAGATACAGAGCTCGCTTTATATGAAGCGCTTGCAACTTTACGCACAATGAGCGCTTCATCACTCGTTCGAGCTTCACGGAAGGCAGACCTATCACGGAAACAGAAGGCTGCACGGATGGAAGAATGGGCACAACTTCCTTTGCGCGAGCCATCGGATTTGGAGCGCTGGTTGGACTCAAAGAGGGACAACTTCACCATAATGAACGACGTTGGTGATGCACGGCAAACAATGCCTCTTGATGCAATTCTGTCCTCAGATAGCGCAACACGGCGTCAGAATTCTCAGCCTTCCAATACGTCTGGAATGTTGATCGGAACGAATTCACCGGACGGAGCCCGATCGGGACAAGTGGTAACATTGTCGAGCACACCAAATAATCCTCAGATGAGTGTAGACCAGGCTACTTCGCCCTCAACTCCTGGTAGGAACCCCTGGCGCGAGACATCGAGACACGGTCTGCCAGAACAGATTCCGGGGTCTTCGGGTGAAGTGATGATGCTAGAGGATAACCGAATGGGCAAGGCAGGACAATTATCAAAATGGCACCCGGCCATATACTTCTAGCTCAAGGCAACTGGAGCTGGTTGACTGGCTCCTGAAATAGTTAACGTAATCCACGGTTGAGGGGCGAATACGGCTGAAATGCGAATTTTCGCCGCAACCACCAAAATATCTAACCATTTTCAACGCGCAATTTTCTGTACTTTTTTTCTATATAAAATGCCTCTATCTAAGGAAGCCTGTATGCAGTTGGTTATTACTGCATAGAAATAGCAAAAGTTAAGACGTTAAGTCAAAGCTAAAGGCTGCCCAGATATTTAGTGTCCCTAAATTACCCCTTTGCAAACAGCTTATCATGCTTATGTAGATTATCTTTTAATATAAATAGAGGAGTTCTGCTTTATTATATAGTCTTCCTAAAATCCAACTAACTAACTATAGTTAGATTACTTAACCTTTCTTTTAATGTGTAATACTACTTATAGCTATCTCCTATTTCAAATAGTTAAATACCATTAATTTCATAGATTACTTATAATAGCGACTAGATTATATACTCTTAATTAGAGTTGCATTTGGTCTGAGTTCAGGCGAGTTTAAAACTAGTTGGCACCAAACTGCTGCGATTTCAAGTTTGAATTTGGAAATCAGAACCAAACCGGATCTGTTCTGATTTAATTCAAGTTTAACCGCAAAAATCCACCACTAGGCCTAGATAGGCCTAGATAGGCCCCTACTAACTAACCATGGTTAGGTTTGAATGGTTTTGGGTAGGTACTTTCTTAGCTTCGATTAAAAGTATTATAACTAAGATACGTGTAGGGTTTAAGCTAATAAATATTTAATATATAGGTAATAACCTTACATAGAAGATAGTATTTGACACACCTGTAAAGGATCCAGTGATCCACAAGACAGGGTAGATTGTAGCGAGTAGGTCCCGCTGAATGCTCAAGCTGTTCAACAGAATCATATAGCCCTCATGAAGTCATATGTCAAGCTTGGTAGGATCTCAATACACATAACGACGCCCTAGGTACATTTGAACGAATACGGGTATCCATCTGATTCCCCCCTAACAGGCAAATTTAAAACCAAGTCATTCCAAAGAAAACGCAGTCAACTGAAGCATTACGGTAGATTTTGGAAAGCACAAATCCAATGGGCGCCGCCAGAATAACTATTTTTCGCGCACAAGGTGGTTATGAACGTTCAGAGTGTCGAAAAATCCTTTAATCTCAGAAATCTTCCCGTCATCACCAAAGTGTAGCAAATAGGCAAATTCATGAATAAAGGGTTCTCCTATGAAATGCTGATTAGCCATCAGAGATGCTATCCCGTCAATACAATAGCTTGCCTGTCTTAGTCGTCGCTGTGGTTTTACAATCTAGTGCAGCCCATGAATCGCTACCACCACCTATCACGCGAATGATTTCGGATGTCGACGGCTTATTAGGGTCCAAAAGGTTATGCCACGGACGGGCGACGTTTGATATGACAGCATTCAGGTCGGTGCTTTGGATAGCAAAGGGAAATCCCTGACCCACGATGTGGATCCTTGCGTGAGGAGACAGAAATCGTTCCAATCTCTCCGGTTCCTGTGAGAACGGGCTTTGGGCGATTCCCCCTTGGTAGATTGCATCAAAGATGGCTTTAATGTCGGTAGGAGATGGGGCCATTGCTGATGCTGGACGGTCGGGCAAGGAACTGACGGGCTTTCGCAAGACTTTGAACGATCAAGTCTTTGAACACTAGCTTCTGTCAACGGTTGGCGCTCATGAATATAACAAAGCGATATGGAAAAGGAAGTGGACAATATATGGTCGTTTCCTTCCTAATAATTACATCTGTGGGCTTGAGTTTCCGTGCGTACTGTCACGTCATCTTTGCTGCTACCTCACCTGATTCTGCGGCATTTGCGGCATTGAGAGCAAAGGATAATCAGTTGCCATGTTTGCTTTCTTGCGCTATGGACGGATACTCTGGACGTTCTGTCACTGGCTGTCCTGTCAACATGCATATGGTCTCTCCCACATCTGCAAACATCATCTTCATGCCGCAGGCGCGTAGGAAACAGGGGTCCAGGATGTAGTGTTCATTAAGAGTTACTCCCACAGTGATACTGACATCCATATAGCAGCCATAGTCTCTTCTGCCATTCACCTTAGTCTGCTTGGGTACCAGGTTCTAATATGCTTCCTCGGCTACCCTTCTTTCCCACTCATGATTGATATTCGAATTGCAAATTGCGTGCCTAGGTAGGGCCCATACTACAATGTTTTATGCTGAGCAGGCACAGGGTTGCAATTTCGTGCGTATATCCATATCCATTAATGGGAGAATATGCTGAAGTTTGCGTTACATTGCAGTGTGACACTTTCTACCCATGTCTGCTGAAGCTCCGACGATTCCAGCTGAATGTACTACAGAATAGAGGGGTTCCCTTTCTTCATGGACTCGGGTGTAGCGGCTATGGATCAAAAACAAAGCAGGTGGCAAATATACTAAAGATTAAATAGATTAAAAAAATTGTGTTTGAGGGCTGCAAGGACCCTGGAAGAACAAAAGCCATCAGAAACAGCCAGCCTCTCATGTTGTTGATACAGCGGCACAGTAAAAAGTCGAATCTGTGGTACTTACCTCCTTATACTGCTCCTGGGTTGAGTCCTGACATACCACTCGAAATTAGTCACAGACGCCACGTAAAGATATCACGCACAGTGATCACGCATTTCTGAGCTCCAGAGTATTGGATGGAATCATTTCCGGACTCATAGAAACCCTGATATCCCCCTATGCATGTTAGCTTACTATTGGTCGACATACCTATCACCTATGTATATGGGCTAGGGGTAAATACCTTGGGTTCAGAGTCTTGACGGACCACCTGTACCAGTAAACGGACTACCCTAGAAGCGGCGATTGTGCAATGTCTTCCTGCGATTCCGGTTACTGTACGGTGCATAAGATCATCCTATTGACGCCAACAAGCCTGCTTTAAGGCCGCAACTCTTCCTTGTGATCGCAGACTCTATTTCTTCCCCGAAGTCTGAATCCAGTTCTTAAGGCAAGCGCGGGGAAGGGTCCTACGGGTAAGACAGCACCCAGAAAGCTAACCTCTTGTACGGACCTTCAATACCTGAAAGAGATTCCAGCATTTGCCGTCTGTTTGTAGCTATGGCGGGAAACGACGATTCATCAAAGGGAGTATCCCGGCGGATCCTCCATTGGCGTTCAGGCTGCAAGAGCAGAGGCACTCCCAGTAGTATGTTTTCGGTGACCAACCATCAATCTCTGATCTCCCGAGTTCAAGATGCTGCATCAGTCCTCCGCACTATCATTCGCACTACGAAACAGTCCTCATCGCCAGCCAACTTCATAATGCAGTACATTCTGCAACCGACTTCCAGGAATGATTTCTTTGTCCTATGCTACGCATTCCCCGCGCTGTCGCGTACTCCCAGAATTCTTGACACTGCGCCAACTCTCCGGTCAGATATGAGCGATTGGAACTACAAGGGCGCCCAGGTTGAGTCCGGGAGCAAGAACGTTTTGAACATTGCAAGTAGCAGTCAACTTGGCTTTGTGGAATTGGAATTTAAGACCGGGAACTTGCTCGAGTACGCCATCCGGAATCTACCATTTACGGGTAACAGCTGCGGCTGCAATGCAAAACTGGAAGAAACGGTGAAAAACGAGCTGAAAAGCTTCATGGGCTTCGACGGGTGTGTCCTTACTGCAATCGGTTACCAGTTTAACTTGGTTGCCTTCGCAGCGATGGCGATGGCTGCCTCAAACTGTGAGGAAACAGTGTTTCTGATGGACACCGGTTGCCACAACAGCATGTATATCGGAGCATTCATTGCCTTGGGGAAAACAAAAGGCAAGGTTGTTCGGTGGCAGCACAACGATGCGGTGGATTTAGAAAAAAAGCTTCAGCACATCTACGGTAACTACGACTCCACAGTGTCAACAGGAAGAAAGAACGTATGGGTCACCATTCTAGGGTTCTATAGTATGCTTGCAGCTGTACCATGTCTTGATGAGATCATAACATTGAAACGCAAGTACGGTTTCAATCTGTACGTTGATGAAGCAGTATCTTTCCTTGGTCTCGGACGGACTGGTCGCGGCATCGTGGAGTTCTTTCGTGATAGGGGCTCGTCAGATCTTGGCATGGATGACATCGATATGATGGGCTGCACATTTTCGAAGAGCTTGTCATCCATGGGTGGATTTGTTCTCTGCCGAGCTCCTCTAACATCACATCTAGACGCCAGTAACTTGGCCATACGAGCATCAGGTGGTGGCTGTGTCGCCACTGTTTCATTAATTCGAACCCTCCAAATCCTGAAGAAGCCGGCTCTCATTAAGCAGCGCCTAGCCCAGTTGCGTCAGGTCTCTTCATATCTCATTGATGGCCTTGAAGCAAGAGGTTACCAAATCGCAGCAATGAGAGGCTCGAGCACGATTGCTCTTTTCTTGGACAATGTGTATAGGATGCTTGAATTTTTGAAGCATGCTAGAACCATTGGAATCATCTGCACTGGAGCCGCCTTTCCTGCTGCGCCTCGTGGACGTCCGCTTATACGTCTCCTTCTGACAGGGTTACACACGCCTGCAGATATCGATGAAATACTGGATAAAATTGACCAGGTCGCGAAATCTATTGGTGTGAGGACATCGAAGAGGCCAATTTCTCAATCTGGCAAGACAGCTCCAGACACGAACGCGTCAGATTCTGCAATCTCACCCAGCGAACATTTTAGCTCTACCGAGTCTTCTGACGATGTCGACGCCTCAATTCTTGCAGTGTGCCCAGAGCCTATATGCTCCTTAAATTCCAAATCTGCTACCATCCGTGCGAGCGGAGCGTCAGCTCTGTCCAAGTTCGGCCTAGGTGCCCAGGGGGCCCGCTGGACATGGGGCACATTCTCCGCTCATCTATCACTTGAAAGACTACTGCGGACAATTCTTGTCCCAGTGATGTCTTTGTATTTGCCCAGAAACATGACTTTGGATTCCATGGAGACGATGCTGTTTCCCGACCCCTACACTGGTATCCTCTCCATCATCTCGCAAAACATGGAAAGTTTGACAAGGCGACGAAAGAAGAAGGGAGAGAAAGTTTTGATGCTGCTTCCTGATACCTCAGGAGCTGACGTTAGGGACGGAGTTGCAGCAGCGCGGCCAGACGAGAGTGTGAAAGTGCGGTGGTATACCTGCCGCCCTGATGAGCATGGATGGGGAAAAAGCCTTCAATCAATCCTGCAACAAGAATACGAGGTGTCCAGCAGGAAAGTGCACTTGACACTATACATCGATTTGAAGCTTCTTGTGGACCAAAGGAGGAGTAGAATTAGTGAGAATGGAAGCCTTGGCTGTTTGATTGCTTCGGAACTCAGCGAAACATTGAAAGCGCTTGGACAGTTTTGGCCACCACTGAGAGAAACGACTCCACTACTTTCCGTCACTTTCATACTGAACGACCCCTACATGTTTTCCTCCGGTCTGTCATCTACCCATGCCCTCATATCTACGCTTGCATCTTCCAGCCTCGGCGTCTTCTCTTCTGCTACAAAGCCATCTTCAACCTCCCGCTTTCTCCTCTTCGGCTCATTCGACTCACTGCCATATGCGAGTGGCCTACAAGGGGCTTTTTGTATAGGATCTCAGCATCTCGTCCAGAAACTCCTATTTATGAGCCAAGGAGTGATGTATACAGCCATGATGTTGCCACTTAATGCGGCAATGGTGGAAGAGAGCATCAAGGCGATCATTTCCGAGCCGAGTAGTGATAGCGACCCGGTACTGTCTACAGCAGATGCAAAGATGGAGATAGCCCTCTGTTAGCGAAGACGTCGCCTTGGAGGACGGGCCTAGCAACGCTAAGGAAAAGGAGGTCTTAGAGTGGCTCACTACACAGATCTGTTGCCTCGCAGCTGTCAAAGAGACAGGGTCGTTTCGTCCACCTTCTCATAATGGTACGTCTAGGAGCATTCTGGACTCGTTCAGTGTACTGTTTGACGCAGTTAGGGGTAGCGCGGACTGAGGGGGAATTGTGGCACCAGTGACTGGCTCATATTGTTAGCTCAATTCAGCGTACCTGTCGAGACGACGGTCAGACTTTCATTAGTAAAACCTTCTACATGCTTAGAGTTTATTGCTATAGGGCAAGGCTCCTGCTCCTTCAGCTTGGGTTGCCAGTTGAAGCTCTTCCAGCCCATCTGCTCTGAGCAGATGCTGCTCACCCATCTAAGGAGGGGAATCCCTCAGCCAGAGATAGTGAAATCTCTACCGCTGTTGGCCAGATGAGCTCGATGCTTGGCTGGACATGAAAGTTTCCATGAAGTAATGCCTTTAATGGTTTCTGTCTGGTGGACGTGCCTCGTATAATCGATGGTCCAGACCCGATCAAACGCGACCCTGCCCGAACGAGCTCGCCGCTGCTGTCTAGTATACCTGAAGGAAAAGCAAAAAATGCTAAAATAGGAACGCCTCGACCTGCAAGAGACTTCACTGGACAAGTCCCAGATGCCGAGGAACTTTACAACCCCATTATCTTATGGGAACTGAGGGTTAGAGCCTGCCAAAACATATTCGACTGACATTTACGTCAATGAAGCGACTAAAAGTGGTAGGTTTGATTATAAACAAAGGCAAAATTCAGCTCTTGAACTTAGGGTGCATAGTGCAGAACAGGTGCCGTGGAATGTATAATTCAACACCGCACGTGTTCTTTGTTCGGTCCGTTCAACCTGGGCCAGTGACCTCCTTCTCCACGATGTTGCATTTTATTGCTGGTTCGTCAGGGCATCAGAAGTTTCAAGAAAATGATCCATTGAACTAGCGACTTACATGACTCAGAGGAGCAGGCGTCCCGTCATCTTTCCTAGCAAATTTCCAGCAGAATTGAACGGCGTGTGTGGAGTAGGAGCAAGTGCTCGCAGGCAATCTACAAGTTGAAACCCCTCACTAGTATTATAACTTGTAGGCATCTAATTCCACAGGTCAATATAGCAATGAGCAGTATAAATGGTCTTGTTATTCATGCCGATATGCAAGGTCAAAACTTCAGGATGTGAGTGTTCAACTGCCTTTTACCTAGAAAGCGAACAAGGAATAAGCATCCATCTGATGGAATAGAAGGTAAATATTGTTCGCATAGAAGACTGAAGGGGGAAATAACTTCTGAACAGCTTCTAATCCGGCTTGTGGATGTAGTAAACAGATTGAGATTCAGGATATGAACTTGCAAGCTTAGGCTGCTACCCATCCTCCGAAGGAAACAAACGCATCCAATTATGCCAATAATACCATTGCGGGGTGGCGGGTATGAGTATTCTTTGATTTTGCGCTGTGTTTGAATCATCCTCCCCTGTTTTACTCTTTGGGTTAATGACAGCCTGCACACACACTTAAACTCTGGAACAATGGCAGTCACGGAATTACCAGGCTCAGTTAGCCTAGGACCTCTAGCTGATGGTGTCTCGTCACTTTCTGGAATGTACATCCGGCAGAGAACCGGACAATGGCACAGCTGAAACAACAATTAATAGCTGCAATTTCTGACTCCTCAGCTAAAAGGACGATGCATGCCATAGGCGGACAGCAACCTACATTGGCACACCAGGTTCCTAGGCTACATAGTAAGTAATAAGCTAGGGCTCTTCCCCTCCCACCTCCCTAAATTACAGTGCGAGGCGTTCAATCAGAGAAACTTGGGCTCAAACCCTGCACACCCTCGCATGAAATCTACGTTGCTTCCCGGCTCCAATTGACTCACAACTGGCAAAAGACAGGGTTGATGCATCTACCTTTGTAATGATGCGTCAAAACTGGACTCATTCAGCAGTATGCTCAACGGAGTAAGTAGTAGAGTAGCCTAACAGGGGGGATCGTGGCACCAGTAATAGCACATTGTTAGACTTAAAGTCAGACTGCCGCACAGATCCTTTGCCGAACCGATATCGTATACGGCCGCCCACGCAGTCCTTTCGGACCCGGAGGCATCTGCTTGAGACTGGAAGTAAGTTGTGGTATAATACAGTCGGCTTGCGGATCAGCGTGTGGACCCCGTCGAGATCCATTCTCCTTGATAACTATCGAATCGTCTTCCCCATCCATTGAAGTATAAGCGAGTGCTCGCATTTACAGTATTAGTACTAGTGCGTGGGTTAATGATAGAAGTAATTGTATGTTTATTAAGCTGCTAGTGTAAGTATTGATCTTTGCTAGAATATCAGAGGGAAAGGAGTTGGATAGATTGTTTCTTGCACTCGTCTTTCTGGTTATAATATTCCAAGATCAATGTACGAAACTGTCCACGTATTTATAACTGAACTTCCAGCTTGTCTACAGTGCATTCACTGACTACCATGTTGTAGAATCTAACTTTGAAGGTAATGACAAATACTCTACACACTCTACACGTCAGTTGAATGAGAAAAATCAGGTCAGTGATCGGGGCGGAGGGTTCATGCAATTGCATCATATCGAAATTGTGACCATAGTACATCTCTGCGCATGGGGCTTGATGTCTTCTGCATGTATAAAATTTACTGGCATGATAGTTTGCAGGGCAGTTAAGTTTAATTATCTTATGATGAGATCATTGTCAAGACAGGATTCTAGTAGTCAATGTGTCATATATATCGCTTATGTGCAGAGCAGAGCGACCATAGTTACATCTGCTCCAGTGAGAAGCTCATCATCGGCTGCATGCGTCAGTAGCTGCCAGTTTAGGTGTGACAGAGATGCAGCGCACTATTTTAGAAGGCTATCTGTATTGACATACCCGCAATGTTACGGATCATGGCAAGATGAGGAGCCGCGAGGTAGAAGCGATAGGACGATGGTATACTTCTTCACATCATGGCACGCTATCCTTCTCCTCCCCATGCTTGAAATTGTCGATAGGATACCACCAAAATCATCATATTGCTTGGCCGTCACACTCAAGTCTGGTGCTATTAAATGACGCCTAAGCTGTGGTGATATACTGCTGTATATGGCCAACTAGTGCCCTGACTTTACCCTTGAGATATTATTAAAAGTAGTTAAGCCTCTGCATTCGCATGACAAGATAGGGAAAACCTAGTACATGATTATTTCAAGGACAAAAACCTACCCCAAGGCTTCGAAAATCCAGACTTCAGCTTGACATCTAGCTCACCCGACAATACACCTAGCTGAAATGAGAAGTAATGTTATAATCCTCCATAACTTCTGTGTTCTGAGCCTAGTTCTTCCGGCACTATTCACAGTATATCAGCGACTGTAGACATCTCATGGAGTGAGACACTTACGTAACCCCAGCATCCTGGGCAGTCAGCAGTGCAGTCAAGTAGTGGACAACAGTCAAGTCCAATCGACGGGTTGCAGCGCAGTCCAGGTCTATCCTGACAGCTAATTACAGGTGAATCCTCATAGTTGGAATCCCATGGTCCATCAAAGTGCCTAGCACCCAGAGCTAAAGCTGTGAATAGGAGGATGGCAATGAGCTTCATCATAGGGTAGTTAACTAATATGAGAAGTAGTTTTGAGAGGTAGTTTATTGCTGTTATTCGCCAGGGATGAGTTATGACTAGGATTATTAAGATTTTTAGTTGAGGAATGACACCTTCTTTATATGTTTTTAATCCATTATAGTCACCTATGTCATAGGTAGGTCGCGCCTGTAATGCTCATTATCTATGTGCACCTATGATTCATTACCTCATGTCATGGTCCTAGACATGCCGTGATGCCAGTATATAACATCACCTTATACCATGGTGTTGCCCATTGGATGCAATGCTCAAATGCTCAATGACAATAACATAATGTTACTCCCCAAAGGTGTTCTCACCCCAGTAAGCTACATGATGTGTGGCTTGCCTATTGACACATTCTAGCAACAGGGTCATGATGTACACACATCGACAGTGAGCCCATCTGTATGCATGACTACTTTGTGGGCTCCTACTTTGACTGGCCATAGTAGCTCAGCGAGTCAGCGTTACATCTGGCAGCCATCTGCGGGAAGTCTATTTCTCTATTTCAGAAACATAGAATCTTCTGTCCCTTTTGATGCTGAACAAGATGTATTTAGCCCGCCCTAGGAGCAGTGGGGCTGAGATAAAACCACCGCATTCAGCAATTTTCCACTTTCAACCAGCGTAGCAACTCTCATAACGGAAACATCATTCTAAAGCCTGTTAGGGAATCTAGAACATCTGCTTCACCTGGTTACCGCAACAATAAGCAAAATGAGGTCAAATATGTCATCACTCTCCGTCTGTTACCGGCTGCTCCAACAGATTAGAATCGAACTATATCTAGAGTATTGTTTTAACACTTAGCCTTACTGCATTTTAGTATATTAATATAATTCTCATCTACCATGTTGCGATCATGAACGGCAGGAGAATGGTAGGAAAGGACTACATAAGGAAAAAGTAAACTCGTTTTACCAATTGGCAGATAGTTCTTGGTTAGTTCTTCGCGTTCAATAACAGCTTTTGCTTGAGTATATGTTTTATACTAGTCACTCAACTTGTCACTGTCAGTTACCTTTTTACGACCGACTATGTGTACCCAATCAGGACTAGCTTACTCTGTCCGCCTGTTAGTCTTCCTTTGATTGGGACACCAGTTCAAGGTATTTTGAGTCCTTGAGACATAGCATTGCATCACAGTAGCTGGTCTCAGGTCAATCACTAGTCAGTCAGTTGTGTGGGCTACGGCTCTCGCTGTTAGCGTGAGCCATAGATCCATCATTGTGGGATAATAGTATACAGGAGCAGGTATAAACGAGCCTAGCAGTAGATGGCTCGGTGGACTGGCCAAAGTGCTGGAAGACGAAAGGGTCCTACCAGCTCATTGGTTGATCTGCTAGGCAATCCTGATTACTACGCTAATATACACAAGCTATAAAGGCTGAAACGCGTATACTAGGTTAAATTAGTTAGGAGACAGTGCTTAGGTACTAATATTAGACACCTATACCCTATATGTTAGCAGGACCCAGGCACACAGGCCTAGATCTAGAGGATACTCAGAATCCTAGGGCCTAGGCAAGCTATAAATTTCCTTTTTTATTTCTATACTATCCACTGTCTTATAATCAACACTAGTAGGGAATCATGTCCTTTTATCTATAGGCTAAGATTATGTTTAGTAGCTTAATAAGTCAATATATACTTGATAGCCAGATTAATGAATAATGAGCCTATATCTATATCTCATTAACGCGCTCGCCGTGCTGTAGTGGACGTTGGACCATTGGATATACTAGATAAAGTTGCCCTATTAATAGCTATCTATTCAACTAGTAGATAGTCTAATTAATGACAGTCACACTGGTGGTTGAAAAACTTCAAATATAGGATGATTTGCGGTGAAAATTCGCACTTCAGCCATATTCACCGCTCGGCCGTGGATTAGTTACTACTCGAATGGGATTAGTCATGATCTTTTTTGCATGTCAATCTGCACGCTAACTAATAGGATCTTGACCTCTTACGTTAAAGGCCAAGTCGCCGATGCGGCTGCCGAAATAAGGGCCGTGCGGGGTCAACCTGTAAATCATAATCATGGCCCCTTTTTGACAAGAGAGGTACTAGGGGAAGTATTGAGGCACTGGGCCAGTATCTAGGTGCTTTCGCTCTCGCACTAAGCTTCTGCTCCCATGCGGAGTTCCACTCTAGCCGATGCTAAGCCGATGGCCGTCGGACCATACTCACCAAATGCCTGTGCGCTCTGCCGCAGTCAGAAGAGAAGATGCGATAAGACGCTACCGTCCTGCAGTCGATGCATCAAGTCTGATCTCTCCCCATCTTCCCTTTGCCTTTCTGTTACTAACACCGGGAAAGATCAAAGCTATCATGCGACTATGCGTGGAATGCGACACAGACCGAGGACTTTCCCCGAGTGTCGCTGTCTGATTTCCTCCTCTTCCATGTGCCGGTCACTCAGGATCACCTGTGGCTCCCCGGCAGCTTTCAGGCCTTACAACCCCATTGGGCCAATATCAGTTCCCGGCGCGTAGATATTGACAACTACTTTGTCGGTCTGGTCATGGCAACGCTGACGGAGCAATGTGTATCCGTGGAGAGAATGCTCGAGGAATACTTTTGCAATATCCATCCCTGGTTCTCTGTGATCATAGAGCCAGGTTTTCGAAAACGGCTGTCTAACCTGCATTGCGAGCCTTGTGCAGAGACAGCAATGCTCCTATTAGCTGTATCCCTGGTTGCCGGCTCACATGATCAATCTAGCAACGATTCTCGCCGGACGAGGATCTACCAGATTGGCAAATATCTCTTCTCCTTTCTACAGCTCCAACGGGAACCTTCATTGGAGATGGTGCAGAGTGGGTTGTTGCTGGTATTGTACGAGCTGAGAGCTTCCCGGCTCAACGAGGCCTCTGTGAGCGTTGGGAATTGCGCGAGGCTGGGATACACTCTCCGCTTGAATATTGACCATATCCAACAGGAGGAAAATTTGCCTTGGATCGAATTCGAGGAACGAAGAAGAGTATGGTGCGGGCTATATATGTTAGACCGGTAGGCCACCTATTCTCTACTCCGTGACGGCCACTTAAGATGCGACAGGATCATTTACCAAGTAGCCACCGAGTTTCGGGCGCCCCACGCAGTAGAAGAGCCTGATGCCAGTTATCGGCTACCGATAGACGACATCTTCTGTTATAAACCGAAAACACCCGTCCCAGGCAATTCCTATCCGTCTTTATCGACGCCGCTTGAGGTTCCCTTGTGTTATTTTGCCCGTGAGATCCAGGTATCCCGCATCCTTGGACAAGTTCAGATGCTTAGACGGTTAAGTGACGCCGATTGGTCTTATGAACAATTTGCAGTTCTCGACCGCAAACTGATGCAATTCATGGAGATCCTATTTGAGCAAACGCCCGGAAGTTGGGCTGTTCTATGTGGGGCAAATGCGATTTGCTTAGCGTTCGTGCTCTGGTATGCTTCGAGGTTGTCTGGTCACTGAAAAATACTAGGTCTGCAATAAGTCTTCACCAAGACCGTCTATTACGGGCAGCTCGTGGCGCAATCTCTCCCACTGATCTGGACACCTCATTCCTTGCGATCAGGGCGTATATTAAGATGGTCGGAGATATCTGCTCCAAATTCGACGCCCTTGAGCCTAGTAGGAAGATACCCTGCGTACCCCTACCAGCTGTGATGTGCACGGGAGAAGCTATCCTCGCGGTTAGATATCTCAAACAGTCATATGGGCTAGCGTTTCAGTTCGATGAAGAGCCTTTCCAACACATCCTTACCTACGCTACAAGAACATGGAATCTTGCTGGTATGTCTGATCTCCTCTGCTAAAGAAGTATCCGAAGGACGGCTGATCCTTGAGCCTGAAGACGAGTATCTCCGACGGACAGCAGACGTGAATCGGTTTCAATAATTCCTTCAGATATATTGCTGTGTAATAAAATGTTTCTCGGAAAGGATATCCGCTTGCCAAATAAGGTAGGGGGGGATCCGTACTAATCAACCCTCCAACCCAACCTACCTGCGGAGCTGTCTCCCTCCGGGGTCAGTTATTTGCGCTACTAGATTCAACCACCTACTAGCCTACGGCATTACTAAGTCCAGAGGGCTGAACATAGTAGGGGCTACGGACCCTTAGAATGATCTTTGCTCTGTGTACCTCTCATAGTATCCTTGGTTTCCCTTAAGCTTAACAGACACGACGATGTACCTGAGGAAAGTGTATAGTTGAAAAGGCGCGCACACAGAGAAGCTCACTGAAAAACAGCGGCGAGCAATCCGGCAACGGAATGCACAATGGTACTGCAGGCAAGGATCGGCTCCTACAGGCCAAGCGATTATCCTGCGACAGTGGGGGAGAATCAAAGGGCAAGGCAAACCGACGTAGCAAGATGGTAAGTTGAGGGGCGAAGGAAGCGTCTCCAGGCAGCGATACAGGTGTCTGAACGTGGCCATGGTAGCGCTGTCTTCAGAGCATTTACGTTTAAGGTATATAGGTGTCTCAGAGGTTCTGCCGTTGGCCAGACGGCCTTACGATGTTCTAAGGGATATCTGCCTCGCTTAGATAGCCTCGCACCTTTCTCTTTCAGTTATTTGGATAGCTATGAATCCATATGCAGCTTCATCTCTCAGTTGCTTCATGAAGGCACGATGTGGTTAATGAGACCTAGAGGGCCTGGATATACTAGCCTTTAGTCTAGTTAGAGTTACTGAAAGCTAGAATTTATAGTAATATTAAACTTTACATAGCATTGATTAACTCACATGGACGCATGTATAAAGGCATCCAGATAGTAATAGTGGGCGGATCTATAATACCCCAGATACTGGCAAGAGAATAACCTATCTGATCATGAACGGGACGGTCAGAGCCAATTGCCTAAATGGATAGTAGATCAAAGTGACGGGCCGTTGGCCGTGGCCGTTTCGGTTAAAAGCAATGGTGGGGGAATCAGCCCACTTTAGCTGCCAACTGGACCAGTAAGATTAGATGATAAGATCGATAATAGCATCTGTTTATTTCCTGCACTCCAACATGCCCCGCGGGGCTGATGACTGTTGAGATATATTAGATAGAAATCCTTCCTGTTGGAAGCATCGTTTTAGACACTGCATGTCTAATATCTCCTCCCTTGATCCCCTGAAAAGAATACAATGGCTCAGAAATCGGCCACTGCCAATGGTAAGTAAACGTTGATCGAGGTTGTCCATGCATTAGCAGATATCCTACAGTTCTGTTCACACTATTTCTAACATTTCGGTGACAGCTATTGTCGTCGACGGCAAAACCTTCGCCCTTAACGGCTACAATGTTTCCTACCGGTTCCACGTTGACCAGAGCACCGGTGACCTGCGCTCCGATCACTTCGGCGGCAGCGTCAGTGGACCTATTCCCGATGATCCAGCTCCCATAATCAATGGGTGGACCGGTATGCCTGACCGCGTTCGCCGCGAGTTCCCGGACCAAGGCCGGGGAGACTTTCGAGTCCCTGCCATTCGCATCCGCCAGTCGCAGGGACATACTGTTTCAGCTTTTCGGTATGATTCGCACACCGTGGTGAAGGGCAAGCCTGCGCTGTCTGGCTTGCCGGCGACATTTGGTACAGAGGAGGATGTCTCAACGCTGGTGGTGCATTTGTATGACCAGCATAGCGAGGTGGCAGCGGATCTAATGTATTCCATATTTCCAAAGCACGATGCCATTGCGCGGAGTGTGCGCATCACGAACAAGGGTAAGGGCACGATCTCAATTGAGGCACTGTCTAGTATGAGTGTGGATTTACCATGCGAGGACTTTGATATGATCGGCCTCAGAGGGGACTGGGCGAGAGAAGCGCATCGGCAGAGGCGCAAGGTGGACTATGGAATACAGGGGTAAGACATCAACACAGTCGACAAGACTAGATTTCTGACTTAGCTCGACAGATTTGGGAGTACAACAGGCTTCTCATCCCACTTGCACAACCCCTTCGTCGCCCTGGCGCATCGCTTTACTACCGAGTCCCACGGTGAGGCATGGGGATTCTCACTGGTCTACACCGGCTCCTTTGCTGCCATTATTGAAAAAGGCTCGCAGGGATTGACACGTGTATCCATTGGTTTCCATCCAAACCAGCTATCCTGGCCCTTAGCTCCGGGGGAAACCCTCACGTCTCCCGAGTGCGTATCGGTATACTCCCAAAACGGTCTAGGAGGCATGTCGCGCTCTCTGCACCGCCTGTATCGCAATCACCTTGTGAAAAGCAAGTTTGCTACGGACAACCGACCCGTCTTACTGAACAGCTGGGAGGGGTTGTATTTCGACATCAATGAGGAGAACATGTACCGCATGGCACAGGAATCCGCTGCTTTGGGTGTAAAGCTCTTCGTCATGGACGACGGGTGGTTTGGCGACAAATACCCTCGAGTCTCGGACGCAGCGGGTCTAGGCGACTGGGTCCCCAACCCAACACGATTCCCTAATGGGCTCGCGCCGCTCGTGAAAGCCATTACCTCCTTGAAGGTCGCCAACTCGTCAGAGAACCTTCGCTTCGGTATCTGGGTTGAGCCGGAAATGGTGAACCCACAGTCAAGTCTATACCACGAACACCCCGACTGGGTCCTCCACGCAGGCTCATACCCACGCACCGAACAACGCAACCAGCTCGTCCTGAATCTCGCGCTACCCGAGGTACAAGAGTTCATCATCGATGCCATCACCGACATCCTTAACAGCGCAGACATCAGCTACGTAAAATGGGACCACAACCGTGCTATCAACGAGACGCCCTCCCCCGCCGCAAACCACGCATACATGCTTGGAATGTACCGCGTCTTCGACACCCTCACCTCTCGCTTCCCCGATATCCTCTGGGAAGGATGCGCCTCCGGCGGCGGACGCTTCGACCCAGGAATCCTACAGTACTTCCCCCAGGTCTGGACATCAGATGACACCGACGCCGTGGAACGCATCTTCATCCAGATGGGTACCTCGCTCGTCTACCCCGCCAGCGCAATGGGCGCGCATATCTCCGCGGTGCCGAACCACCAAACAGGGCGAACGGTCCCGCTTACATTCCGCGCGCACGTTGCAATGATGGGCGGATCGTTCGGGCTTGAGCTCGATCCGCTGAAGATGCGCCCTGAGGAGAAAGCTGCGGTTCCCGAGCTGATCGCGTTGGCGGAGAAGGTCAACCCGATCGTGCTGAAAGGCGATATGTGGAGGCTTAGTCTGCCTGAGGAGTCGAATTGGCCTGCTGTGCTGTTTGTCTCGGAAGATGGAGCCAAGGCTGTCTTGTTCTTCTTCCAGCTTAGCCCGAGTGTTAATCATACCATGCCCAGGGTGAGATTGCAGGGGCTGGATAGGCGGGCGATGTACAGCGTTGACGAGCAGGGGCCGTATTCGGGTGATATGCTGATGAACCTTGGATTGCAGTATTCGTTTAGCACAGATTATGCTAGCAAAGTGGTGCTCTTGGAAAGGATTGATGTGATGTGATTGTTTGCCGACAATGATTGGCTAGGTGCTTGATCTATAGATTGGTGCTTCATCCGGCTACAATGATATCTATGCGCTCTCCATTCAATCAAAGGCAGCTACAAAAGGCCGCTACACCTACCATGGATTTGACTGTCCTTTGCATCAGTTAAGTTACGTATAGAGGGGTATATAATGGAAACAAGGGACTTTAATGGCTCGTTTAACCGAGTAGGCGGAAAACAGTCGGACAAAATCAGAAATCCTGCTTCTCGTAGAACTGAATGCCAGCGCCCAAAATAACATACTTCTAATTGGTAGGACCAGAAACAAGGGACAAATGACGATGGTGATCTGCAAGTCTGTTTACACGGGCGTTGTGGCTGGAATGTGACAAGGCCGGAGGAATGCGATCGCATCACTTGATAAACAACAGATGCTATGCGTCTCACGCGATACGCGATAATATTGTGCATGAAGGCGTATATAAGGCCTTTAATTTGGTGGTATGCCTGGCCGAGACAATGGTCCGAGTTCTGTAGACTCTAATCCTACGTTTGCTCTTTGCTATGCCCAACATGAAGGCCTATTACTTCCTCAGCCTTTTGTCTCTATCAGGCCTCTCAGTAGCGCGCACCCTCAACATTGTCGCCCATCAGGATGATGATCTCCTCTTCCAAAACCCAGACGTCCTCAATGACATTGCCGCAGGCCGGCATGTCCGCACTGTATACCTAACCGCTGGCGACGCAGGCCGGGACTCCCAGTACTGGACCAGCCGACAAGCGGGCGCCATGGACGCCTACGCCGCAATGGCTGGTATGCCCAATGTCTGGGACGAATCTGACATTGGGGTAGAGGGCAAGGATATCCCTCTCTACACGCTTCGAGACCGCGATATCTCCCTCGCGTTCATGCACATGCCCGACGGCAGTATCGACGGGGACGGCTTCGCTAGTACAGGCCACGAATCGCTCGAGAAGCTGTGGAAGGGCAAAATCGACTCCATCAGAACAGTGGACGAGTCCGGCACGAGGTACACGCGCAGCAACCTTATCGAAACCCTGACACAGATCATCAACGACTTCAACCCCGATTGGATCAATTCTCAGGATTACGTCCACCCGTATGGCTCGGGAGACCATAGCGACCATACCTCTGCTGGACTGTTCGTGAATGAAGCGGCTAAGCCGTCCAGGTTCCCGGGAGATGTTATGGCCTACCGAGGATATCCAACCAAGGATGAGCCCGCTAACATCGCTGGCTCTGATCTGGACAGAAAGAAGGCGGCTTTCTACACGTACGGCAACTATGATCCCGTGGCGTGTTCGTCGGACCAGTCGTGTGCTGGTACCGATTATGAAAAGTGGCTGCTTAGGCAGTACATTGCGAACAATGAGTAGGTGGTCCCGTCCTTTTTCCGAGGCAGTGCTGACGGGCGTACACAATAGGGTGCAAAGGCCCAAGGCTAAGAATTCAACTCACGTCCCTCTTCCTTCGATTCACAAAACCCCGTACCGAGTGAGGTTATGATGTCTTTAACTTTATGAGGCGATCGCGTAGTCTATCACTGGTGTATAAACTGATACACATGTGGTGCTATAGGTGATGTGTTCGATTGTCGCTGCTGAGGAGAGTTATAATTAGTATATAGTATTAGTAATAATTGTATGGAAGCACTTCGATATTTGGCAGATCCATCCCGGGACTGTCGCTTTTATACTTATCTACTATAAATATATACTAAGTTGTAGCTCAGTGGGCCGGGGTATGTCGAATGACTGCCAGACTTGTAGGAGATATATATCTCGCTCTTGGGACACTGATGAGCATCCCAGTTGTTTTGCCATTTCATGTAGGCCCTCGAAACACTATTTCAGTCCATCTTGGCTATCCGTCCAACAATTTATGATGGTATCTCTATTTCCTCAAATCTTGCCATTCTGACCCTTGTTGTTTACTGCCATTCTGCCTCAGGCAGCAACACCCCTCAACAACATTGACATCGATGCTGTGACCGGGTAAGCATCAGTAAAGAATAACCATTTACTGGGTTTAGTATAACGCAAGATAAACGCGTCTACTGATGTACTCATGTCCAGACAACGACGCGGATGATTGTTTTGATCAGAAAATTCAGCTAAAAATGTAACACTTTCGACGTCATGGCTCCACATCAGAACCCACGTTTAGAGACGCGTCGAGCACTCGAGCTTGCTGATATTCATCCACTCGCATTCCATTCCATTCCCATCTCAGCCTCATCGGAAATACCATTTGCAGGATGAGACCTCGACATCGCGACTCGCAGTCGATCCCACACGAAACAGACTGGTTACTGCACCCTGGGACCAACACCACTTCACCGACAAAGTCGCGCGTCCATCGGATCGCCGCCCATCTCTCGGCGGAAATCAACCCTCACTATGGAGATCTACTGCTCCTTTTCTGCTATGTCATCACGGGACTACTCGATAGCTCCGCCGTGTTTATCTGGGGCTCCTTCATGAGCATGCAGACCGGCAACACCGTGTACCTAGGCCTTGGCCTGATCGGCATAGACGAAACCACCCGCTGGATCAAAGCCGGCGTCTCCATTTTCAGTTTCTGCTTCGGCTCCTTCTGCTTCGCCGCCTTCCACCGGCGGTTTCCGTCGCGACAGCGCTGGGTGCTTTGCGCGTCGTTCGCCGTCCAGATGCTCTGTATAGCAGTAGCTGCGACGATCGTGACCATGCACTTTCCTTCCAGACACTCGGAACTCAGCTGGAAAGCTTTCGTGCCGCAGGTTCTGGTCGCGTTTCAGAGTAGCGGACAGGCTGTGACGAGCCGCATCCTGGAGTTCAATGGGTTGACTAGTGTGGTGTTGACCAGTGTCTACTGTGACTTTTTCTCCAATCCTAGGTTTCCGTCGCTTTCGACGGTTGAGGCGAGGAGGCGCCTGGGCGCGATTGTTTGTTTACTCCTGGGGACGGTTCTAGGAGGGCTGTGGGCGAGAAGTTCGGTGGGATTGATGGGGGCTTTGTGGACGGCAGTTTTGTGTAAGGGGATGATTGCTGGTGCCTGGCTGGGATGGACAGGGCAGCAGAGTGATGATTGAGATCATCTAATAAAGTATATTCGCGTCCTTATATAGACATAGCCCTGTTATAAACACTAAGAGGAATCATCAGGTGACTACCAGAATCCTACGCATCAACCTCCTTTCCCGATTACTATTCGGGGCGAGATATGACGCTATGCACCCTGTGAAACCAGCCTGGCCCTTATACTGTCTAGACATCCAGTCGCATTCTACTTCCCCTCGCATTAACTGGCAGAGGCTGTGTACGACCCACCCCTTTCTATATTTGGTCCGATAAATCACGGATCCAAGATGAATACTGAGTTGACTGCGCCTCATGTACATGATTCATGCGACCAGGAGATTTCATATATCATGATGGTGACTAAAACGTCATGTAGTACTTGCGCTGGCATTCGTGGAATTTTCCGCCGCCATAGATATTTTGAACCTTTTCGGAACTGAACCATGGGACGAGAGCCATGGCACCACAGCCGTTGATATCATCACTCTAGCCTCGTCATACAACCTCGAGATATAGCTTTATCATGCTGTTCCTGTTCAATATGCTGCCTGTCAAATACAAGTCAAGAATTGCTCAATAATGAATATGGATGGACCAGCTAAACCTCACGCACTTCGAGGGCGCTACGCATACAGCGTATCTGGCACAGTCCAGAGTGCCCGATGTGATCGCCTGCAATGTGACCCTGCTGTCCATCGTCAGTACAGCCGTTGCTGTGCGACTGTATGTGCGTTATCGCTATTACAGGATCCGTTCCGATGACAGTAAGCCATACTACTCTCAACCACTAGGTCAGGACTAATTCCGGCAGTTCTCTGCATTATAAGCTGGGTATGGCCACGTACGCTACGATGGATGCTCTGTAGATATGCTGATTGAGAATCGGCAGATGTTCACGTTTGCTCTCTGTTTTATCTCGATGTGGAGTATGACAACTTCTCCCTTTTCCCGCCCGATTCTAACAAGGGCTTAGTGACTAGATATGGCTATGGGAGACATTTCGAACGGATCGCGAAGCAACCTTCCACTATCTCCATGTTTCTCAAGGTAAGTCTTGACTCATCCGCGATGACCTCCATTGACATGACTAGCTTGTATTTGTGACTCAGTTGGTATACATAATTGCTCTGAACGCGATCAAGGTGTCGTTCTGCGTCTTGTACATGCACATATTTCTACCCTCGCGGGTCCTCAAATCATTATGCATCGCCCTCATCATACTGCTGATCATGGAGTTCGTCGAAGAGATCATAGTGGTCATTCTACAGTGCCGACCCGTGCAGGCGGCATGGGATCCAACCATCCCTGGCCGCTGTTTGAATATGACCCTGTTCTACTACGTCAGCTTCGGCATCAAGTTGGCGACGGACATTGCAATATTCGTTCTGCCAATTCCTCCCTTGCTCCGGCTCAGGGTTCGGGGCCTCCAGAAGTTCGGGGTTATCCTAATGTTCGCTCTGGGGTTGCTGTATGACATCTCTTGAACTGCTTGAATGCTGTTACTGAGAAAGTATCCAGAGTCTGCGTGACTAGCATTATTCGCGTGACTTACATTAAAAACTTCAATCCAGACCATACATGTAAGTCTCCTCGCTCCTTTGGAAAGTCCCCACTAACGAACCACCAGGGTTTCTAGTTGCTCCACTCAACTGGTCCGCGGTGGAAGTCTGCGTTGCAATATTCATATCCTGCCTACCCTCACTCAAGACCTTGATTACGCTCCATTGGCAAATCGCCAGCCGTGTCGCCTCGAGTAACAGGGATAGCACCACCGATTCTCTGTGCACCCGGATCCGCACCTTTTTCCTGGGAAGTGGCAAAGAGGCGGACCATGAGCAGCGGCATATGTCTCCTGATGGAATTGCTGGCGTCGATATTCCTCTTTCAGAGAACAATGCCCGTACGGTAGACAGCGCTTCCAGTAATTTTGTGGGAGAGGTATGAGATGTAGCCCAGTGGGCTAGGATGTCTACCTAGGTATGTGCGGAATCATATACCAGAACCTGTACATAACTAGACTTGTACAAGATATCAACCGAAATCTTGCATCTAAGGCCGTGGCCATTAATCGAGCCATCAGATACTGATCGCCAAGGCTATTGCTTCCACTGTACTACATTCCCATTGATAGAGTTAGGCATATAATACCCACCTATCGAAAGATGCTAATTGAGCCGATTCATGATGCTCATTGGCGCAATATTAGCCGGGATCTGCCCGGCGAATATTTACCCCTCTTTAAGTACGATTCCCCAGGTCAAGGAAGTCCTGGAGACACCAGTAACTAGACTCGTCGATCCTGAAATGCCGTCGCAGACAATTACACTCGAAAGCCAGGCTCTTCGAGTCAAAGTACTTATTGATAAGGATGGGGCAGCTTTCTTACAAGGGGTGCTGCCTCTTCCCGACACTTCGCCAACCCCCGCGTCGAAGAATTTCAGTGACTCGTATGCGCCGCTGGTAGAGGTGCGGCTGGCCGGAGAGGGAACAGAAAGAAACAAGTCCTCGAAAAGTCTCGTGGGGAGCTATGTCGGCTCTCGTCTGCAGTATCAGTCCCATGAGATTGAGAGAGGCGCAGATACCCAGACACTCCATGTTCGATTGCAGGATGGTATTTCCGGGGCGCTGGTTACATCGCATCTCACAGTTTACGAGGGGTTCCCGGTTCTGCGTGCGACGGCTAGCATCCAAAACGGTGGTGACAAAGACCTCGTCGTGACGCAGCTCACATCGCTAGTTCTCGGTGGGCTATCGACTAATTCAAAGAGATGGTGGCACGAGTATAGATTATCTGTACCCAACAACTCGTGGTTCCGAGAAGCACAGTGGATTGAACATGACCTGCCCAGTCTTGGAGTCGATGATTGTGGCGTCTACGGACGGCCTGATGAGCACTGGGGAAGCCTGACGCACTATTCTGTATCGAACCGCGGCACCTTTTCCACGGAAGGTCATCTCCCAATGGGACTTCTGAAACACGTCAGCGGGAAAGATACCTGGCTCTGGCAGGTGGAGAACAATGGCTCGTGGCGATGGGAGATAGGAGACTGGAAGGACAGCATTTATCTGGCTGCTGGTGGGCCTGTAGAGACCGAGCATGACTGGAGGGAGAGGCTCGCTCCAGGACAGGAGTTTACTACCGTGCCTGTTGCGCTGTGCCATGTCCAGGATGACTATGAGGAAGCCTTTGCAGCCATGACCCGGTACAGACGCCAGATCCGACGCAAGCACCGAGACCACGACGGACTGCCAATCATCTTCAACGATTACATGAACTGTTTGATGGGTGATCCCACTGAGGAGAAAATATTAGCGCTTGTAGATCCCGTTGTCAAAGCAGGCGCGGGGTACTTTGTGATTGACGCTGGGTGGTACGCCGATGACTCCGGTTGGTGGGACGATGTTGGATTGTGGGAGCCATCTCAGAAGAGGTTTCCATCGGGATTCAAGGCCCTTCTAAGTCAGATCCGAAACAAAGGATTGATTCCTGGACTATGGATCGAGCCTGAAGTCATCGGAGTCCGCAGCGCTGTGGCAAAGCAGCTACCAAACGAAGCGTTCTTCCAGCGAGATGGTCATCGCGTCGTGGAGAAGAATCGATATCAACTCGATTACCGTCATGCCGCCGTACGAGAGCACATGAGCGCCGTCATCCATCGTCTTGTGACTGAATACGGCGTTGGATACTTCAAGTTCGACTACAACATCGATGTCACCCAAGGGACAGACATCAGCTGCTCAAGTCCTGGCTCCGGCCAACTAGAGCATAACCGTGCTTACCTTCACTGGGTAAACGAATTGCACGATCGCTACCATGACCTCGTGATTGAAAACTGCTCCAGCGGTGCCCAGCGAATGGATTACGCCATGTTGGCGGTCCACGCTCTCCAGTCGTCGAGCGACCAGCAAGATCCAGAGCGCTACCCGGCCATTGCGTCGGCTCTCCCTACTGCAGTTACTCCGGAACAAGGAGCAATATGGGCCTACCCGCAGCCGGCATGGGATGATGAGTTTAATGCGATGACCGTAGTCAATAGTCTTCTGGGCAGAGTGCATCTAAGTGGTCGCTTAGATCTTCTCCGGCCGGAGCAGTTTGATTTGATCAAAGAGGGCATGGATGTTTATAGAGCCATACGGGCTGATTTGCCCACAGCAACCGCCTTTTGGCCTTTGGGTCTTCCACAGTGGCATGATGATTGGTTCTCACTCGGTATGGTTGTGACGAAGCGCGAGGGCAATGGTCGCCAGTGCTATTACCTTTCGATTTGGAGACGAGGCGGTCCCGAATCTATTGACCTGCCCGTCAAAGCCCTCTGTGGTAGGGATGTTAGCACTGAGATCCTTTATCCTACCAGTTTTCCTGCGACGATTGAATGGTTGTCTAACAAAGGTTTATTGAAAGTCACTATTCCGTCTGAAATGGGAGCTCGACTTATCAAGCTGACAGCAGAGTGATTCAACGACTCTAATCAAGGACAAGAGGACATGCGGCCTTGGCTATTTAAGCATTATATATGTTGTCACACTTGCTAATAGGCACTTATCAGGCCCTTGTTGTACGAAGATTATTAACTAATGAGCACCTTCCCATTTCCGTACTTCCTACATGACCATCCGATGCCCTAGAGGGGGTTGAAAAGGAACAACAACCTTTGATATTGTATAGCACAAGCAGTGTCTGCCCTTGGTGCTCCCCGCTGCCTTCTCCTAGTATTTTAACCGAAACTATTACGTTGCATTATACCACCACTCTATGATGGGGAAAGGCCAAGCAGGATCGTCGGAATCCACTTCTTAGTAAGACTTCAAGGCCTCCAAACATGTGGAGAGGCCTACCTAGCGCCTGGCTTGGATGATCTGCAAGATGACGTGGATCTCCTTCTCAGGTAGCGTGGCGTGCTCAGTCATTATTTCATGAGAGGTATCTGGCTAGTATCCCTCCAGCTAAGGGAGTATCACACGGCTGAAGTGAGGCCCTGCAGAGTACTTCACTAATCTAGCCATATAGACGATAGTACATGTACATGTACAGCTGAAAAATGGGGGGAGAAGGAGGGGTAATGCTGCATGGAACCATATAAGAGGAAGGTGAGGTCAAAGTTATTTCTCTTCTTGTTCCTAAACTCTTGATCTTGCCTTCCCTGATTTTTTACAAACTATCCCAACCATCCATTTATCAATCCTGCAGAAGGGAATCTGCACAACAAGATGCCTGTTACCGCCATCACCTCGTAAGTGAAGTTGAATATATTCTTTCATCCCATACTATTGTCTAATGCTAAAATTTCTATACACGGCAGGTTCAAACAGTTCAAAGAACTCATTGACGGTGATAAGCCTGTTATAATCGACTTCTGGGCAACATGGTGTGGACCTTGCCGAGCTATTTCACCCATCTTCGAGCAGCTGTCGGATAATCCCGACTTTGGCGATGTCGGATTCTACAAAGTTGATGTCGACGAACAAGAGCAGATTTCTCAAGAGGTCGGCATCCGTGCAATGCCAACCTTTGTTCTCTTTAAAAACGGGGACAAGGTTGGTGAACTTATGGGAGCCGTTCCACAACGTCTGCAAGCCCTTCTTGACACGGCACGCTCTCTAGCATGAGAAAATAGAGACAGGTTTGCTTCTATTACCGTGTGGGGCTTCTTAGGGACGAAGAGAGTGGAAGCGCCTGTTTTAGGAGACAACTACTATTTTTCCGTACACAATATTTCCCATCCTGATCCTTGTTCTGTCTTGACTGTAATCAGCATTGCAAGAGATAGCATTCAAAAACCCAAAAGCATGAAAGCACCAAAATCATAATATAGGTACCCTTTACAAGTTCTCAACCATAACCACCTTCTTGATCCCCCCATCACATCCACTCTTCCTTAACGCCGGCGAGGAATTCTCGGATGACTGCTTGGTCACCGCGGACATGCAGTGTCTGCTTGCCATCCACGAAGGTGACAGGAGCAAACCGACCGTCAGGCAAGTACCTGTAGAAGCGCACATATGTTCCAATCGCAATCAGTCCATAGATGGCGCGCTTGCGGTCCTCAGGAACACTCTGCAGCGAACGACGTAGCTCCCGCTTCAGAAAGTGCTCATTTCCCTCCCAGGAGAAAGCGGAGCCGTCGGCTGGAGCTGCCGTGAAACTGACCTGGAGAAAGTGGATGCCCGCGTTGAAACCCTGAGTGCGCACGACGGAGCCTAGGCCCAAGTAGCCGTGAGTGTTCAGGTCGAGATTGATGTAGTAGTGGGTGTCTCGGAAGGGGAACGGAGCATACTCTCTGTTGGGAAAGAACCCTACCAGGATGTTCTTCCACATTTCTGCCACCTCTCTCATGTTTGCGGGTCGGCGGGTGTGGTGGCTGACAACTGTGACCAAGTCAGGGGCGTTGGTGGACTAGGCCGTTGGTTAGTATACGGTGTAGTTCAGTTGGGGTGACTTCACTTACCATGATTCGCGCACAAACGATGCCAGACGATAGGGAAGATGATTGAAATAGTTGCGCCAGAGCCAATCAAGATCAGAGAGATCAGTTGCAGAAGGGGAGATAGCTCTGAAAACAGAGGAGGTTGTAGGAGAAAAGAATGTTGCCATTACTGGTAGATGACTTAGATTTTATAGTGTTTCCCAGGGAGATGTTCCCGCTCGTAGCTTGTTGTCTCAGGTTGCACACAATGACAATGCCATTGTTTGCAAGACATCGTGTTGGATCAGAGAGTCGGCGGATGAAACAATAGACAAAGAGATGTAGCTATTCTATCTCGGTCCTCCGGGTCCTCCGTTCTTGTCTGAGACCATAGTGGAGCTTTCCATGGGAATTGTATTCGTCTATACCGGCTTTCTCCTTCGTGTCAGGTACTGAGTAAGACATCCAGATTTTCTAGGCTTCTTCGACATCGCAGAGGGACTCCTTCATGTGTTTCAACTCCTGAAGATAGTGAAGATCTGAACTGTGCAGCCCAGTGGGGATATGTTGATGGAGTGTGGCAAGCTGTAGTAATTACATCATCTTGGATAGTAGTCTGTTCCACGATTCAGTAATATTTTGCATCGAGTCACAGAGCCTCGACTTCTGAGAACAATCTTTAGGAGACTATGCCTTGATCCATCCTTATTTTAGTCCGCATTCCAGAGGGGAGTCACTGAGAATCCTTTGACACCTGTCGAAAACGTCAAGCAAGTGCCCTGGTTTTCCTGTGTGAAGGTCGCAACCGGGTCACTTGTGCAATCTTTATCGGAATACCCCACAATCTCCCAGCCTTGGTTGTGCACCGAGTTGCCGCATGCCCAGGAATATTCTACTCCGATGTTAAGATACCAGCAGCTTGTTGGGTCATTAAGTATGATCGTTCCTCCATATGAGGCGCACGAGTTGTTCAGTGTTGACATGTCAAGCTCCACCTCAAATTCCGAGGGAATGGGATATGAGGAATCCGCTGGGATATGGGTCACGGCCCCGGTGAGGTTGGAAAGGAGGTGCCCGTCATAGTTGGCGATATGGTCCTCTACAAAGCTATCAGTAGTCACATCAACGTATGTTGGAGGACCTTACCTAGATTCAACGTTGTGTTGCGGTACGGGGATGGTGCGCCTCTGCAGGCGCATTGCAAAGTTGAACCACTGTTTATGAGCGAGCAATCCTTGCATGAACTCCAGTAAGCTCCGCTGCGAGATATGTCAGTAGGTGCGGACTGGACGGACAGACAAGGGACGGACGTACTCAACGGTCCACTGTATCATGTGTTAGTCTCCCTCAGAGTACAAGAAATGGTAAGAGTTGAGACTAACCTCGAGAACAGCATTAATGTTGGCAATCTTGTTTGGCAGATAGACGCTGCTAGTGATTTTGCCGTTGTTGTCATCCTTGGGACAAGTTGCAACTAGCCAACCTTCATGGAGATAGATGTCGGAACATTCTTTACTATATCCCTGAGCACACACAAGTGATGCACTTAGGGCAGTCAGCAAAGCAAAGGCTGTGGCATGCATGATGACTGATTGTTTTTGAAGAGAGGAAAACAGGACGACTGGACGTGGTCCTTGACCTTTATATATTGTGCTACAATCAAGCACCTACTTTAACTAGATGATGGTGGTCAGCGATTGATAAGCACTAAGGCATACGGTCCATCCAACTCCGAACAGTCAAAGTTGATCCTAAGTGGCTGCAGAGACTGTCGTCAGGTTTCTTGGAAGCTTATCCTCATGCTAAGCAGCTGTGACCCGCTTGTTATAGCTCGGCTGAATTCTCCGGAGTTCGGAATCCGAGTCTAGACACAACAGAAACAGGGAGTCCGAGCGAATGACTCTCCTGCAGCTATGCTCGGTCATACCATGATTCCTTCCCTAGCGCAGTCGAATGATTATTTTCTCCCAAAGCCACGTCATCAAGCTTGGCTGTCAGCATAAGCTTAATTAATCTCCTTCGGGGCAAACTTTCCTTGCGTACTCGCTTACCTCAAGCTGGAAAATTGCATTCGATGTCCATGCTATAACTAACTATAAGCCCTCGGCATCTTGACTAAGCCTTGAGAACACAGGTCGATACAGAAGTTGGGTGGGCATATATATAACGCTCTCCAAACCCCGACGCGCACTATTCAGAGAATCATCATTAACCACCACTTCAGCCCCAAGATATCGAATCAAGATTTCGCTGAATATTGGCAGGAAGGTACACAAACATATTCACAAAGCCCAATTTGGGTTTCTGCTTGCCGTACTTCCTAGCGTTCGTGGTAATGAACCAATGGCCCTGGCTTAATCCATCACGCTAGGGCGCTATTGACTAGTATATCAATGCTGGCTGAATGGCACAGTTGCAGTAGCTTGCCAAGTGATGTCCCCTTCAGCCACAGCGGGATTGCAATTTATATCCCATTTTCCGGCCAGCTGCATGTTGAGCGGGGAGTCAAGGTGGTTGAGTGAACAGACTATAGCGCCGCCAATAGTAAAGCAGCAGATGGCCGCACAGAATAAGACTTTCTCTTCTATTTAAGCAGGATCTCTCTCCGTCATTAATGACCTCTTGAGTTTGAACATTCACAACAAAGTCGATCCAGTGCGCTACTGGATAGCAGTGAAAAATGACGTGGGCATTAGTTGAGTTCTGGGATATCAAGGAAGACGTTTCCATGGAGTCTCTCAGAGTTAAGATTCCGGTTTTGCCTTTTTACCTGCATCCATTATCTATTTGGTAGGGCAAGGGCCCAAATTTGCGGCAGACTTTACAAATGGCGTCTCCTCTGTTCAAACTGGCTCGTACTACTAGTTGTCCCACTCTAGGTATGTCGACCTTACCTTGACTTGAAAAGCAAAATACCATAAATCCTCTCATTAACTGGAGGATTCGATTACAACCCTGTAAGTTGGAAAGCTGGGGAGCCCTAGAGACTTAATCCAGCCTAGCCTTTACTTCCTCCTTTCTTCCCCGCTGGAAACTTCGGTTTCTGCTATCGCATGTATTTTCTAGAAACAATTCTAATGTCCTGCATGAAATGATAGACAAGTCGGCAGATTGTACCCGTGTTTGAATTTAAGATTGGAGGACATCAAGCGTTTGGTTGCGGACCAGACACGCTGGGAAGCTTATGCACATGCCTTTCCATTAACGGAACGCAGTTGGAGTTCCGAGTTTAACAACGGAGACTGGGGCTTCAAGGAGTGAATGATCAGTGGATAGAGATGGTAGTTATAGGCACTACTGCAGGGCTGTAGTTGGTACTGTAAAGATCTTCAGCTAAATCACTTCTTAGCCCAATCACTGAAAGAACTGAAACTACTCTATCTATGAGCGCATCTGCAGGTCTCGTCTCTTGATCATCCCGAGCAATCTGCCGCCTTTCGAAGAGCACTGGGACCAGATAAGCCTGCGTCTATATATATTAACATTAAGTATTGCTCTAAATTGGTTGTACAGGAGACGGCTCTCGTCTAATCGTCATATGCATATATACCAGACATCCACTCCTACGGACCATTGAAGTCCTTCACTCCCCCTTTGGCTTTTTGATTGGGTTGCCTTGCTCATCCACGAGGCCCTTGGCCCGCATCACCTTGAGGGCATCATGGAGCGGATCCAGCGCGGGTTCCGGGGCGCGGTGCGAACCGAAATAGGTGTCAGCCCAGGTGAAGTATTGCCCATAGTTGACGGTGAAGTACATATGGTGCAATGTATGATGCGCGGGGCTGTTGATGAATTTCTCCGTCCAATGGCCCGAAATCATGTCGCCGTCGTGAATGAAGATGGTCCAGATTTGGACCGCACCGAAGAGAACCATGTACAGGTGTCGCTGCATGGGGCAGATGAAGACGAAGACGCTGTTGACTGTTAGAGGGATGGCCGTAGAGGATCGCTGGAACGGGGGACAGCGATACTCACTGGTATGGTAGAGACTGCACATATCCGTCCAGCGGGTGGAATGCCAGAGCAGCCCATGGTGTCGGAACTATATATCGTCAGCATTTGCAACTACTGACACATGGGAAGTTCTGTGAAGACCAACCGATCCATTTGTGATGTGGCTTGTGGATGTACTTATACACGCTGGGGTGATGCTCTAGGCGATGGATCCAGTAGATGCCAATATCGTTGAAGGCCATGTACAGGATGGACGAGACCACCAGCCAGGGCCAGCCATAGTCGCTGACCGAGCGGTACAACAAGCTTTTGCCACGGACCTCAGCCAGGAACCATGGCAGGGTGAGGATATTGATAAAGGGAACGGCGGACAGCGATGATTTGATCTCTTGGCGGATTTGGTTCGGTAAGAAGCGCGGATGGTACTCGAGCCGTCGGTCGAAGATGAAGTAGTAGGAGAGCGCGCTGAAAAAGAGGTAGAGGGAGGTCGCGCCGAGTTGCGTGATGATCAGAATCGAGGTGACTTGGCGATAGATGTTGTCGCGATCCCATCGCGACGTCGGATCGGGGACATTGGGATCGGAGGGCAGCAACCAGGCATAGGCCTTGTCCAGAATGAGGGGATCGAGAAGCTCGAGAGCGACATCCATGGCAGACTGATATTTTAATGATCGACCACGACGGCGCGGAGAAGGGTGGTGCGCCACATACAGGAGGACTGCAGCAAGTTGGTTGAATGTCGGAGCAAAACAGTTGCCAGAGTTGCTCTCGGAGTCAGGGGAAGTTCTTGCTGCTCCACAATTCCAGCTGATTGTCGAATCGGAGTATTTGATAATCCTAGGCGCCTAGACGGCGATTCTCAATGTCCTTGCGCTATTCTGTTTATAGAACGCTAAGCATGGTGCCATATATAGTGTCTGGAACCCTAATTGATTGAATTAAGTGCAGATAAGTTCATTGGTTTTCAACCAGTAGATCTGTCAAATTGGCCTCTCACCATAATAGTTTTTGGTTGTATTGTTGTTGGTTGGACACTCGGACAAAGCATGATCAGTGCTGATTGGCTGCTGTAGTGGTGGCCAATTACCAGAAGCAGTATAGCGTTCCTATTCGGGGAAAGCGCGCAGCTGAGGCTTGGCATCTTGGTGTGTAGTCTATAAAGCTTCCACCTTGCCCACTGACTATGCTTGCTTCTCATGAGAATAGAATTTCTGCTTGCCTGAGAACTTAACTGACTATGAATCTTTCTTTTTCTTGAAATGCGATGCTAATTGCATGGACTAGTGCTATTAACTTTTCTAAGTGAATTAACATGATTTCTCCCTCTTATACCTGACATAGAAAAGGTGTTAGTGGAGAAGGATTCTGAGTTGCAACTCGCCGTATAATGGTAAGCTGGGCTAGAGGATCATCTTACCCAATTTAATTAACAGTACTTGGTGGATGATGAGACTAAGATTGTTCTGCGCCAAGTGATACAATCCATGCTGGTCAATTCTATGAAGAGCGACCAATGAGATGCTTTCTCTGTATCAGAACCTGTCAGCCAGCTTGGCTGCCGAATCTAGTAAAGGATTTACGGAACTCTCTGGAATTCTGATTCGACCAATCAGATCACGAGAAATAGATCATATTGCTATTCAACTCGCCCATTCAATTCCAATTCGCTGGAATCTATCTTTCCTGTCTATAAATTCTAGTATTAGATCGTAGATTAGAAGAATCAGACCTTCTTCCCTTGATATTCCGTGTATATGCGTTCACCATACAAACGTTATTATCTCGGATTGGCTAACAGAACCTTTAACTGTCAGGGCTGCAGGGCGGTAATGTCAGAGAAGCACAGCCTGGACTATGTTTTGAGTAGAATCTAGGTGATGTAGATGTGTGTCATGCTTCATATTAGATAACTACTGTAAATCCACCACACCCGTAGAAGATAATTGAGAAGTATTAAGTAGCGCCGCCTATAACGTAATCCACGGCCGAGTGACGACTACGACCGAGTGACGAGTTTTCGTCGCACCCATACTGTTTCTGAAGCTTTCCAACAGCAAAATATAATTAAATTAGATTATATAGTAATTAATTAAAAAGCTATTTATTAGGACAAGTTCTTATTATATGTCCAATGGACCAACAGCCACTACAGCGCGGTGGAGCTCGCTGGCGAGGGGCAGGTGCAGACTCATTAACCTGCTCATTCCGTGGTATATCAAGCTGCTGAACGCAATTTTGACCTTCCTGTACAGATAAAAGGATATCATCACCTAGATTAGCACGCCTTCTTGCCTTCTTTCTGATCTTCCGCTCATTTTCAGCCCGTAGAACCTTAATTTCTTGTTGCAGAAGAAGGTTCATATTCATCGCCATTTGAGCTGCCTTTTCAAGATGTTGAATATGTGATACTAGGCTGCTAGAAAGCTTCCTTTTCTGAAGACTTCTCTGCAGGCTACGGACCTTGTGATCTAGCTGCCGAGGATTCTGAGGTGTTTAGAAAGCAGAAGAGATTGAGCCTTCAACAAGAAGTAGTGGTGTTGGTGTATGAAGTTAAAAAGTAATCTTTTCAAGCACTTAGTCCTGATTAAATGGTTTAAGATCAGCACCTGCAAAGCCACTACATATATTCTTTTAATTAAAGACTTTTTCACGCGCAGGCGGATATAGGTGCAGAAAGTCTTCTTTGTTAATATGGTTATTTCCCGCAACCATCATTCCTTCAACTAACTTCCCATATGCGCGTTTTAGCAGGCCAAAAACGCCAACATCCAGTGGCTGTAGAAGGTGGGAAGTATAAGGTGGCATGCAAAGGCAAATGATTGCATTTTCCTTGCAGAAAGCATCAAATTCTGCAGTCTGGTGGCTAGAATGGCCATTAAGAATAAGCAATCTCTTTACACCAGTTGAACTCTGCCATAAGTATGGCTCAAACACCTCCTTAAGCCAGCGAAGGCCTATTATATCAGTTATCTAGCCATTGTCACTCTTTATAATTAACTAGGTTTGAGGAACTACTGGTTCTTGATACTAGGTAGCCTGTTGCTCCTTCCCCTTCAAGATAACTACTGGTGGTATAGAAACCCCCTTTGAGCTCACACATTCAATGATTGTAACCCATTCACAATTCCCTTGAATAACTATATGGGGTCTCTCACTGTGATCCACTGCAGTAATAACCTTGGATGTTATATAGAGTCCTATTGCAAAGCTAGTTTCATCAAAGTTCCAGATATTGTCTTTATGGATGCCATGTTCCTGAATAGCTCCATGTACAGTTTCAAACTACTGTTTTATAACTTTTGGATCCTCCTGCTTTGCATGCTGGTATGTAATTCTCTGGTTATATCTTGCACGTAATTCAGGACAGCATTTAACAAAGGAATAGGCCCAGTTGACTCCAAGCACTGCGGTAGAATCTTGGGAGCATTCATGAAGTAAAATCTGCGCCATTCCACGCAGAAACTCTGGCTAAATTGAAAAGCCTTGCTTATCTGCATCTAGCACTCTCTTCATAAGGACCTCCTCTTCAATAGCTATTAATTTATGGCTATTAGTGCATGTTTCTACGTGTGGTTTTGTTCCTTTAAGCTGACAGCGAAGGGTAGCCTTAGATACGCCAAATACTTCAGCAGCTTTCAATTTTGATTTAATTTTTTGCGTTTTATAGGCAGAGATAGCCATTTGCATGTGGTTTTCTTGGGATAAGGGCATTTTGTATGAGCATAATGAAAATCTAACACGTTGTTGAATGTTGGTTTGAGTATTTTGATGGGTGCGACGAAAACTCGTCACTCAGTCGTATTCGTCACTCGGCCGTGGATTACGTTAAAGTGTACTTTAATTCTTAGTCACAGTTCCAGCTTGAGTGGCTAATCCCCACCTATAATTAACACTAGTGGAAGCTGACCGACTATCTACCTTCTACGTTGTAGGGATATTAGAAATAAGGGTACAATGATCCGAACAGGATCAAGGACAGTACAATAAAACAAGAACAATAACAGCAAAGATAGAAGCAAGGCCTATTGAGTACATATACTCGATAGTAAGAAAGTAGCTGACGAATCTGACTAGTGAACTTGTACTCGAGTGAGATAACTTCATTGAACGCGAGGAACTAAAGTAAGAGTGCTAGATACAACGGTAATGAGTTTCCTTATATACCCATAGTTCCTCCTGCTGATAGTGATGGTAGATGGTATAGTGGTATGTTGGTAGGTATCCGTTACTTTCCTCTCGCGACCTACCTATCTGACCCATCAATTATACCCGCTCACTTACAGTAATCGCTTGAAGAATGGCTTTCCATGCCACTACTTCAAACACCAGCGCCTAACATAGCCACAGTTAAAAATGTTGCTGCCTGGGCGGACTCAAAGGTTGTGATGTCAGATGGCCAGAGATCCAAGACTAGACAGTCTGAATGTGAATTTTCCGCCTGGGTATGCAACCAGAGGCAGCAGCCTAGTTTCCCAAGTAGACGTTGTGGCGGCACCAATCACTTCAAAGAAGCGTTGACGATCTTCTGGCTTTTGGAGACAAATGCGCTGATAATAGCTTAACCATTGCCCCAGAGGTGCTTGTATGAGCGGCCCTGGCACGCATTGATCTCTCGGAAGGATATCCCACAATTACCGGACGTCCAGATGCCGTAACATGGCCACGTTGCTCTGGTCCTCGCGTTGAATGAGAGAGGCCCGTTCAACCAAGCTGACAATGCCATGAAGCAAGTACCCTTCTCGAACCTTAGCAAAGTCTAGTATGGACGCAGCATATCCAGTCGATATGGATAGCTGAGACAGGGCGCTTGACGGCTGGATGAGCAGCGCCGAAATGCATCTCCGACGAACTGAACGCCTCGTCTCGGTAGAATAGTCACTGCCACTCCACAGCCTCACTGAGCACCAGTCTGGACTTTGGAACGGAACTGATGTTGGACCCTCGCCCACTGCACAGTGGGGCAAGTGAGTCCCGCTCCGCCAGCCGCTGAGTCCCCACTGTTCTTGTTTCCCCGAGATCGCGGGCCTAGCAACCCTAGATTACACACGTCTTCCCAGATACCTACCTCTGTACGTTTTTCTGCAGCCTCAAACTACTTCGATTGTCTAGTAAAGTTCTTCTTAATGTACTTACGTCTCCCCTGCTGAACAAGCCTTCTTTTCTGACATCTCGAAACGTTCAGTTTAGGACCTCTGAAGAAACCGATCGGACCTCGGCCAATCAGCAAAGCCATATATAGTAGCGGCAAAATGTTCGCAGGATAAGGCTGTGATGCGGAACTCTGGCAATTCTCGCAACAGCTCTATCCCGACCTCCCTCCAATCGATGCGTACCTCGCACTTCATCGCGACTACGTGGCACCTATGGTGGGGCCAGTCATCAATGGCACGCTTACCGTAACGGAGGCCTTGGCTCTTTGTAACGATCCTACCTCATGGGTCGCCAAGATCCAGGGAGTCCGCCTAGGGAAGGAGGTGGCGGAGCGGCTTTTTGGTTACATCAAAAGCCTTTTTGCAACTCAGCAGTCGACGGTCAGCAATCTCACGGCAGACGAGAAAGAAATCTCAGCTCAGCTCACAGCGGAAATTTGGAAGCGATATAAAGCGGGTACTCTGGGCCAACCGACCCCGTTTACTGATGGCGTTGACACGGCGGCTGCGGGTGCCAGTGTGAAGAATATTCCTAAGGGCATCACGGACAATCCTACGTCGGCAGCTTCTGCCAGCTCTGGCCCCGCGGAGTCACTCTTCGATCGCATCAACTACCTGGAATGCTGGAATACAGCGTTGCGAACGATCCAGACTGCCCAGGCACAGCGGATGATCAAAGCTCTGGATGTCATCGCCGAGCAGCTCGGAGACGGGAATTGCATCGCTGTGATGGGCGCAAGTGGTCCCGATGGCTTTGCCCGACCTGTATACGACTTGGTCAGAATGAAGATCAACAAGGTCAATGCGGCGGGCCGCAAGAATCATCGCTTCTTCATCTACCATAACTCCAACAATTGGCACCAGGCGTTCGAGAGGTTGACAAGCGAAAATCCACTGCCGTCGGAATTTATCAACAATCCCTGCGACGACCTCGACCATGCTTGCCTGTTCATGCGTGAAGTCAGACAGAAGCTCCTCGCGAAAGATGAAAAGCGCGAAAAGGGCATTATATTCCACCTACTCATCCCATCGTGGTCCAAGCTCCAGATCAAGGAGCCGCTGCATTTTCCTGAGGACCTCTACCCTCTGCAAATTGAGGGGCTGAAGCACGGTGGCAAAAACCAGGTCGAGTTGAATCTCCCAGCAGCACCCGCTGGACTTCTCCACGGGGTCTCGAATGTTCTTGACCCCAACAACTGGAACACAATTGCAGGGGGTGCCGGTGCCGTCGTCACAGCGCCAGCCGTAGGCTGGGGGGTAAACGGCGCATGTCTCGCTCTGGGCCTCGGTGTTGGCACCCTTACAGGAGCGGGGCTGTTTCTGGCTATCCCGCTGTGGGTGGGAACGGCGCCGTTCGCTATGGGCAAGTCAGCTCCGGTCATTCACGACACCATTTACGATGCGCTACGTGAAGAGGACCCTAGGGTGCTAGGGTCCAATGAGCGCTTGCATATGCCGCAACCGCGTTTTTAAACGGGATGTAATTGGGAACCCTGATGATGTTCTTCACCTGTGTTAATGCCTATTTCAACATGTTTTATAAATCTCCGCAATAGAATCTCAATCAAGCTTTGTTTCGTCTCGCCAAATACTGGGCAGCGATCTTCCGATCCATGCGACAGCCTCTCACCTTCCAGTATAGCCGGAACCGCCCTCGTCGTGGTACGAATTGCACAGTAGTGGGCGGACAGCAAGCAAGCAATAGGTACAGGAAGAACTCCACCATGTAGTAGGAATATTAAATAATTATATACTAAGGTCATGCCCTATATTGGCAGAATATATATATTGAGAGAAGGTCATAGGGGAACCCACCTACTGACACTATATATTTGAAATATATATATACCTAAGTATAGTAGTATTTGATATCCCTGCTATATATTTATTTAAATCCCTACTACATCGTGATTCAAATCCCTAGTATATGATGATTCAAATCATTTGATATCCCTACTAGACGATAATTCAATATTAATAATAGGTGATGGTTCGATATTCATCCTAGATAATGATTTGATATTAATACTACGGTGTTTATATATCCATGTAGTGCATGTAACTTCAGGGGCGACGGGCCGCCGTCCGTAGCGAGCCGTAAGAATAAGGTTGACATATCACCATGTAGGCACCAACGAAACAAGCGGTAAATGAGGCAGATTTAAGTCGCATCATCTGGAGCCACCAAAGCCACCGAAGGCTAGCCACAATGAGGCTGTACTGTAACTGGAGCAGTATGGAGTGACAGTCCCTCCATAACTCCATAGTGAAGCTGCTTGCTTATCTGGTTGCTTACCTGGTTGCTTACCTCCTTGCTCACAATCTTACTCACCTCCTGGTTCACCTCCTGATGGTTAGACTAGTGTATACACTTACTACCTAATCTATTTATCTAATCACTACATTAGCCAGTGACTTATGTACCAGTGTATTTATACTGATTAATTAACTAATGAACCTGCCTATAAGATGACACCGCCTTCACTAGATGAGTGTGTCTAATCCTACTTTGCGTAAGCTCTAAGCTCTTCGCTCTATCAGGTTTGGGATACTTCTTGTGAAAACCCCTTTGGGTACTTCATAGTATAAATCCTAGGTTAGCTATTTCACATAATATAGGAGTAAGATCAACCTCAGCATGTATACTAATTAGCAGGTGAGAAAATCAACTAATCAGTCGGAGAGTTGGAGTATGACATATTACTACTTCGGACGGGGAATCAACCCTAGCGCCGGAGACTTTCGCATCACGAAGCAAAGCCACACAGGAACCTTTGGAGCTCTCATTATCCCGAATGTTCGGCTACATTTCTTTACTTTATGGACAAACTGTCATCCAGAGATTTGTAACAAGCAGAAGAAAATGTCGCTGTATTCAGAGACAACCAGATCAAGCTTCGCGGGTAGCCATTATATAAAGACCACTACAATGGTGATTCTACTATTCAATAACATTTCATTTATCATACCACGCAAGCAAAACCACATCGTTTCATATCCACAGATAATTCCCTGATACCTCCCTGTCACCATCTTCCGGAATGGCTTCTCCAATTCTGCGATCACCGATTAATTCGGACCTCGCCAACGTGACACCCGCTTTGCTGGATGTTAGCACTCCCGAAATAATGAAATCCTACCGGGAATCACTTGAACTAGTCTTCACTTTGGAGAATATCATCCGAGGGAAAGAGGACACCATCTCCTACAGAGAACTGGACATCCCAGGCCCCGCAGGACCGATGCAGGCCACTATCTTCCGGCCCAAGCACCAAACCCGCCCCATCAAAGAAACCCCCGGTATCCTACACATTCACGGCGGGGGTCTCGCAACAGGAAACCGCTTCCTGGGTTTCACCATGCTCGACTGGGTAGAGTCCCTCGGCGCCGTCTGCCTGACGGCCGAGTACCGTCTCGCTCCGGAATATCACCAGCCAGCCCAGCTAGAAGACAGCTACGCCGCGCTGCAGTGGATGAGCGACCACGCCGCTGAGCTGGGCTTCAACCCGCGCAAGCTGGTTGTCTGCGGTGGCTCGGCGGGGGGCAATCTCGCGGCGGGGGTCACCTTACTCGCGCGCGACCGCTCGGGCCCGCAAATCCGCGGCCAGGTGTTGATGTATCCGTGGGTTGATGATGGGATGGAGTACGTGTCCATGCGGCAGTACGCTGATACTGCGCCTGTGAGGGACGTGGACGCCGCCGTGGTGGCTAATTATGCGTTTGGCGAGGGGCGCGAGTACGCGGATATGTATACTGTGCCACTGCGCGCGAAGAGTTTCGCGGGCTTGCCCCCGACTTTTATTGATGTTGGTGAGGCGGATGTGTTTCGTGATCAGGATATCGCGTATGCGTCGGCTTTGTGGAAGGATGGTGTCTCGACTGAGTTGCATGTGTGGCCGGGCAGTTGGCATGGGTTTGATGTCTTTGTGCCTGATGCTCCCATTAGTCGGAGGGCGAGGGCTGCTCGGTTGGAATGGCTTCAGAAGTTGTTAACTATCCCTGATGGTATCTAGATCAGAGGAGGTGATGCTTGTTGTGATGCCTTGAGATGGCAATATGGAATTCTGTTGTCTTCCGCATTTCCAAATGTTAAGATAAATGCAGTAGTCGGTGAAGTTGGTGGTAATTTGGGTAATTGGTAGCAATCAGATTCTTCGATTCCTGGGCTGTATAATCTCATACCTGTACCACGAAACTCTAGCCCGTTGTCCCACATACCTCTTGGGGGGCGTAGACATGGAGTTAGAGCTCGCGGGTGCGCAACTATGGGACTGGTTCAACAAAAACCAGTCGATCATCAAGATGCTAGAAGATACATAGCGCAGAACAGGGCGGTGGTTTGAAGGCGTTAATGTAAGATACATAAACATGTCTCCCAGTCAAACAGTGCAGGACTCACTAGGAGACCATGCGAGCCGAGTAGAGGTGGCCCTCAGCAGCCCGGAGCAACCAAATGTCCAGGCAGGAAGATGTAAGCTGGCGCAATAAGCACATTCACCATCTATCTTAGGCGCGTATGTATATTACCATATGTACAAAGTCTAACATTGCAAGAGGAGCCAACTTCTCGGACATGCTCCATTCAAATAGCTACAAGGCACCAATAGCGAAGTCCCTCTGATCGATATCCACACGTGCTGTGGCTTGTTCAACCACTGATCATAGACCACGCCTTGAGACAAGCCTGCCGATGCTGCGACAGCGAAGGCACCGGAGATTGAACAAAGCCTGTATGGATGATTAGAATTCTCTGCTGCGGAATATCTTCCCGGACCAGCTGGAAGGCCTCAGAGACCCTTTCCTGATGACCCTGCACGAACTAGCCAGAACGTATTAAACACTTCTCGGTCTCTACCAATGATGGAAGAGCAATTCCAGGTTGCGAATGAAATAATCGTCTGCTCTGACAATCCATGGCACGACAGTCTGCCCCAGAGCATGGAGAATCTTACAGCACTTGGTACGGAATTACACAGTGGGGCACGTGGAGACACTGATGCAAAATGCCGCTTTTTGCGGACTGCTTGAAAGGCTACCACAGCTGGAAAAATGCATCTTTCGTGCAATGTGGGATGTCGATGGAGCTGTCCTGTGGATAGCATCTCGACTGCTTTGTCCTCTTTAGCTAAGAGCTAGTGAAAGTCCGAGTTTACCAAGGTTCACTTGGTCGCCGGACGATGCCCGGCCCAGGGCATTCAGAATCTCCGTCTATAATCCTGGCTCCTCTGGCCAAAACTCGATCTTGAGTCTGTTCATCGTGACGCGAGACACCATAAATGGCGAGCAGGAGAACCTGTTCGAAGAGTGGGACAAGCCGTGGAAAACGACGCATTGATGCGCTTCAATCCCTTCCTGGCACACGGCCAGTATCATTTTCAATAAGGATATGATCTTCAAGACAGTGATCGAGCAGACCGTCACAAAGCAAGGGTTTGCTGTTTCCATGGATAATTCAGATGGTGGCGTCACTCTTTCGATTGATACCAAGAAGCAGGTGCATCGCGATGCAGAATATCGGGTCGAAAAACTTGGAGATGGGTCGACCAACGAGTACAAAGTCTCGGCAATAGACAAGACACCGGGAAATCTCCGGGTGACACTCAACGAGGTTCGTGAGCCTATTGCCCGTAGACAAGCTCAGCGCTGACTCGGTCTTATGCAGGACTCGTCCCACCAGGCCCAGTGCCTCGGATCTTGGAAGTTCGACTACCACTTCACCTGGTCCTTCTACCACGACGACCGATATGCCGGCATGGGCGGCCGCAGTTACGGTAGCAACGGAGGCATCACGGCAACCCACACGCTGGACAAGAAGCTCGCCTTGTACCATTGTCAACCAGTACAAACTGCACATTGACTGCCCGATCTCCGCGAGCGACTGGTCTGTTGACCTCGTGGGAGACGATAAGAACTGGTGGGAGCAGTTCTGTGGCGGAACAAAAACCATTCCGGACTGGGTCAAGAACCTGTCAGTGCAGATGCCCACCTTCACCCTGCACCTCGGCAGTCTGTACTTCTTCTTGACGACCAATCTGCTGCTGCCGTCCCAGCAGGTGATTACTGTGGACACTCGCACAGGAATCCAGATTCCAGGCGATCTGTACCTGGTTGGTTTTGTTGATGATGATGATCGCTGGTGACATATTTGCCCACTTGGCTTGGGTTCTCGATGCGGTTGATCATCAATTCTTGTTATTTAGTCATTCAGTCGTGCTGTAGGGTCGCACGGAGGGCAATTCTATATACTGTTCTGGAAGCAAAAGGGTCACAGATCCAGCATTTCTCCTGGTATCCATTCCATATGATATCATATATCATGATATTCGTGGAGATAGTGCTGTCCCTGCGTGATATTGCAGTAGAGAGTTGTGATGGCCATTCATTTAAGGGCGAACCAGCGTAAATGATTTAGTGTGGACACTTGATGCAAGGAAAGTTAGTGGAGTGTGTGTCTTGGTAGAGTAGTCAGAACAGTTGACCAACCATATTTTGGGCCCTAAGGTCGCAGTACGAAGGGTGAAGAGAAACATGTACTGACTCGCAACCATCCTCAACATGATGTTCAAACATTACTCTCTCCAGAAGTAGCAGACTTGATCGGTTTGACAGAGCGATAGTAGCCTACTGGTAATCGTCGATAACTGCGCCTTACTAGTATTGAACACTCATGAAGGGGATCGTCAAGGACAAAAAGCGCCACTGCCTTGCCATCCGGGCTACTCTCGTCCGGACTGGCCTCGAAGAACTCCTGCGGACCAGGCCGGTAAAAGTCCCAGGGCCTAATTGAACCTAGAAAAGACGATTCTCATTGCGGAAGCCTTCAGTCAGAGCTTCCAAACACTGGCACAGATACTTGCAGGAATCGGAGGTATAGGGTGGATTCTGAGACCACGTCCGACGGTGCGATCTTACAAGTTCTTGGACGTGTTCAGTTGTAACTAGATCACAAGTTCCCAATGACATCTGGAGTAGGACAGCTGGTTGGACATATCTCACACATGTAGCTATATACACAGTTATTGCCAGATAAAACACCTCTTCACATTGATCATGGATCAACATTGATTCTCGACTGCAGCGTCCTGTGCTCCACCTGCGTCAAAAGCTCATCGCTCTCCTTAAAAGCCTCATACCGACGCTGTCCCTGCAAAGGCTGTCCATCCCCAAGTCCCAAAGTACCTACCGGCAGAACCTCATCCCCATCCGGAATAGACACATCCCTCACAACACCCGGGATTTCATCCAATACTGGGATCTCATCCACTGACTTAGCCACTCGCAGAGGGAGCAGTTTATCGCCAATCGCGGCCCCGAAGCGCAGCATCGTGAAGGAATCCAGTCGTTCTGTCCACCGTGGGTAACAAGCCGCGTAAAATGCGAGTCCCAACATCGGGATGATGTATAGGGCCATCATGATTGAGCCGACGATTATCCCTGCAGGGGAGATAGTAGGGATGGTCATCTCGGCTCCGAGATCCTGGTGTATCCGCCACTGGCCAGTCACTGACTCGAGCAGTTGCTTGTTGGATAGGAAGGCTGCCGCCGTGAAGAGCATGGGGAATCGGTCCTCGGCGTCGAGGAAGTAGCCGAGCCACTGATGGATGAGGGTGTCCGCGTAGCTGCCCACGTAGCGAGTCCCCAGAGGAGCATCTAGGCAGTAATGCTTGGGGCTGTATGATTCATACAGGATCAGGTCGAGGAGTGGAGGGCCGTCAAGACAGATATCCCCTGTGACGTTGGCTCTGTTGAAGCTGTCGTTGATGGCCCAGATCTTCGCAGCGAATGTGTCCAGGAAAGAACCTGGACCAAACATTGCGAGTGCCGTCGTGAGAAGGGGCCCTTTACTGGCCGTTGCAAGTGGGCCCCAGGATACTGCGTCAAGGGTGTCTGTGGTGGTGATGTTATCGCGACGGATCCGGTTGATGCTCGGATGAGGATCAAACGTCTGGTAGTGACAGTCTGCGCCACAGAGGCTAACGGGGTCTTGCTCCAAAAGTGGACCGGGCTTTCCTTCATTCATGTAATTTGGCAGCTCGAAGTATCCAGCGGTGGTGTTGACTGTGATCCGGTACAGCTTACCGTCAGCGGGTGTGTCGCCGGAATGTCCATTTGTGCTGGTGAAATTCAGATAGAGCGTTTCGGAGAACTCCTGACGATCTCGCGTCTTCTGCCACTGTGATTTAGTCAGATTGGAAGGCATGCAGGCCGTGACTCCCCAGCTTCTATGGTATTCGGATACTGCGTATTCGGAATAATATCTGGAATAAAAAGACCCAGGAATACTGTCGCAGTTCGACGGAAATTCGCTAGCAAGGATAGTCTCGTACGTGGCGGTGGAGTTCACGCGAGGCGCAAACTGTTGCAGTACGCCCGTGTTGAATCCAGTCGGAAGCTGAGCATAGAAAGAGTCGTTCAAGGATAGAATGTCACTCAGGGTATGTAGTTGAACTCCAGATGTGTTCTGCCACAAGAACGGCTGGACGTTGACGGAGTTCGCGTCGCTGAGAGCTCGACGAGCCGTCAAGATGTCATTGCCTATCAGCGAGGTAGCTGTGTCACGGTATCTAAGGCTGGGAAGATCGGCTATGGTAGCCACCTTGTCCATGGACTCGGGGACACGGATCGTCTTTGTTTCGAGGAAGATTGACTGGATGGGATATGTCAAGCCGGCAATGAGATGAAGGACGATAGCAAAAATCAAGAATGCACTGCCATGCTTCTTCCATCCTCCAAAGACAAGGCCTTTGTACAGGCTGATATCCAGCCATCGACGGTCTGCCAGATTCGTGACTTGGCGCATTCGCAGGCTGTCAGCCGTCTTTTGATTCTGTACATAGATGACCGCTGCGCTTGCGCATACAGCGGAAAGCCAAGGGAGAGTGATGATAACGATAAGGATTCTGATTACCACGGCAGAGCGATAAATGCCTTCGTTCGGCACGTAGTCCAAGGATTCGGAATAGGAATAATGCGCTCTTAGAAGTGCCCCCCACGACTTGGCGCTCATGGGACGAAAGGAAAGGTGGACGATCGCAACCCACGTATAGATTGCCAGCGCTGCATACAGAAGCGTGGGCAGCAAAACACCTGGCGAGCGATGAAGCCTTGTACTGTATCCTCGTCCAGGAACCTGCGTTGCTGGAGATGCGCGCGAATATGCCGGCGGCTCCTCGTTGTGAGACGTGGCAGAGTCCCCGGAAAGATCATTCTCGGGATATTCAGGCGCTTGATAGCTGCGGCTAGATACTGTGCTCAGCGACAGTCGCCGAAGGGCAACGGTGCTATTAACTTCCATCTTGATGATAACTGCCCTCTCGCATGTTTGTAAGGAGGAAAGTGAGGCAAAAGCGAACGAGGATCATGAAGGAGTCTTGTTGCAGGACAGATTCAGTCTTCAGGGGGAACTCCGGGAAACCAGCATTGCTTGGCACCTCCAACAGACCTTGACATGACTCGCTTAGGGGGAAGGGTCTCCAATTCGTGGAGAAGACAAGGCATAAGGTGACTAGCAAAGGCTAGCCAAGGCGCTTGGTCGGGGAGAGACATATAGTTGGTCACTGCGGGTGCATCTATCCACATTGGACGATGTAAGTGTGTTTTAGTAGGAAATAGTCCCTTGAAAAGAGATGACCTGGCTTTATGTTCAGCAGAGACGTACAGGTGACAAGTTGCATAAATTAATGCTATTCTGACGCCGTTTCTATCCATTCGCCGCTAATACATATACTACAATCATCGACATCTTCGGCCGAATTGCATCCCGAGAGCAAGTGGAAGCAAGTATTGCAATTCAAATCCAGGCCAGTTTGATGCTGGTCCCAGGAATAAGCAGTTAGGTTAGGGTTTGCAATAAAAGGTAATTCTGAACCTATGTATATGAGCCTGAAACAATGTATCTCGCTGCTAACCACTGATCAAATCTAGCCAGCTTTACTTGATGTCTCCTCGACAGCGCCTTACTATCATGGCCTATTTGAGCTCTCCAGAACCTAACTTGTATCAGAGCATTTCAATCTTTCTCATGTTTTCTTTCACTGTCGCTAGGTACCCTGCTACCTATCTTTTTCGACCAATAGGCTAACCTGCGTGCTGTGATGGCCGGGCGTTCTCGTATTGAATCAGCCGATCAATCTTAGCCTCCACAGCCTCAACCCCACATTCTCTCTAACAAACTTTTGATTCCTTCCTTTGGACCCTTGAGGACATTCTTATTTTGACCGCAAAGATGGCCCGGTACCAATATATACCCCTGCCTCCCATCGACGAACTCGGCCAGAGTCCCGCATTCACGCGGATTTTGACTCTCTATCCTGGCACAGAGCACGATCCACTATACTGTACTCTCGACATTGTTGATATTGAACATTGTCCATGGCCTCCGGAAGCCCTGTCGTATGTATGGGGCAGCGAGCGGGCGCCTGTGCCCCTCTACTGCGGTAATGGCCAACTCAGCATAACCCTAAACCTGGACATCGCGCTTCGCCACCTTCGTCTCCCTCATGCTCACCGCAGGCTCTGGGTCGATGCGGTCTGCATCAATCAAGAGGATCTGAGGGAGCGAGAGCGTCAGGTAGGTTACATGCGGCTTGTATATAAGCATGCAGTCCCAGTCATTGCATGGCTTGGCCCTGGTATACCCGAAACAGCAGAAGCGTTCGATTTTGCGAGGAGATTGTCCGAGTTGCAGAAGGATATAAACGAAACCGCGACGAGTGCACCCGATGGGCGGACACTCTACTCGATGAAGAATGAAGCGGACATTATCATTTTCGAGTCAATGGCGGCAGAGCCACGGGCGACGGACGCCCTGGCTCGTCTTTTCACAGGGCAGTACTTTGAACGCGTGTGGTGTATACAGGAGGTCGCCGCCTCGCAACGCTGCATTGCCAAATGCGGTCAGCACGAGATGGATTTCTTTGATTTGCTCTCGCTGCAGACCTATGTCTGTAATCTCCGCGGGGTTATCATGGATGCTCAGGGCCTGGATTATCCTGATGGTACGGTGTCTTTCTGGAGTACGTTTGTCCTTGGCAGACGGAAGATCTTGGTGTCGCAAAAACGGCAATTCGTGGAGGGATCTATCGGCAAGATGTTCACTTTACTTGCAGGGATCCGCAACTTCAAATGCACCGACCCCCGCGATCGGATCTTTGCTCTGCTCGGAATCTCGGACGAAGGATTGCAGCCTGTTCTGGCACTGACCCAAGTCGAAGGTGCACATAACTCGAGGGCATTGTCGCTCCTTCGGCGCGGGATGATATGGCTCTCGGACAAGGTGAACTCACTCGGGCCGGATATCAACTTCCTCAGGCCAGCAGCCCTGAGTCCAAACTACTCCAAGCCTGTGCGAGAAGTCTACAGAGACTTTACAAGGTTCAGCGTGCGCCAACAGCCACGAAAGCTCGACATATTATCGCTCGTACAACATACCACCCATCCGTTACAGGACAATTGGCCATCCTGGGTTCCTAAGCTGCATGAAGAACGCTCAGTGTCTCTCTTACCACCTGGTTTGTGTCTCGCGGGTATCCCAGTGTATGGCCACTATCGGTATTTCGCGGAGCTTCACGATTCACCCCTCAATGGCGGCTCAGTCGAGCCAGATGTCCTCCAGCTGGACGGGTATCGTGTTGATCTGGTTGACGCTGTGAGCGATCTTATTCACTACAAGTACACGGAAACGCCGCCAATAGAAGCGATATGGTCTCAGCTCTTCGACTTTCCCTTGTTTCCGCGTCCCGGCTTTCAGTATACGGGGACAAGCGAGGCTCTAGATGTTGCTTTCTTGCAGACAATAGCTGCCGGCATACTGGGGGTGATTAGCATGTTCCTCAACCAGCAAACCTCCTGGCAGGAGTCAAGGCCTGACGCTTGGGACGCCTTGAGAAGGCAGGTAAAGAGTAACATTTTGGCGTGGCTGCAAGCACATCCACTGGCTCACGGATTATCCTACCCCGACCTAGTGCCAGAGGGACAATTGGCGGACCTCCCTGGGGGTGAGAATGCATATACGCATCCTCTTTGGCTCTATTCTCGGAATAGGCGGATGTACAGAACGAGATCAGGGCTTGTCGGACTTGGTCCGCAAATGATGCAGCCAGGGGATCAAGTAGTCGTACTATTTGGGGGAAGTCTGCCGTTTATTTTACGACCGTGGGGAAGAGAGTGGTTACTTATCGGAGATACCTATCTTCATCATGATTCGATCTTGCAGGGAGAGCAGGTCCAGATGGTCAGATCCTCATCCGGCCCGTCCAGGGTTGAGACTTTCAGGCTAGCATAGATCTATTTCCAGCAACCTCCATTGCTTGAACCAAAGGTCGAGTCCTAGGGCTTAGGTATACCATGTAGGCTCCGGGTACTCATGCAGCAGCACATATCTGCCGAGCTCCCGGTTCTTGTACGCCACAGGGTCATGCAAGGTGTGCGTCCTGATATCCCTCCAGAACCGGTCCAGTCCCACCTTCAGCGACGTTGCCCGAGCGCCAGTCACCTCGAATATACCAGACGTGACTCTGAGTCCGACATCCGTAGTGACCACCTTTACACTTGCGACCCATTCAGCCACCTCCCCTCGTTCCTCGGCTGTCACCTTCAACCGATCGCCTGAATGACGCTCGTACAGTGCTGAAAGTTGATCGCCGGCTTTGTCGGCCAGTGCTTCCGCAGCACGGAGGTGTGCAAAGAAGTTCCCGTACCGCTCGAGAATGTAGAACTCATCCGTAGCTGCCTCTTTGTTATCCCCACCGTAGGGCCAGGCGCGTGTGGACGTGGTGGTATACTTGGCTGCGAATTCGAGGGCGCCGATGGCGATGCCGAGGTAGAAGTTGCTGAACACCAGCTGAATACTAATATGATCAGTACAGACTGTGGGAAGAAGTCATGTAGCACTTACGTAGGCAGAAACAAAGAGGCAAAAGGAATGGTGAGAATCTCTGCCAGAGGTCTTTTGGTTGTTGCGTCCCATCCCAATGCATCCGTCCAAGATGCACGCACATTCTCGATCTTAACGCTTCCGGACTCTGTCAACCGCAAACCAATATTCTTCCAGTTGTGCGCGAATTGGATTCCTGATTGATTGGTTTCCACAACAGCAAATATATGGTCCTGTGTTCCGTCCAGCACGCCTTCGAGGACCGTAAGATCGGAAACCACACCACCTGTATTGAAATGCTTGAATCCGTTGAAGACGATCGAGTCGCCATCCGAAGTTATCTTCAAGTCATTGTCTCGAGGATTGACTGCTCCTCCGACGAAGAGGTTGTTCGTGATAATCAGTTCCTGCAGACGATCGGCTTGTTCGGCGGTGCCGACCACATTGGCGGTAGTCGACCAGAGGAGATGATACCCAAGGAGCATGCCAATGGACCTGAAATACAATTAGCCACTGTCCGCATGTTGACTGTAATACGCACCCGTCACCCTTGGCTACTTCGCGGATCGCCTTGTAGCCTACACGCCATGGCTGTTCTCCGCCACCATACTTCTTCGGCCCGAGAAGCTTCAACAGACCGGAATGTTTTAGTAAGACGACCTCTGCGCGGGGAGACTTGTTGTCTTGATCTCTTTGAGCTGCATCCTGGGCAAGAACTTCGGCCACTTCACGCGCCCGTGCGAGCCATGCGTCTGCGGAGTCGGGGAGAGCAGCCCATTTCTCCTTGTAGGCGTCGTACACTGCGGGGTCTGTTGCTGGGACGTTTGCTTGCGCCATTTGTGGAAAGTTCGATCAGATTATTTCTTCTGGCTGGGTTTGGACTTGGTTTACACGGCTAGGAGGGAGGATGCCATGTGCGTATTTATGTCTCAAGCATGCTGTCCGATTGCGGGCAAACCTTCGGTATGGCGTGCTTTTCAGCAGATCATGGTGTCATGCAGGACTGTGATGTACGACTACCAAGAAAGAATCTCATTCGGTTAGGAAGCAATTCGTCAAATAAGCCAAAATGCCGTTATAACCCCGCATTGTTCACAGATACATGGCCATTTCTCAGTCTACCGGACTCCAAACTATCAATGCAGAACCAACTGCCTCATCTTTGGAAGGCTGCTATTGACTTGAAGATGAATTTGATTCAGCTAATAGCCAGCGTGCTTTAACTACAAACATATTGGCCGTAGATTGGCAATGAAATGACTGATTCCTTTCCGACTGCAACGGGCAGTTGTTGACTATGTGGGCAATCCACGAATTTCCCTTTCCCCCGGACAAATAACAATTATACCATGAAGTGATTCCTGAGAAACGTTCAAAGAGAGAAAACTGCAAGTCCGATAGTTGAAATGCTGGTTCCAGCTCACAGAGAATCGTCCGTCTTCCGCACTGTTCTAATCAATGGAACGATCAGTCTCGGTATCAAGTGGTAATCAACTGTTGACTATGGGGGCGATGACTTGCGTTCGTCACGCTTTTGACTCAGTTTTTGCACCCAGTCCTCCCTGTTGTAATGGTTGGCTAACTTCAATGGCGTTATGCCGTCGTGAGTTTCGGCGTCTGGGTCGACATCGTAAAGCAACAGAAGTTCGACGATATGGTCATAGCGCTGGTAAATAGCATAGCACAAAGGGGTTTGGCCCTCTGAATCTTTGCGATTGACTTCGGCACCATGAGCGAGAAGCAACCGGACCATGGCTATCTTGTTGTCAATTATGGCAAGATGCAGAGGCAAGGAATTCCAAGCGTTTGGGTTCGCCCCGTGTTTCAAAAGCAGACCCAGTAGCCGCTCATAGCCGTCGGCCACGGCCATGAACAGAGGCGGGAGATCACGATAGGTCTGGGACCCCACATTTGCTTCTGCTCCTTTTTGTAGCAAGAGCCGGGTAATTTTGAAGCGGTTTTTCCTTACTGCTTCTTGAAGTGGAGTACGGATCCAGGAACCGCCCAGATCTGTAAGCGCACCCATGTCCAGTAGCATCTCGACAATCTCCGTAAATCCCTTCGTCACTGCAATGCAAAGCGCCGGCATATTATCATATCGCCGGGCGTTAGGATCCGCACCTTTCTCAAGTAAAATCCTGACTACAGTCTTCCTATTATGACTCACAGCGACCACCAACGGTTGCCCAAGAGATTTCTCGAGATTGACGTTCGCGCCCTTTTCGATCAGGAGCTGGACAATAGCATCATGGCCATGGCTAGCTGCTATGTATAAAGCAGTCGTTGCAATTTGAGAGCCTGGATATAATATGGTTTCCGGATCAACACCTTCGTCCAATAACAATCGCACCATGTCGGTGTAGCCAGAGCGTGACATAATCATAAGTGGTCTCTGAAACCATCCATTTAGTGATTTAATGCCCGCCTGGAGGGACTTTTTGGCGGTATGTGGGTTGTTCTTCTGCGCGGCCCATACCAAGACTTTTCCACCTCTTCTCTGAACATCGAAGTTGTAGAGGACGTGGTTGAGGCGGATGTAAGCCGTGCGACTCGTTCGGACGAAGGCGTTCATATCTGATGCTTTGCCGAGGGCTTCTGTGACGATGACGAGCACCTCAGTAGGTAGATCAAGAAGGTACATATACATTGCTGGCAGGAAGATAGCAATGAGACGGGTGATGAGAAGTTAAAATTGAGAGATTGGGAACAGCTGCAGTAGCCTTATGTTGAAGGCCCAGCTATGACAGGAGAAATAGATGTATGTAGTCGGGGCTCGACGATCTTGTCACCGTTTCGTCGTAGGTTAAGGTCTGTGAGGAAGGAGTGATCTCAGGGATGAGACTAGAGCAATGTAGCAGGATGATGATAAGTAGTGAAAGGCTTCATTAAGATGAGGAGATGAGAAGGTCGAGATGAGATGAAGAGTGTAGTGGTCGAGGATTGCTTCCAGTTCTGCCAGTAGGATTGACCTGAGGATGTTAAGCGATTGCTTATGAGTTGTGTTTGTTAGCTCATAGAGAATCCAATCCATGTAGGCGAGACTGAAGAATTTGAACTTCATCCACTTCTTTATCTGGCCTGATTGTGTATTCACTGCTAACTTCCGCTTCATTTCACGCATAATCTTAGTTAGATCTTGGATTATCAATTGCAAAGGCCTTGTCTAGTAGCAAAGGGCCATTTATCATTCAGAAGTTGAACGAGTATCTTACTGAAGACAGTCTTTTCGTCTCCGACAATTGAGTACATCGTCCAGGAGACGAATACCGGTTTGAGGATGGCTCAACAACAAATCAGCAACGATGTAGAGCTTATAAGGGTGATCGCGTTCATACCAATGTCCCATGAACTCCCTGAGCACGAACGATTCGAAACGACCTCCATGCTGAGCCATAAAGCACCATAGATCGACTTCAGATTGACCATTGCCATTATAGTAAGACTTCTTGAATCGGGCTTCGGCCTTGTTCCGGCCTTGCATCTCTCTCATAAGTAATTTCTCTTTCTCAGGACCGTGGGAGTCTCTCCAATACTGCTCCATTCTGGTCAGTAGAGAGGCGGTTGGACTCCCTCCATATGGGGGTGGCGGTTATACCGGCTACTACTCTGGCCGTGATAGCCTGTCCAGTATGTCACCGCTTGACATGACGATGTAATGCTTTCTCGCATCGGAGCTTCAGGTCTGGCATTAAAAGTCGCCTACTCTTTCGTCTTAGGCAGGGAAGGTTGTGCAACCTGTTGAGGATAAAGTCATGTTAGCTAGAGGAACGATGGCTCTTAAGAGCGATTCAGCGGACATACTGCAAAGGGACATATCAGAACATGTTGACTTTCAGCTATGATGCAGAGGTGGCAGGCTTACAGAATCAAGCAGATCATGAGCATTATCAAAGGACTTGGATCGCTACCAAGGCTTCTGCTGTGCTCACCTAATCAAGCACAGTTAGAGTATTTCCATTGTCATTCAGGATAATGAAACTATCGTAATTAATGGAAGCGCTGTCTAGGTGATTCGCAGAAGAGACATAAATATAGTTTATCCATCATGAGTGAAATAGAGAGTGATATATATTTACCCAACGCCAAGTCAGCCATGGTCTCTATCGCATCCTTATTAAGAAAATATCTTTATTCAATAATCCTTGAAGTGACTATAATACATCCACTAAAGACTTGTTGCGTATAGGTGGTCTTATATTATTATATATTCCACAAGGCGCTCGTTTCTAGCCTACTTGGTTTTATATTTGTGGGATACTCTACCTATTAGAGTATAGCCTTTTCCAGTTAGACGAAAGAAATATCTCTTGCAAAGGATACAGGTTGCATATGCGACGCAAATGATTAATTGCCTAGCACAGTTTACCAAAGAAGACAAGAGGAAAGAAGGATGCATTCTGATTATTGCCACTGGGTATCATCGACAACCGACTGATGAATCCGACACGCAAATAAATTATATCCCCATCGCTAATGAGTGAGACACCGCAAATGCCTAAATTACGTCTGGATGCCTACAATATCCGTGGCCCATAAAATCGAGCCCATCCGCTCCGGCCCAAGAAGCCGACAGATCTCCTTCAACAACCGCGCCCCCAAGTCACCCATCCACCAGCGGTCGCGCAGGTGGTGCAACACCGCGCAGTAATGGGCGAAGATGATGAGCGCCAGGGGTTGTTCCTCCCGGACGAGGTCCAGATAGCGACTGGGGATGCGGAACATCCAGCGCAGGGCGATGGTCGTCGGATCGCCGCCTTTTGTGAGCATTTCGAGCGAGTTGTCCAGGTTTGCGATGGTGTCGTTGTAGACGGCCGTCTCGTGCGCGGGGACCCTTTTCGCGCTGAGCGCGTTCAGGTTCTTCATGGAGAGGATGGTGAGGGTGTAGGTGCTGGGCAGTTGGTGGTAGGGGTCTCCCTGGGTGAAAAGGTCTTTGAGGGCGCCGGTTTCGACTTTATTTAGGGTTTCGGGACTGGGGAGTAAGGCTCTAATGGTGTCGAAGAGGTCGAGGAGCTTCTGCAGGGAAGGACAGGAGGAATGTGACGTGTCATGACTCTCTTGAGAGGTGGGTGTCTGGTTGTTGGGCGACGGGAGAACGGACCTAGAGCCCTCTCCGGCCAGCGCAGAGGACGCAAGGTCGCACATGAAAAGAATACTTGCAGTGGAGAATGCTGCGTTGGGCCCGGATGCTGTAGGAGTTTCTAGGATGTTCGGTAGCTTCTCCGTGGCTTGTGTGTAGTGAGTTTCGGCCGCCTGCAAGTGACGCTGGCGTTGCGGAGTACCAGCCTCACTGGTAGATGCGAGTTCTATGGCGGACAGAGCCAGCGTGCTATGCCTCAAAGCAGGGTGCTGGGATGTCTCGCGCCGGATGATGGCCTGCCATGGGTGGTCCTTGCTTTTGCCGTGCGCGAGGGATTGTTCCGTGGAGTTGCACCAGTTGTCTAATAGGCGTTGATCTTCGGCGTTCAGGTCCTCGGACGGTTTGCCAGCTTGAGCCTCCAAGACCCTGATCTTGTCATCCTGATCGACCTCGGAGGTATTGGACTCGGGGGATTGGGATGTGGAGGGGCTGGCTGCAGAAGGAGGATATTGTTGGGCGGGAGGAGAAGGTGAGGAGTACGAGGATGAGGACGAGTCGTCGGAGGAAGAGGAAGCTTTTGCCTTGGACGGGGTGGCTTCGGAGGCTCGAACACCGGAGGGTGGGCGGAGTTTTTTCGAGGGAACCGAATTACCGTAACGACAGGATAGGCGATGACGCCTGCATCCGTCGCACTGAGGGCGAGTCTTTGAGCACTAGAGCGCAGCAGTGGTGAGCAGCCATAATAGGACCAAGGTGATGGGACATGGAGACATGAACATACCTGCATCTGTCGCTCACTACATTGGGTGCATTGGAGCGGTGACCTTCGGAGTAGCCTCTGAACAGGCATAGCAAGATGGTGCCAATGGCTAATGGCCTGAAGGAGCCCGGCCTGCCTTTTCAACGGGCACCGCAGCCACCTTAAAGATGATCATGCCTTACAACTAAGGAAGAAGCGGAGGTGAAGTATCATGAGGGAAAGGGCCTGCGGAGAGGAAAGGCAACTACTGGGGGAAAACAGGCCAACAAAAGCATCGCGTGGACCTGGGGCTGCAGTGGTATGAAAATGCAGTAATAATTGATCAGATTGCAAGGATGCCAATCATCTCCTGAAAGTGAAATAGCTTCCATTTCGCGTCTGGGCCAGGAATCAGACTGAGTGGACGAGGGCCGCGACGACCAGGCATCTGATTTGGTAAGTGTGATCTCTGAAAGGGACTGGAATAAGGCAAACCCACTATGGAAGGGGGGGAAGGAGCAGTAATGCGCATAATGCCAAGAGCCCCACAGAGGGTACTACTCAATCAATTGATTATATACGGAGTACGGAGTAGTAGGGTCAAATTGGCAATGTGGGAGAGGTTGCGATGGCCAACTTCCCAGCACAGTATACAGGAGGGTCTATCTCTGGTGTCCCCGTATTCTGGGTGTGATTTTTGGGACAAGAGGTCTGAGGGGGTTGGATATGATTGGCTACATGATCAATTAGGCAGAGACACTAATCCCAATGCGGATTATAAAGCTCTTGGCTAGAATGAGGGTGCTGATTGGCCAATAAGCCTTCACTAGTAATCGGAATGTCTAGCAAGGCCACAGAGTAGTTCGGCTTTTGACGCTCCTTCGGGAAAGGTAAGACTTGATGTCTCTGAAGTCGACGTCAGTGTTGGGAAGTAGCGACGGAGACTATTGTTTTAGACGTGCTAGACCGAACGACAACTTCATGGCCGGATGGATAGTCAAGGACAGTAGAGTGATTCTAGGAGACTTATGAATACTTGCCATGAGGGATTTTGCTCTGTACGGAGTCAATGATTAGTCAGAAACCCCAGATTCAACTTCGGACCCAGGAATGTTGGCCTGAGTCTAGGTCCATATGCTCTTTCAGACACCCTATGATCCTAAACAAGTTGTTGCTGGAGGGCCAAGAGAAGCTCGCGAGTCATGATATCTGCATATGGATCAGATTGCGATGGATGCGCACTGACATAGTACATAGATACGGACTCTGTCCGCAGCAGTTTGATAGGTATTCTCTCACTCCAAGCCAAGGAGAGTGGCTTGACCGATACGAGTTTGCTGAAGCCAGCTGAGTTAATCTTGCGTTAGGATTAGTTACCCATTTGGGTTAGGATCTCCTCACAAAAACCAGGACTGTCAGAATGCCTGTCTAACCAGCGAGGGAGTAACTATGCTCATCAAATGCTGTACATCAGGGTCCTATCAAAGATAAGGATCAACCAATCAACACGACAATTGTATGGTCGCATCTTTAGTGCTGATCAGTCTTTCAACAGTCCTAGTGTCATCGACTGTCGGAGATTTCCTCAACCCACTCTCGCGTGGCCTAGTTTTAGTGTCTGATAGACTGCTGACTGACAGATGATCTTAGGATTTCTTTAGACGTAAAACGAACAGTTATCAGTGCGCATAGAAATTCGGCCTATTTTTGATGAGTGATAAGTCCTCCGTTCTCAGGAGTCAGGGGCCATTGTGGCATTCTTCTGGCTCTTTCTCAGCCTATCGTATCCCTTGACTCTTTTTTCAGGCCGTCTGCCCAAAACCTTGGAATTCCAGCAGGGCGGTTGCTGTGCCGAGTCCGATTGGCCACCCTTGCTGTGATAAAGGATCTAATTGGCTTTTCGGCAACTGCCTGAGTGGAGTTTTACCCAATCCTCGCCACAAGCTGGGCCAAATGGAAGAGAATAGGACAGACTAGTGGACACTATCGACACTATCGACCAGGTCGGAACTATAATTGTGCTCTAATCTTGCCCTAAACCGGACGTGTGGAAATGAAATTTGTCGCCCTAAACCCTTTTCATATAATGCAGCATGCTTAAGTTTCCACCCCCCTGTAATCACCACAGGGATCCTTCTCCCCTATGCCGATTCTCCATTCTGCGCACCCATTTTTCTGCAGCCTTCTGGATATTAATCCCGTTCGTGCAGTCGATTCCCAGTGTGTCGGGACGTCTCTATCGAATGTCCTTGCTGACATCAACAACCCACACCACGAAACAATTCTCCGATCACGCATCGAACAATCGCGCATCAATCGAACTCCAGATACGGCGCAGTAATGGGCCGTTCGGTTCCACGGGCACAGCTCTCACGCTGTACTTAAAAAACCAAAACTCTTAAGGTTGTCGCCTGCCATGTAACGTGGCGTTCCCGGGGGATGGCATCGCTTGTTCCCGGACTGAACTCGATCTAATATTGTTACGTAGACCTGTCTCGAACCCATTTAATCACTCACGGACCCAGCTGGACGACGAACGATTCTGGCCCCGATTGGCCTACCCGTTGAGATTCTCTTCGGGCTCTTTGGATCGTTTCGTCCGCAACAGCCGGGCCAAGGCCAACGGCACTAACGAGGAACCATATCTACTCCTCCTGGCAATGAATTATCCCTGCTCGGATCCCCGCCATCATCGCATCCATCCACTCCTTCTTTTCGCTTCGGTTGTCTTTCTTTTGTTGTTTGTACCAAAATCCACAATAATTTACCAGGTATCCGATCTCTGCACGATGATGATGAAGTTTACTTGGGGTATTTGAGCCCTGCCAGGCCCACGTCCAACCGGGGACGATCATCCTTGACAGGGATCGACATTCGTTCACAGATCTTCCACCCTAACTATCGTTTATTTCCTTTTCCGGTATGTGACAGCAACCATGCTGCTCGACATCAACGCCTCCACCTTGTCCGCCACAGGTGTGCTGTGCATGCTCTTGTGTCTCATTGTCAAGCTCTTTGAGACCTCGCCGGTACCCAAGAACATCCCATGGGTCCTGAGCAAGAAGGGCTTCTTTGGCCGAGCTGCGGAGCGCTTCCTCGGTGTCAACCCCATCGGATTCATCCAACAGGGATATGAACAGGTTGGTTTATTTCATGCCGTGCTTTGGCACTCGATGTATATACAAGTCGGGTTGATTGGGTGATTGCTGACTTCCCTGCAGTACTCCAAGAACCAGGAACCCTTTGTGATGCCGAGTGTGAATGAGGGCGATGAAGTCATTCTTCCCAAAGAGCACACCAACGCCGTTCTCTTCGCCAAGGAATCCGAATATAGCTTCAAGGCTCACATTAGCGACTTCTTTCAGCTCAAGTACACCAGTTGGCCCCTTGCCTTTGCCGAGCGATATGAGTTCTTTGTCAAGTTGGTCAGCAAGGACCTGACCGACACCCTCAAATCCAAAGCCGTCGCCGAGTCCCTGGCCGAGGAGGCGCGATCCTGCCTCTCGGATATCTGGGGCGAGGACACGGACAACTGGGTTGAGGTTCCCCTGTACTCTTTTATGGAGAAGGCCGCGGCTCGGATGGTCAATGTGCTGGCGATCGGGCCAGGCAGGAGTCATGATACCAGTCTACTCAACGCCATGACCAACTGCTCCAATGCTATTGTCTTTGGGGCAAACGTCATCAAGGCCTTTCCTTCATTTCTTCACCCGTATGTCAGCGCCTCGACGTTGATCCGAATTCTTCTGACTGCAAATAGAATTATCGGCCCTATAGTAGGACTCGCGAACCGATGGCAAGAGCGAGTGTTCCACGCCCGTATGAAGCCTATCATCGAGGCCAAGATCAAGGAGCAGAAAGAGGCCTATAACTCGCACTCTCTCCAAGAAAGACTCAGGACAAACGTACGTCTCTTGGAACTGACGCCATGTGATATGTCTGACATCGTCTAGGGGAGCCTTCTCGACTTGCTTATCCAAGCTGGCCTACGCAGCAAGTGGCCTGTCGAACGCGAAACCATGTGGCTAGCCTACCGAATCTTCATGATCAACTTCCCCGGTGTACATACAAGCGGTATCTCCGCTACCAGCGCCCTTCTCGACATCCTGAGCTATCCCACCGAGGAGGGGTTCATGGATATGCTCCAAGCGGAAATCGAGCAGATCGCTGCCAACTCGGACGGGTCATGGTCTGCCGCCGACCTGGAACGAGCCAGTCTGCTAGAGAGTGCCATCAAAGAGTCTCTTCGCTTTAACGGCGTCAACGCCGTCTCGCCTACCAGAAAGGTATTTTCCTCTTGTTTACATGACGTGACACAAGCTAATCTGATACTCAGGTCGTCGCACCAGAAGGCGCCATCCTCCCAAATGGTGTCTACCTCCCCTACGGCACCAAAATCGGTATCCCCCAATACGCCGTCCACCGCGACAGCGACCTCTACCCTAACCCCGACGAATACAACCCTTACCGCTTCTACAAGGAGAACGCCACGCCCGAGGAACGACGCCAGAACCTCATGACCAACACCAGCGACACATACCTCGTCTTCGGCCACGGCCGCCGACAATGTCCCGGCCGCTGGCTCTTCGCACATATCTTTAAGCTGCTTATCGCCGAGATGTTTCTCAAATATGAAATCAAGCCTTTTGCTACCCGTCCTAAAATCCACAGTAAGTTGCTTGCAGCTTATTTTTGTATGCGAAGCTAACAGGAGCAGGATGGGGTCGCTTCCAATTACCACCGTTGTCAGTAAAACTGACTGTTCGACGCAAAAAGAACACGGTCGCTGTTTACAATTGATTCCGACATAATATTTCCCCGGTCCCCTTCGTTTTGGCCGGCCTCCGTTCACTGTATATATTTCCTTTTCTTTTTTTATATTGTATAGCGACGTCGTTTCGATAGATGGATACCAGCCAATTGTAATTGGACACCAAGATTTCCTTTTTGTCATGTCGGCCATGCCTTTCTTTGGATTCGGGTGGATTCTGTCGATTTTCTGTTTTTGGAGTGCTATGGCAAAAGCTTGTATACTACATGAGCTCAGTTGCTGTTCCTTCGTTTACTGGGCGGTAGTTGGAATGGGGGCATTTTGATATTCTCGCGAGAGGTTAATCATGTTTCCAGGCTAATGTAATCTGGCATCTATACAAGAATTTATTAGTAGTAATGTCACAGATAAAAAAGACATAGTCAAGAATCAGGTTCGAAATCCCGCTGATTTTTCGGTCTTAATAACTTTATCACCTCGGAATCGAATGACGCCGGGTTAAACCAACCACATCGCAGAACCTGGATGTCTGCCTTGCGGAAGTGCCTTTCAAGCTGCTCAGCATGCTCGTTCGGCCGCCTTGCAATGGATACAGCAGGGTCCTCAACCTGCCGACTGGATTCCAGGAAGCATCCGACTCGAAATGACCCAAGTAGTGGAAACAAAGGCGCTTTGTAAGCCTGAAGGTCTGGTATATAGAGTCCCCCACCGAGAAAACAGGATTCGAGCCGTGGACAGCATTCGCCAGCGTTGCGAGGGAGGCTGCTGTGACTTTATTGGGAAAGGGGTGAAGGGGCAGGGTGTGCAGATCTGGTAGGCCACTGACCAGACGGCGGAAGTGATCATCACTGAACTCGGCGGCTCCCGGGCGAGGCTCGCGTAATCCATGTAACTTAAACTTGTCAGGTTGCTGTCAGGTTGCTGTCAGGTTGCTGAGACTCCTCAGAGAGACGAGTCTTCCGGTGAAATAATCATGTTGCCGTAAAAAGTGATCTCTAGGGTTCGCAGTTCCGTCAGTTCCGAGAGGGGCTGTATTCTGACTGTTTCCCGGGTATACAAGCCCTCTGTGGCTCTTAGCATCACGCGAGCTGTATAACAGAGCCGAAAAGCTTAGCCAGCGAGGGCACTGCGTGTTGACAGATCTCAATGTCTAATCTATTTAACTGTGCAAAGGGCGATTCAACTGACAACGCATCGCTTAACACCTCGGGGGTAATTTGTTCCAGAGTCAACTGCTCCAGTGTTAAAGACGCAGCTAGATATTCAATAACCTTGGAATCTGTCATATTGCGATGATCCATAGTGATGCGCATGCTCTCTTAATATGGGAGGCCCCTCAAAAACGCAAGCAAATCTTCCGGCGTGACGCAAGGTCCACAGCGCCAGAGACTGACCGTCCGCAGCATAGGACATTGGTTTTTAACATCAAGGAGGAAGTTGGGACTAAGGTCCCCCTCCAAGTCCAGCAGTTGAAGCCCAGGATTGATGAAGTGTGTCAGGTACCTGCAGTCGTCGATAGTGTCGAAATCCTCCTTCAGCGTGACCGAGAGCTCTCTATATTATCTAATTCAAGATCTCTGAACTCCTCGTAAAGGGCCTTGGGGGCTCCGTCTAGGTCGAGCTCCTGGATCAGGGGAGTGTACACCCTACGCTGATCCTTTGGGACTTTCATGAGGTAGATGTCTCTCTGTGCTTGCCAAAGGCGTCGAATGGCGAAATTGAAAAACTGTCGATTGACCCGGATCACGGTCGTAAGCTCTGACATACGCAGCTCGTCCAATATCGTCATCAAGATTTCCGGTGGAAGTTGATCCAAGCGTGCCATGGCGAGATCTTGGAAGACGCGATTCGAGCTATCCACTATATCCTCTGGAAATGCTCGGACTGCAAGAACGCACTCAGGACAATACTGGATCAGGGATCCTGATTCCTGAGAATCGATTTTTATACGAGACTAATCCTGCTCAGTCCCAGTTGTATTCACAACCAACACGTCCAGCGCGTCAGTCATGTGGTTATCTGTTCGTGTCTTTAGTGCGGAGGAGAACATCTTCTTTGAATTGGCGTATTAAAATCCAGTTCTTGAGTAGCAGAGTTGACGATTGCTAGCGTCCGTGCCTGGACAATGTGTCAGTCTTGCTCCGCGCCTCAACGCTGGCAATGCGTTCCTCAGTAACTTGACTGGTTGATATTTCGCAATTAAGGGAGTCATTTGACCTTAAACAGTACGATCCGATCAGGTAAGATATGATTAGGAGGTAGAATGAGGATGAGCTCATACTGTGAAATCTACCATCGAATTATATGATACTGTATTGTTTTCATCCTCAGCTGAGTGCGTAGATCCGTTTGTCGCATGACTGCCACCTGCCTGATTGGGGTGTAACACCAGGGCTGTCGCTGCATCACACCCATATTAAATATTAGATAGAAAAACTACAATTCCAAAAATTCTTTAGTAATTAGTTTACAGAGATCATACCATTTATATAATTGTATGAGTATGTGGATGGTCTGGTAGAAGATCAGTATTTTCAAAAGAAATATATATTTTTGATTTTGTTGAGTACAGGAACTATAGATATAGAAATGTGTCAGACACTTCTTACCGGATGACAAAAAGCCAGGTAAATCAAGAGGATCAGTCGGGGTTTACTGCTTAATCCCAACAAGAGACAATTGCTAAATTTTAGTGTTGATTGGATGCATGTTGACAGGTTTGGGAGTGGCCACAGCACAGGTACTAGGTCAAGAGGTAAGAGACTAAATGAGACAATATTGGGACATTGTAGATTATTCTTTGTCGACGATGTCCCTCTTGCATGTCAAGTATCAGGCGCCTTAGATGATCAGACCGCTATTCTACCTTGCAGGGCGTGTCTGCAGGCAGACGTCATCTAACATGAGTTTCTACGACTCGTCACTTGTCAAGCTGCAGATACTCTATCCCGCAGGGTATGTCCATCATCAAGTGGCGCAGCTGAATATGGGGGACATATAGCGGTGTAACGTCACCATTAAAGCAAAAGACTGGTTATTTATTGACTATCCATCCTCGCCTCTTCCACCAAGGGTAAGGCCTTCATAACGATCCTGAAACGTATGTGGTATGGAGACTTTCTACTCGATCCCCTTGGATAATTGATTATATTCGACATTACAAGACCTCAATTATGACGGCGGAAGTAGAAACCCTGTTCAACAGCTTGGGGGCCCGTTATGAGGCCGCTTTTGGAATGGACAAGGAGCTGCAGAGGTTTGTTGAGCTTGTGGCCAAAACTATTCCCCCTCGAAGCAGAACACTAGACGTGGGCTGTGGAACAGGCAAGCCTGTGTCTCACATCCTTGCCTCTGCGGGCCATGAAGTTCACGGGATTGACATATCAGAAGAGATGGTGAGAATCGCAAAGTCCCAAGTTCCGGGGACGTTCCAAGTGGGGGATATGAAGACGTACCAGCCATCGGCATTGTTCGATGCAGTCTTTGCAATCCGATCTCTATTCCAAATGTCGGCGTGTGATATGTGCTCGATGGTTATGCGATTTTCTCAGTGGATCAAGGTCGGGGGATATGTAATTCTCGGAGTGACTCCCAGTACCTCGTTGGTTCCGAAAAAGGTGACTTATGATCCCACATGGGATTGTGCTTGGATGCTAGATAAGCCGTGGATGGGGAATTATGTGAATGATTTATTCCTATCCGAGGAGCGTTGGTGTCAACTCCTGCGAGAATCTGGCTTTATCATTGAAACAGAACCGGTTTCTTACCTCTTCTCTCCGGCCAGCCAGGAACATGCTCCTGAAGCCCACTACATTGTGATGGCGAAAAAGGTCGAACGGGAGCCTCTTCTGGGGCCATATCCCTTACCCGGTCGTCTCAAACAATTGGAATTTCAGGAGCGTGAAAATCTCTTTGCTGATCGTCTGGAGAGCAAAGACTTCGAGATATTGCTTGAAGATATAGGCGACAGTCCGGAGGTTTTATGTATCGGAAAGGACCTACTCAGTAAGGCTTCTGGATCTTCTCCTTCCATCTCTTAGAGCTTGATGCTGACGATGACAGATGGACGTTTCCAACGCCGTAAATGTCGATTTGTCGACCTTCCGACTGAGGACTTACCGTTTGCCCCGAGAACCTTTCATACCGTGCTCGCCTTATGGCAGATGGATTATGTGTTGAATATGGAGAGAACCATTCAGGAAATGACCCGTGTAGTAGATCGACCCAATGCGAAGATAGTGATTGTCCAGGGAGGGCCGTATAACGAAGTGGTGCGACTTCTGTCTTCTGTCGCTCGGTCTGTCCCTGTTGGCCACCAGGGACATATTCTGCATTCGGCCATGGGCTACCTTACAAAATACGGGTATGGGGATATCGCTGTGCACCGTATCGATGCAAGCTATGAGTTCAAGAAAGAGGACCTTTCAGAGCGTTGCGCAGCCGCCGCGGAATTCCTAACCGTCATCTGGCATAGACAGCATTCGCAACGCGAGAGGATTAAGGAGGCGCTCGTGGAACGGCTGCAGCTTCTTTTCCGAGCCAATGCCCACTCGGTCTCTCACGGCATGGTTGCTATTGTTGCGCGCCCATCTCTGTTTCAAGGTGAATAGCGAAGTGGAAGAGGGATATCGTAGTCTATTTCCGCAAGACCTGAGAAGCCTGTCTCAAAGTGTCCGTGAATATCTTGAGTGTTATCTGAAGCTAGCTAACCCGGACTGCCATGAAGCTGAGGCTCATGCAGAGAAGGTAATGGGGCTCCTTAGTGGCCGATAATATAGCGCAGCCAATACCATAAGCAAGCAGTATTATTTCACGCGGTATGACCTACTCCCAATGATCCTAATCATTCTAAACGTGGACCCCCTCTATCACTTCATTCTGGCACAATGTTGCGGACCGACAGGTGGGCAACAGCCAGCTTTCTCCCATGAACAATAGAACCAAAACTGCCGGCACGCCAACCACCAGTCCCAGCACCCAAGCCATGGTATTCCAGCCGGCCGCATCTTTAATAAATCCGGCCAAGAATGGCCCAACAAGAGCTCCTGCAGACCAAGACGAGTTCATGAGCCCATAACCCAGGGCCGACGCAGCTTCCTGGTTCAGCCTCCCCGGAGCATTTTTCTCCATGTCGCCCACCATGGCTGAGATCTCTACAAATAACGGAGTCATCGAGAACGTGACACAGAGACCGATGACAGCGAGCAACGTACACAGAAGTACTTTTGATCCCACGGAGTCGCCCACTACGAGGCGCAGAAGGGTCAAAGTCAGGCAGCCGATGGCAAATGCCCCGCTCACCATGTAGCGGCCAGCCCTTGAGTACCTGTCGCAGATCATCCCAACGGCCGGGTTGAGCAGTTGTGGGATAAATAGGGCTAGAAAAACCAGACCCTGGGCCGATTGGTTCCAGCCAAACCGTTCCCGGACAAAGAGCGCCAAGACGCTGTCGAACGCAGTCATGATCATAGCTGTCACCATGTAGCTCCACAAAACCACCCAAAGGCGGGGGCAGGACAACAGAGCCGAGACCACTTCGGAGTCTGAGGCCAGCGTCTGCGATGCACTTGCCTTCTCTGCCGGGAGACTGCCCGGGTCGGCCTCTTCGTCTGGGGCTGGATGCGCGGGAAATGCCCCCTCCAGGGATTCGCCACGGGACTCGAGCCCATTCGTTGCGGGCTTTGTCTCAATCAGAATGACCCGGAACAGCATGTCGAGCCCGAGCAGCGCGAACCCCAGCCCAAATACCGTATAGTAGCCGGCATGCTCATACAGCGCACCGCCCAGCAGCGGGCCGGCGATCCCCCCAAGATTCATCCCCATTCCAACGTAGCCAAACGCTTGCCCGAGTCCTTCTTCCCCCACTGACTCTCGCAAGAGCGCAGAGCCCACCGTCCATACGACTCCGTTGGCTGCACCCTGCAGCAGGCGACTGGCAATCCAGAGCCCCAGGTGAGTCCCGACACAGAGTAAAGCCGTCGCGCCAGTTAGGACGATCAAACCGGCCATGAACGGCCACCTTAGTGAATTGACCCGCTTGATCCAATACCAGGTGATAGCTGCCGAGGAAATGGATCAGCGAGTGATCAACACGGATCCGGGGGTATCACACTCACGCGAGACGACCAGTGTCGACGCACTGAATACCGCCCCCAGAATCGATACCCACCGCTGGTCTATCATGGAGGAGCATATTAGCTCCGGATACAAAGCCAGGGAACTGTAAACAACAGACCATCGTTGCCTTCTATGACCCCTCGCTCGGGTAAGGCTGTCGGAATGACAGGGATAATCTGTGAGAGTCAGGGTACTGATGGAGAAGAGACATGATACGGTTCTTGTGGTACCAGTCCATAGAGAAAGTTATCCTTCGAAAGATATTAGTTGGCGTGCATCTCCTGCCGTCCCGAGACCAACAACATACTGTAAATATTGCGAATACTACAACAAAAACAACCAATTTGGCAGACGACCGGAATTGCAAAAGGCGTCGCTGCAAATGTCGACTATGCCACGAGCACGACAGGACACCCATGGTTGCAAAATCGAAGGAGAAGCCGACCCTGGAGGATTTAGTCTTCATTCAAGGGGCACACCTGCTCAGCCAAGTTCAAGCTTTGTGTAATCGTGTTACTAAAACTACCAAATCCATGAGTATCAGACCAACTGCGCTGTTAATCCACAAGAACGCGATCAAGTCATTCATAGTCGATGGGCTTGAGCATATATGATTGTCAGTCTTCTGGAAGTTCGAAATAGGATCGATCGTACCTCAATGATACCTAGACGCAAGGGGAACCCAGCTCCGTTCTGCATCAATGGCTCAATAGTACACGTACAACTGTTCCCTGTGTGGAGGACATTAGATTAATATTAATGTTGATCATACGTAGTACCTCTAATATGATAGACCGGTGCTTCGGGCTACGGAAGATGACATATCAGAGACATATCACTTGTAATGAGTGTGGAATGTGGCGTCAGCTGAGGTACATACCAGAACCTCCTGGCATGAAATGAGCCTTGCTCTTGTCCTGGAAAAGTCACGTTCAGCTTGATCTTCAAGTGTTTCTAGTGCAGATCATGACGACGCAAGGAACAGGAGATTCCACCCGAAATCCAGCAATTCGAGGGATCTTGGCCCAGTGGGACGGAAAAGCATTTAGTCTCAAAACCTTTTTCCTTGGTGGCATGTGTTTATTAATTAAGCTCCTGGAAGACAAGCCTGACCGGATATTGCTTCATTCTTGTTTCGTGCCTGTCCCTCTCATCATCGCGATCCCCCCTGGCCAAGTGCTCAATCTGCAGAATACACAATGGGCTCCTTCATTTCATCCGAAAGGGACTGCAGACCAGAGACTGATATATTCCCCTGAGGTCGTGGAAACCTCACCTAGTTAGTTGACAACCACCATGGTGTTGTCGACCATCCAATACCCACCAACACCCGGTTCAGCATCTCCCCCTACCCTTTCTCCACCTATTGGAACGAGTAAAAACCACAGAACGCGAAGGCTGGCAGCAAGTAGGGATCAAAGCGGGGATTCAATTGCCGATCATGTGTATCGCATATCGATCATGGTGATGCTCTGCGCACCCTCCTTAGCCTCACGTGTCAATACTTCCCGATGCATACAAATGGCTCTCGTCCACGACATGGCCGACATGGCCGAGTGTCTGGTTGGTGATATTACGCCGTTGCACAAGGTTATCACCAAGGCAGAAAAACTCGGAGGGAAGAAGCAACAACGATGGGATATATCGCACAGCTCTTGCCGGGCGTGACGGACATCAACACATTCACTGCACTCTTCCGGGGATACGAGGAGAATCAGACCCTAGAAGCGCAGCTCGTGCATGACATTAATAAGTTGGAGAGGGTTCTGCAGACGTTTGAGTATGAGCGTTGTCATCAGCGGGATCTGTCGGAGTTTTATCACGTCATGGATGCGATTCGCTTGCCTGAAATGCGCGACTGGGGGTTAATGATGATGGAGGAGCGCGAGGCGTTCCAAGCCGCTACGTCCAAAGGCGAAATTGAGAATGATCTGACTAAGACGTGACGATCGAGGCACTGGAAAGCTGAGTCTATGTAAACAGATTGAAGCTATGCAGATACCTGTGGTGTTGCTGTCGCCAGCTAGAGATATTCCATATTGGCTGCAGGCAGGATGTGTCTCTCTACCGCCCCCGTGAAAACTCGATCATCTATTCAAAGCAGACCTCGAGTTGTGAGCCAATCAACGAGTTTTATACTGACTTAGTGCTTACACCGGGATTGTCGAAATCCGGCCCAATTCCGACCGACGGCCTCATCTTACCTCCACACCTCACATTCAGTCTCACGTAAGATCATAAGATCCATCACTGTTCCCTTGGGCCATCAGCTTCGGAGCTTTCATCACGTTTGACCGGACTTCAAGATAACGGGATCGTCAAAGGCAGTATCGAGCGTCATATGCTCTCATGGATGACACTACAAGCTATGTTCCAGCACCATATGGCCGGGCTTGTGCCAACTGTGCTCGAGCCAAATGCAAATGTATCATTCCCGAGACAGGGGGCATCTGCGCAAGGTAAGTTACTAAAATTGGGTTAGTGAACATAAGTAAAGAGCCACACTAGGTGTTATCGATTGAATAAAGCATGCCAGCCATCCACCAGAGTCCGAAGAACTAGGCGAAACACATCAATAGCATCAAAAACTGTGCAGTTGGAGCAAAAACTGGATGGCATACTCACCCTCCTCAAAGCCCATCAGTCGCAATCGATGCCTGAATGTCTTAGCCCTGCAATACCTGATCAGAATCAAGTTTCTTCAAGACGTCAAGATGTCATGCCCCCGCTCCTCACACCGGACGGCAGCACGCCGCATGACAACTCTCCTGGTAGGTCTTCTACTACATCAGCAGGGCCAGCAGAGGACTATTCCCCACATACAACCGATTCTGGGCCAGAGGAAGTTCTGAATTCCTTTCGCAGCGGGCCTCTGAAGTATCTACCATTTGTTTATATTCCAGACAGCGTCAGTGCTGCAGAACTGAAGACGGAGTCTCCGTTCTTATGGTATTGCATTTGTGCAGTACAGTGCAAACATACTGCGCGTCAGTCTGCACTCAGCGTCAACATCAGAGAACAAGCAGCCCAGGCGCTCCTCGTGGACTGTCGAAAGAATCTGGATATACTGCAAGGCCTACTGGTCTATCTAGGCTGGTATTTGAATCCGGATTGACGCGGTTTCCCACTACTGACTACTCTAGGGTCACCTTCCAGTGTCAACCGCAAAAATATTCTCTTTGTACATACATCCAACTGGCAATATCTGTCGTCTTCGACTTGGGCCTTCACAAGTCCCCGCCTGATGGATCACATCCTGCCGATTGCGATTGGAATGGTCCTACTCAAAACCTCATATTTCCGGTTTCCAGAACACGGACCATGAATGAGCGACGCGCTTTACTCAGTTGCTTTCTCCTAAGTTCGTTGTATGTAGCCTGTATCCGGGATATCCTATCAAATACTGAATCCGTCCTGCGTCAGTATATCGCAATTCTTGTGCAAGCCTGATCCAATGCGTTGGACAGCGCACATGAAAGAATGTCTGGAAGTCTTGACTGAGAGAAAAGAGACCCCCAATGACGCAGTCCTTGTACAGCTCGTTCAAATCCAACTCGTCGTGGACAAGGTGATCAGGCGGTCTTGGGACGAAAGCGGACTCGCCGCCGAAGACAGCCCCCGGTTGCCGACATCCTTTTTCATACAAACGATGCAACATCAGCTGCAAAGTATTAGAAGCCAAATTCCCCCTGAATTAGCGAACAACAGTGAGTAGAAACGGTGTATATCACACAGAAATCCAATACTGACATGTGATTCAGAGGTTGTGCTTTTCCATCTATACCAAGCCGAAGTGACTGTATATGAGTCCGCGCTGTCGAGGTCGGCCACACGAGTCGAGAACGTAGATGTCACTCGTATCAGCCATCTTTATGCCTGTCTATCAGCAACCAAGAATTGGCTTGACCTCCTTCTCACCCTCGGTCCTGAAGAATATGTCTTCCTGCCAGTAACGATCATCTTCCAGGTCTCACACTGCCTGGGTACCTTGTTCTATCTTTCCACATTTGACTACCCGGGCTGGGATAAAGAAGCGGTTACACGAACAGCTGATCTCCAGTCCATCTCGCAGGAGGTAATTGACCGACTGGAATCAGTGGCCGAAGCGGCAGGCATTCAGAACGAAGGAACAGATGGGGATTCGTGGAGCAAGGCGGCCAGGATCCTTCCTAAATTGCAAGCTAGCTGGGCATCTAGGCTCCCGAACGCTGTAGCTATAGGTGAAAACACAGACGGACAGTCGTCGGCTCTTCCTAGTGTTGACGAGGACTTCCTCGAAGCATACCTCAATTGGCCGGATGTATGGCTGATGGAATCGTGGATGCAGGCGACTCAGAACGGATTGTGATGGTCTAGCTTTACACTTTGAATATATCCACAAGTTAAATTTAAATTTCTTGAATGAGTCATCTCTTCAGGATTGGGTCGTTGATCCATGTTCATTGTCGCAAATCCCGCCCCAACGGGATATATGAACGCGTGTACGGAGTCGGAGTCGGGATTGGCCCAATTCCGTCCGATATTGACGTATAACAATGAGACATTTCCCCTCAATCAGAGGCAGCTGCTTTACCGCTATTCCCAAGTCGTCAACAACTATCACCAGGATTTATTCACAAGATGCGCACAGAACTGGAAGGTGAAGACGCTCCCCGACCCGCCGACAGAAACAATGAGGCGTCTTTTATACAGAATACTCATAATACCCCGTCTGTGACCTCTGGCCTATCCGACATCAAAAAAGAACATGAAGTTATTCCAGGAGATAATGCAGAAGAACCGGCCAATCGTATCTCCAATGCTGGAGAAGAGCACCCGGAAAAGTGGATTAAAGGCATTCCCCTACTCATGGTAACCTCGGGGATTACTCTTGTCATATTCCTGATGTTGCTGGACATGTCAATATTGTCTACTGTCTGTCATCCTGCTTGGAAAGTGTGGAAGTCGTCCCTAATCTGGATTGAATAGGCCATACCGCAAATTACGAACCAATTCCGCTCCCTCGAGGACATCGCCTGGTACGGTAGTGCTTACACGTTGGCAAGGTAGGTCAGAATATCTTATATTGAGGGATGAAACTCTAGATATCTGGCCTAACCTGCTTCACAGCTCCGCCCTTCAGCCTCTTACAGGGAAGTTCTACACCTACTTCACCTCCAAGGTAGTTCATCCCTTTACTCGGCTCACAATGGTCGGCTGATTCCGTGCAGTGGGTATTCCTTGGCTTCTTCGCAGTGTTTGAACTGGGCTCCTTGATATGTGGCGTCGCTACTTCGTCGAAAATGCTCATTGTCGGCCGAGCTGTGGCTGGAGTGGGATCCTCGGGCATGTCTAACGGCGCTCTGACTATTGTTGCTGGTGCTGTGCCGATGCATAGAAGACCATGTATGAGTCCTTCTAGGAGAAGCTGATTAATGAAAGCTGACCTGTTGAGAAGTTTTGGTTGGCATTATGATGGGACGTATGTACAGACCTTGTCAGACCGCAGGAAACACACACTGAATGCATCTTTGCAGTGTCACAGATTGGACTGATTCTGGGCCCTTTGATTGGTGGTGCGTTTACCACGTATACTACATGGCGCTGGTGTAAGTTGACCGCGTCCCGTCCCTGATATAACTAGGTCTGACTCTTCGTGTTAACAGGCTTCTACATCAACTTGCCCATCGGCGCCCTAGTTGCTGCCCTCTTGGTCTTCACTCGCATTCCCGAGCAACGAGAAAAGGGTCGCGCGGTTGATGTTCTACCTACATTCTTCAAGACGTTCGATATCCTCGGGTTCGTCCTCTTTGCCCCCGCTGCAATCCAACTCCTGTTGGCCCTTCAGTACGGAGGTGATCAATATGCATGGAACAGCGCCACCGTCATCGGCCTGTTCTGCGGTGCGGGTGCAATGTTCCTTGTCTTTCTGGCATGGGAGTACCGCATGGGGAAGGATGCCATGATTCCATTCCACGTGGTTGGCAACCGAATCGTCTCCTGCAGCTGTGTGGTTATCATGTCTTTGTTCGGGATGACAATCACTGCGTCGTACTATTTACCGATATACTTCCAGGCAGTAAGAGACAAGTCGGCGCTGGTTAGTGGTGTTGATTTGTTGCCGGGTGTGCTGTGCCAGATTGTCATGGCTTTGGTCACAGGGGCTCTCAGTATGTCATCTGTTCTTTCTGTTGTTATTCGTGCTAATGTTGTCTTGACATAGCTGGAAGAATAGGCTACTATCTCCCCTTTGCGGTTCTCGGCGGCATCCTCAACGCCGTCGGATGTGGTCTTCTGTCGACCTTATCACCCACCACTCCTACACGCGAATGGGCCGGCTATCAAGCTCTAATAGGATTTGGTCGAGGAGCAGCAATGCAGACTGTAAGTCTAATAATTCAGTTTATCACACTGTCGGGCATGTACCTGACGGAGAAATAGCCTCTGATAGCCGTTCAAAACGCCGTCCTACCCGACGAGATGTCAACAGCCATGGCCATCCTGACCTTTAGCCAGACCATTGGCGCTGCTATCTTCCTTGCGGTGGCAGAAGTCATCTTTTCTCATGGTCTGAGAAGCACTATCCCGCAGTACGCCCCTACAGTCGACCCCGAGAGGGTGATTGCTGCTGGTGCGACTGGATTCCGAGGCATTGTGTCTGAGGCGAGTCTCTTCGGAGTTCTGCTCGCTTACTCGAAGAGTATCGGACACATTTTCTATCTGATTGCTGCGCTGAGTGTGGTGCAATTCTTCCTTGCATGGGGGATGGGCTGGAAGAATGTTGGCAAGCCTAAAGAGGACAAGTTGAAAGGGGAAGAGGAAGGGAAGGTGAACAATTGAAGTGGGATATCTGCGAGATCTGAAGATAGAGAAACTTCACTCATGTTATCTGTTCAGAGGACTAAAACATAGATTAGCGAAATTAATATTCGTCGTACGAAGATGCCTTACTCGAAATCAAGTCCGGCGGCTTACATGATTAACTGTGACATCAAATTCATTCCTTTTCTTTATGCATTTTACAAGAATAATGGTCAGTCTATTCTTCTTGACAAAGAAATAAATGAAGTCTTCAGGGATTAGTCTCACAAAGGTATCTTGATGGACTGCTTGCAGCATGTGACTCTGCGTATGCTACATGCTCGACTGCTTCCTCATGAAGCAGAAACCAATCTCATTTCCTCGACTTGGCGAGAGTATAGAGTATTTCCCTGCTAATTGTGAAGATCCTATCCTAAACTGTCTTCGCATCTCAGCTTCCTGCACTAGTCGATGCAACCCTTCAATAGGGGCGATCAGCCACAGCGGGTCGATCACAGACACTAGGTCCGGCTTTTGACCCCATTTCCCCAATTAAGAAATTCCCTTTAGCTGCAGTGTGTGATCATGGGCGGACAAGCTGCAGATAGTGCTCCGTAGTATTGCAGATGTTTCATCAGGTTACTTTGCCGGTGCCTTTGCCGGTGCCACTGTTTCAGGGTGATTTAGCTCGTGCCCTGAAACGATGGATACCGGACCCGTAAGCAATATAAAGCTTCGCCTTTGCCGGCAGGGTCCATCCCGATTTCAATATAATCGCTCGGATTATCTTTTCTTGAGAACAGTAGCCTTCACAATGCGCTATCTTGCAACTGCCACAGTTTTGGCTGGAGTGGGCCTGGCCTCGGCCTATACTGTCCCAGCTAACCTACAGCAAATCTACAACAAACACAAGGTAGCATCTTCTCTCCTTCGCCATTGCAATCAACTAACGATGTAAGACCGGAACATGCCAGAACAAGCTGCAGGACGGCTTTTCCGACGGCATCAGCGGCTCCAGCTCCTTCGCCTACTGCGGCGATATTGAGGGGGCCATCTTCCTTCACAGCTCCGCAAACGGCGGCCAATACGATAACATGGACATCGACTGCGATGGAGCGAACAACAGTGCTGGCGACTGCGCCAATGACCCCTCCGGCCAGAGCATGACGGCGTTCATGGATACCGTGAAGCAATACGGCATTTCGGATCTGGACGCCAATATCCATCCATACGTGGTGTTTGGGAACTCTGGCAGCTCGCCGACCTTTGATCCTCAGCAGTATGGAATGGAGCCGCTAAGCGTGATGGCAGTGGTGTGCAATAACCAACTGGTATGTTGATATTAACTTGTTAATATGATACGATGAAACTGACTGGTTAGTTTTATGGTGTCTGGGGTGATACCAACGGTGGAACCTCTACCGGGGAGGCCTCCATCTCGCTGGCCAAGCTGTGCTTTCCCAATGATGGAATCACAGGTGATAACGGCCACGGGGAGGAGGATGTGCTCTACATTGGTTTTATGGGACAGGATGCTGTCCCTGGTGCTAGTGCTGCCTGGACTGCTCGCGACACTGAGACTTTTGAGGAGAGTATCAAGGCCTTGGGTGATCGCCTTGTCGCTAAGCTTAGTGCGTAAGGATATTATGTCGAGTATAGTGTGAGCTAGTTGAGTGGTATACACGCGTGTCCATAGTCATACATCATGCTTGAAGTTTGTCATCACAATTGACTCCTACTCGGAGTAGTTTGAACCCCAGCTTCTCCATCCTCTGCCAATCAAGCATCCCATGAGGGTCACACAACACTTTTGGAGACTCCATCTCCCCCGCGATTTTCTCCCAGTCTAGACGATCCTCTTTGAACTCGTCCCAATCGGTGTGCAGGACGACCGCACCGCAACCGGAACACGCCGCGTGCAGGTCCTCTACGACCGTGACAGCATCCAGATGACCACTCACAAGACCTAGCGCTCTCTCAATCTGTTCTTTTGGCACATGCGGATCGTAGATGTCCACCCTGACACCAGCACTTGTCAGTTCCTGCACCAGCCGCGTCGCGCTCGTATTCCCGATCTCAATCGTATTCCACTTGCTCGCGAATCCAAGGATGGCGACATCCCTCCGCTCCGTTCCTCCAGGTACACTTTCGGTAATGTTTTGAGCAAGGCGCCGTGTCTGATACGTGTCCATCCTCAGAACCGCCCTCCAGTACTCCGCCACCTCCGGCAATCCCAGCTCCTGCGCTAAGTAAACCAGACACCCGACGTCCCTGAGCAAGCTCGATACAGAAGACCCGTATCCAGTCGCAGAAAGTGCCCCCACGGTCTGCTCAATATGCGTGATATTTGCATTCGTCGACTCGCAGATCGCCCGCAGAGACTGGATGCTGCTTGTCTGCTGCGCGAGCATTGCGCTCGCGGCGATCTTACCCAACTCTGATGACCAGGCGTCCATGGTGACTATGCGGTCCTTGGGGATCCAAGAATACAACCCTTTCAGGGCGGTTAGTGCTTCAGGCGACATATCCTCGGAGAAGATGTGGCCGATTATAATTCGGACTGGATAGAGAAGGTCGCGGATGGCGCTTCCTGGGACTAGGAACTCGGGGTTGGAGAGAACTTCAAAGGAGGCAGATGGGGATGCGGTTTTTTTGAGCTGTATAACTGTGAGGCTCTTAGTCTATGCTGGTCTAATCGATTCCCTTACCATTTTCTTGATTCGGGGGACAATTCCGCTTGGTCCTGTGCCGCGGTGGACGATGATCTTATGTCCGCTTGATACTTGAGCGATGGCCCGGATAGCAGATTTCAGGTTGGTCAGGTCGAGACCGGGAGTCTCGTCATTGGAGGACTGAGAATTAGTATGAATTGCTGTGCAGGTTGAGGATGGGACAAGCTTACGTTGTCCAGGGGAGGATCCAAACAGAGGAAGATGATATCCGATGCTGCTATTCCGGCGTGGATGTTGGTTGAGAAAGTGATATTACGCAGTTTTCGTATTCGCGGCTGGCGTAGATCTGATTGATGTGTTTCAAGCTGGTGACCAGCTTGCTTCTTTGGTATTTCCGATGCCACGGCGTGGTCCTCAAAAACAAGGTCATCCAGCCCAGGTTCAACGACTGGCAAGCGATCTGAATTCCACGCGGTGATCAGACGCGGATCGTCATCAACGACATGGAATTGGACATGTGGATTCTGAGACGCGAGAACAATCGCCGTCAATGCTCCTATAGTGTGTCAGGCAGGGCCTTGCGTGGTTCAGGAGGCGACTTACCAACATGTCCAGCGCCGATGATACACGCACTACGAATGGATTCAATCTTTCCCTCGCGCGTCGAAGACTGTCCATCTCCGACACTCTCAGAGTATGTATGGCCTCCAACAATGATTCTAGGACTTTCTCTGTCGGCGATTGCCTTGTATCGACGACGGGAAATTAGCAATGTAATGCCGGCCAACAGCACCAGCAACGGTAGGAAGGGCATTATGATCTAGATGTTGAATTGGCAAGGACATCGCCTATTCTCCAGCATTATCTCCTCCTAATAACACATAAAAAAGCGACGATGGCGAACTGGCGATCCTTGCTGGATTGTCAAAAGAGCGGTCTGTCGTCAGCCACTTTTGCGGAACAGTGCATGAACGGGTCTCGTGCAGCTATTTTTGAACAAACAGCACGACCTTCTGCCATTACAACTATATAATTGGGTGCCCGAAATTGGGTTGTCCACGTTATGTCGGCTACGTGTCTCGCTCTCGGCAGACGAACAACCGGTTTCAATGGCTTATCTATAGGCTCAGTCGAGGACAACACACACATACTGAGAACGTACCGGGTGAGTTTTCCGTCTACATTGTAATTGGGCGTTGACATAAATAAACATTGGCCTCTAGAAAATCGATCAAAACTGAGGATCACCGGGTATGTGACAATATTTCTCGCTTAGATGTTAGGCAGAATGCATCACCAGCCTGCCAAGGATATCGCCAAGGATATCGTCGAATCTAGGCATTGCAACCTGTCACGCAAATCAAACGATTAGTCTGCACCCAATGGCGATCGTTCTCGACATGCAATCTGCGCCGAGGCTTAGCCGCAGGACAAGTCAAGCCTCGGTGAGTAGTGCGAAAAGAGTCGATTGCTTAGTGCTTACCCCCTCCTTCGTTCAATTCCAACAGACTTCAATCACTAGCAATCTCAATCAAGCCTAACTACCGCTGCTACGGCAAATACACGACTATCTAAAACAGACGGTAAAAATGACAATCAACAGCCTCCCCCGCATCGCCTGCTTCCACGGCGGGGGCTCAACAGCCGCCATCTATAAAATCCAATGCGAACAGCTCGCCCACCTCCTCAAGAACGACTTCCAGCTCGTCTTCTTCGAGGGTCCCTTTGAGCGCAGCGCGGGACCAGGCGTCCTGCCCGTCTTTGCGGACTACGCGCCCTTCAAGTCGTGGTTTACGCAGGATGAGCGCGGGGAACGGGCCGATGGGAGCGGGTACGACGCGTCCGGCAACGACGGGGTCGAGCGCGTGTGGAGGCTGATGGAAGACGAGGGGCCGGGCGGGGAGTGGGTCGGCGCGATGGGCTTCAGTCAGGGTTCGCGCGTGGCGGGGGGCTTATTGCTGGATCAGCAGCGGCGGGATGCGCTAGGGATACCGAAGAAGACGCATATTGAGCTGCTCTTCGGGGTACTATGTAATGGGGCGGGGGCGCCGATGGGGTCGGATGCGGCTGAGTGTATGGCTCCTTTCCTTTGCTCTTGGTGTTCTCCGTGCTTACAGGGTTAGATATCGCGAAGCCGGATGAATCGCTTACCCGGGTTAGTCTGCCGACGTTGCATGTCCATGGGCTCAGGGATCCGTTCTTGATGCTGGGGAGGCAGCAGTTTCAAGACTATTATAATCCGAAAACGGCGACGCTGTACGAGGTCGATTATCATCATGCTATGCCGTGGGCGAGACACGAAGCCAAGCAGCTGGCTGATCACATTCGAACAATCTACAAGAACAGTGCGAAGCAATGATTGATGGCCTTGCAGTCACTATGAATTAGACAGTCACGGAGGGAGGAATGCATTGGTTGAGCAAACGGATAGATTTTCTTCTAGTCTTTGTCTATGGTTTTGTCCTGTCTTAGCTGCTACACCCTATGGGTCTGGTGGCAGTGGTGCTATTGAATCATATTCTATTGCTGGTGTCACAAAGAATAGGCATCACAAAATTCAGTCCGTCTATAACCGTTCCACTTCATGTCGGGGACATAGGACAAAACCATTTCATTCATGACATCGTACGAACCATCCAGCGAAGTCTCGAAGCAGAAATGCAACAACCACACAGCCACAAGCGTCATTGACACACCACCAGGACATGTCATTGAGGAGAATCCGGATAATAGTCCTAGGCCGACAGGAGAGAGACCACCTTGGTCCAGACTGCATCGAAAGCCTGGTAGGTGTTTAGATTGCTGAGGTAGGTCTGGCTGGAAATGGCACGCAGCTGAGACAGCAAGTTCTCGAGATCCACGTTGGCAGGAACATCGTAGACCATGGACGCAAAGCGATTGATGTCCTGGCCCTTGATTCCCTGAAACTGATTGGATGAAAGGGCTCGTACAAACTCGCTGTACGGCGACTCGAAGATGACGGTAGTGTCAGGGACCCCGAGGTAGGCAGCATCAGGAACAGTTCCGGGATTCATCACGATCTATATAGTGGTTAGCATGTCGGACTCAGAACTGTCGGCAGTTGCTTACATGGTTTTTCGGACCAAGTCCATTGCTTCCTCGAATGAACGAGGCCAGTTGCTGGTAATAATCGACTGTGGCGGCATCATACTCCGAGGGTGCCTCGTCCAGGAAGATGCCGTGCACTGCGAAGGAGGGGTTTCCGCTGGCGGATGGCCATCCCTCATAGGTGTTGATTTCCTTTTTGACCTCCGAGATATCGCGGGTTCCCTTACCAGTACGAACGTATCCAATCACCAACGCGTTGCTGTATGCTGTGAGCCTGGGGACTGCGGCCAAGAAGTTCTCGTCCGGCAGGGCGGTAGAGCCGGAACCGTTGTCAGGATTGATGATGATGGTGAACTGGACGTCGGGGTTGGAGCTGATCCTATTGACAATACAGGTTAGAGTTTGGCTCTGACGCGAAGAAATAAAGAACGTACAATTGTTCCATAGATGTCCAGGCTCCACCAGCTGGGTACATGTACCAGGGAATCATGATGTCTCCTTTCGACGCGCTGGGTTTAGAGGCTGAAGGGATGCATGCGCTGTATCCTTGCTGGACGATGGCCATGCATCCCATCAAGCCTACCAAAAAAAGAGAATAGTTCTCCAGGAACATGATTGTTGAAGATAAGTAAAGGAATGACTGAAGCTAGTACAAAGGAATGACTGAGAATTTAAAAAAGGAGGACGCTTGCCAGAAGCTGGTGGGTTGAATCCTTCATCATTCAGGGGACGGCATCTTTCATATATACTCGAAGATTCATAGCTCGATGCCTTTGAGGATCTGAATCCGAAAATCAATTCTAGATCAAAAGGACCCTTGGCTTCATCGGCTGCCATGGATTGGCCGAACGTCAGCGCTAACATCGGACAATTTCTGCAGCTGAAACAAATTCTCCGCCACGGCGCTTTTCTTGTCACTTCATTTGCATCTCTATAAAACTAATGCCGACTCGCTTACCATGTCTTTGACCTATACAAGGGAAAGGAATACAAGAGTGCCTAATCAGAATGCATGGCTGCATCCCCTCGTAGCAGGTGCTCGTCTTATTTGTGACACCTCCTGCATTCAGTCGATGTATCATACTAGTTTCCTGAGGACACTTATCCGCTTGTCCAGTGCTCTTATCCAGCGGGTAACTATGGCTGACTCCTTAATCTTATTATTATGAGTTTGTGGCCAGGGGATTATGCGCTACTTCATCAAAGGCTGCATCTCTCGTCACATTCAAGGACAACGTCAGCGCTTGACTGAGTAGGAACTTGCCTGAACGTGGCAAATTCAAAGACATATTGTGAAAGCGGCATTTCCATGCTTGCTACCACAGGAATCATGCACTACCAACAGGTGAAGTAAAGCAAGGTTACAGGGCGCTGTCAATGGAGCAGTAAGCAACATATGCAGCATGATTTGGCCATCACGCCTAGGTCACTTGCATCAGCCTTATGCTTTAGTTTGAGATCATTGCTGAGTTTGATGATTTTCAGCGGAAAGACCCTGTGATCTGTCTTGAAGACGGTGCGGACTAGGCGCTGGAGCAAATATAATTCATGAAGTGGGAATCATGTGAAGGTGAGAGTGATATGGTTATAATAGTCGATACTATCTCTCTAGTCAATAAGGTGAACTTATCATTATTCAAGGACCAGGCCCAGTCTAGCCCAGTACCTTTCTCCAGAGGCTATTAGTATGCCTTCATTTGGTATTGTAAGTAGAAAGCGCCAGACAAGAGAAGTCTCAATGGCTATCCTACCCTAGGGATAGCAGGTTAAACAACCTCAGCATGCACAGAATCCACAGGTTTCTCACCCTCGACCACACTCTGCTGGCGATGCTTCTCAATCTCCTCGCCAAACTTATCATGAACCTTGTGCGACTGCCACGCCTTGACATTCGAATCAAACATCATATCAATCTCTTCCAGGGACCGCCGCGCTGTCTCGGGGTACATGAAGAACACGTGGAAGGTCATGACCGTGCAGAAAACGCCGAAAATGATGTACGTCTTCCACTTGATGTTGGTGAAGGCGGGCGCCACGAAATAGGCGAGCGCAAAGTTGAAGATCCAGTTGCCGGCTGCGGAGAGACCGACGCCCTTTGCGCGGTATTTGAGAGGGAAGACTTCGGAGGCGTAGATCCAGGCGGCAGGTGCCTAGGGGCTTGTGTTAGTTCGGCACTCGGGACAGAGAGAGGAGGCACTCACCCATGTCAGGCCATATACGCCAACAAAGATATAGGAACAGGCGATGACGCCCTTTCCGGCCGCACCCTTGATCTCCCAGCGCAGGTTCTTGTTGCCGTCGATCTCGTCGACCGGGTTGCCGTAGGTGGCCATGATACCGGCAATGGCATAATGCAGTGCCATGCAGATGATCGACCCGGAGAGAAGCAGCAGTCGACGGCCGATACGGTCAATGTATGGCAGAATGACGCCAGTGGTGACGAGGAAGATGACATACTGAATGGCCGACGAGTAGAGCACGGTGTCACCGGGCTAGATCATGTCAGCCAACCTGTCCCCTATATTAACGTCGCGGAGCAACAAGAATTACCATATTGGCCATCTGGAAGATATAGACCACATAGTACATGGCCACATTCCCACCGAGAAGCTGCTGCCACACCTGGACACTAACACCGCACATCGTCCGCTTCCAAACCCGTGGACCAAACAGCGCGAAGAAGGAAACGTCTTTAGCTTCCCGTGCGATCCGCACGGCTTCCTGGACTTCCTCCCATTCGACCTGCACCTCGGGATGGTTGCGGTCGCCGTGCCCATGTAGCAGGGCCAGCGTATCCAGACTTTCCTCCCACCGCTCCTTGCTGGCCAGCCAGCGGGGCGATTCCGGAAAGAAGAGCAGGGCAACCGCCAGGATGAGACCGGGAACGGCTTGGACACCCCAGGCAATACGGAAAGCAGCCGGAGAGTGCACGCCCTCGGAGCAACCGTAGGAGACCAGGTACATAATCAGGATGCCCCATTCGATGGCCCACTGCTGGATGCCGACGATTCGGCCACGGATACGGGCGGGAGCCAGTTCGGCGAGGTAGACGCAGACCTGAGACGAGGTGATGCCCACTTGGTCCGGTTAGCTTATGTCGAGTCATATTGACTAACGACCAGGAAGAATACCTGAAAGACCGCTAATGACGCGACCGGCGACTAGGTGTGCCACATTCTGTGCGCTACATTGGATGACAGCCCCGATGATCCAGACGAGCGAGGCTACGAGCAGGGATAGGCGACGTCCAATGCGATCGGAGATGAAACCAGCCGCAATTGCACCGGCGAAGGATCCAGCAGACATGGAGGCAGTGATCTATCCCGCGAGTCTGTCAGTTTGGAGTGAAGAAGTGGACAGGGCTTGACATACGCCTCCTTGCAAGTTCGAGTCGGGAGAGTTAAAGTAGTCGAGGTACTGGTGTGTGCCTATCCACGCACTCATGGAGCTATTGAGATCAGCTAATGCCAATGCAGAGCACAGGACATCACATCTGAGGCCTACCTGACATCGAACCCGAATAGAGCACCACCGATGGTGCCAAAGGCGGCCAGGACTGTCATCCGTCAGTGATTGAGCGTGGTTGATAAGGCAAGGGCGTACCGTATATGTTGGAAATCCGATACATCGTGCCAGACGTAAGTGCGCACTGACCTGGGGAAGCCGTCAAAGTGACATTGGTCGAGTGCACTGGCAGTTTATATACGACTCGCGTCAGGCCCTGACGACGGCATCTCCAGGCCGGGTTCCACCTGGAGTCCGGGGATGGTGCCAGAATCGCAGGACAGCCGAGTAAGACATCCCGCAAGAAGTAAGGATCGGCCAATCCGGGAGAAAGCCGGGAATGCGGGAGTCCGGGGATAGGACCTGGAGACTTGGAGAGCACCGAACGGACAAATCATCGGCTCTGGGGAGAAGGAGAACGTGAGGCCGAAGTGCGTCACCGGTGGAGTCTTGTATCTGGGGCCATCCAGTCGGTTGTTTCGACGACGGGGTTTTCCCTCTTTATCCGTCGGCTGAACGAATTTAGCCGACTAAAAGCTGTCTTTCAAAGCACTTTTAACTCATGTAACATAAACAAGAGTCATGTTGAAGTTGACGATGTGTCACGGCATCAACTAACCGAGACGTTGTATCATAGTATCATAGTATCAAAGGCTTTTATCCGGGGTAGGATTCCTCTTACCTGCCATTGTCTTCATACCTTAGGCCTTTCACTCTACCTTCCACTCAGACTTTTACCCTTTCGACTGAAGACAGTATAACCTGACATCTCGGCAGCCAGCAGTATCGGGATGACCCGCAAGTCGGTCGGGATGGCTGCAATTCACGGCCGGCAGCTAAAGACGCCACCGACGACAGCGTCCAGGGATAAGACAGGGCGTATTTGTTGTTAGTCTTGTTAGTGTGTTTATTAGCCGAAGAAGCATCGGCGGCTGTTGATGCAGCCTTGTCATTACTACTGTTTGACGAAATGACTTAAGAAAGAGATCTTGCATAATTTAATGCCCAAATTCTGAAGGTGTCTATTTTGTTGATATCTTTCCAATCACCGACAATTTCTCCACACCTGAGTTACTATGTGGTGGACGGTTCGATCCCTTAAGTGACTACTGGACTGCTTCAATCTAGGTCATGAAGACCATCATGATCATGGTTCAAATGAAATCATCCACGGTGTGGCTGGGTCTATAGATTGATCTACTCCGTCTCATAATGCTCCCACCCCATCAATTGCTTCGCCTTATCCGTTGTCCAGAACCCCTGATTACCCGACATATCAGCCCGAATCTCCGCGTCAGGAAAGTACTTTCGCGCCAGCTTCTCGGACGGTATATCCTGCGTAGTCGTCGGCGCCACAATATTGAAAATCTCACACCCCTCCCAATTATCACATTTCTCCACGGCCAGCAAGCACGCCCGCGCGGTCGCCACGGGATTCACCCACCCCCAGAGCTGCTTCACCCCGGCATTCTCCCAGTCATTCTCGTGGACCTTTTGTACCCGTTGCAGCGATGACACCTCGTGGATGCGCAGACACGCGATCTTCATCCCGGGGAACCACTCCGCGAAGGCTTGAGCCTGGATCTCTGCTTCGCGTTTCGCCAGGGCGTACGAGTCCGTCGGATGCCGGGGGGCTTCTTCGTCGATAGGGAAGTAGTCGAAGTGTAGCGGTCGGTTGGAAAAGGCGAGACCAATAGCGTTGACGGACGAGGCGTAGCAGAACCGCTTGATCCCGACCTCCGCGGCGGCCCGGAGGCCGTTGAACGCCGAGTCGACGTTGTTGTTATGCACGACGTAGTCGTCCTTGCCGACCGGGTTGGGGATCGCGGCCAGGTGGATCACTGCGTCGCAGCCGCGGAAGGCCTCGACGGTTTGCTGGTAGTTCATAGCCACGTCGGCTGTGCGCATCTCGGTATTGGGAATGTCGCCAGCGGGGGCCTGCTCTGTTCGGTTCACCTGGACGGTGGCGTGTCCTGCATCCGCGCACACCTTGACGGCGGTGCGTCCTACGCTTCCGCGGGCTCCTGTGATTGCTATCTTCATTCTGGCTCGAATCAGTGTGAAAGAGGGTGTTTCGGATGTCCAGCGGTTGGTTATACCGGGAGCGACGACCCCAGCTAGCAGGTGCTGATATGAGAAAAGAAGGTCAAACGTCGCTCTTGGACGTAGGATATGGTTCGATGGAGAGACAATCGCATCCTGACGTCAGGCACTCACATCATCATGGGGTCAGTAGAGGATCACGCAGCCTGTAAAGCGGCATGCAGAGGCTGAATGCGTTGGGACAACGATTTGGGCCTCGAGCAGTCATGACAGGCCATCTTGCAACACGTATGAGTGTATGCCATGCTCTCAAAGCGTTCCTCGATGCAAAGAATTGAAGGGAGTGCGTTCAGCCTAGTACACTTCCTCGGACCTAGGTTCCGCACCAATGGATCCTAGGAGAAGAGATATTGACATGCACGAAATGACTTTATTGACGGATAAAGCACATTAGAGACTGTCATGAGCTAAGATAACACCCACACCGAAGACTCGCCCATGCATTGTAGATGTTTGCCGGATTAGCTTTATCATAGACAGTATAGAGTTTCTGAGCATGGTCGCTTATCCTCCATCTTGGCGATAGTCGACATGAACGCTATGTCTCATGACCAAAAACATAACAAGAAGGGTAAGCCCAAGTTATCACTTTTGCAAGACGAGGAAAAGCAGACAGAAGCTGTGAGCATTGCAAAGTCAAAAAAAAAGCTGAGGATCACAAAGAATCCACCTTGGCAACCTTAGGCATCAACTTGCTCATTCAAGCTAGTGATCAACCACGTGACGCTCCGTGAAATTCCTCACTTGGTTCAGGCCGAGCACAGAAGCTATCAGGCACTTCTGATTGGGAAAATAACCTAGAGAAATGTATCCTATGCAAGCCGTATATGCCTTTTACAATATCTCAAAATCCATATAATTTGTCCGTATAATCTGTCTTAAGCAATGTGAGGCCCCCGCAGCGAGGGGCACAGATCACGTGACATTGTGCGGGAGCCTCGCTTATTGGAGATTTGCATGACGAGTGTGCTCAGTATCATGGTGACTACGGCGAGCATTCTGTGCAACAATAAATCATCTGTAGCGAATCCAACCGGAAGAAGCGCATCGCGACGTTCTCCACAGAATGATCCTGAAAGAGACGACCCGGCTGGAGCTGCCGGCGGCGGCCGACATGCACGTCCACCTTCGTCAAGGCAAGATGATGGAATTGGTTGTGCCGCAGATTCGCAAAGGAGGCGTCGATACCGTTTTTGTTATGGTTAGTACTGCATATTTCTGTAGGCTCGGATATTGTGGTCGACTGCTGACGCTGACGCTGGCGCGACCAGCCCAACCTGGTCCCTCCTGTCACGAGTGTTGCCCAGGCGCTGGAGTACAAGGCCCAGTTGCAGGCCATTGAGCCGAATGTGAACTATCTCATGTCGCTGTACTTGAATATAAGTCTCTCGTCTTTCTTGCAGAGACAACCTGCTGACTGGTCCTTACCAATCCGTTACCCCCGAGACTATCAGGGAAGCGGCTGCAGCTGGTATCACCGGTGTCAAGGTGTATCCCCAGGGTAGGGCAGCCACTCCTCTTTCAGGGCTGCTTGTTGACGAGTGCAGGCGTGACCACCAACTCCGCGGCCGGCGTCCGCGATTACGACGAATTCTTCCCCGTCTTCGCGGAGATGGAAAAGCACGACATGGTCCTCAACCTCCACGGCGAGGTCCCCGGCTCGCCCGGCTCGGACATCACCGACATGAACGCCGAAGAGAAGTTCCTTCCCACTCTCAAGATGCTCAATGAGAAGTTCCCCAAGCTGCGGATTATCCTCGAGCACTGCAGTACCGAGGCGGCCCTGGAGGCTGTCCGCTCCTGCTCTTCGACTGTTGCGGGTATGTTTGCCTTGCCTTGTGTATCGGTTTATATGCGTGCGACTAACGACTGAGTAGCGACCATCACCGCGCACCACCTCTACCTCACCCACCACAGCTGCGAGAACCCCCTCGCCTTCTGCAAGCCTCTCCCCAAGACCTCCAAGGACCGCGATGCCCTGCTCCGCGCGGTCTGCAGCGGCGATCCCAAGTTCTTCTTGTATGCTCATGCACCCTTTCCCCTCATTCAAAGCGTTGCTGATATCATCTAGTGGAAGCGACAGCGCCCCCCACCCGCGTCTCGCCAAGCAAGGCGGCGCGGAGGGAACAGCCAAACCGCCTGCGGGCGTTTTTACGCAGCCCTGTGTCGTGCAGTATGTGCTTCTGGCGCTGGAGGAGGGCGTGGAACGTGGCGTCATCGCCAACGAGGATATTACCCAGGAGAAGCTGGCGAATTTCCTCAGTGTGTATGGACGTCGGTTCTACAAGTTGCCTGAGGCGAAGGAGAGGATTGTGCTGGAGCGGAAGGGGGAGGTCATTCCTGAGAGTGTGAAGAGTGAGGATGGGAGTGTGGAGGTGGCGTTGTCTCGGGGAGGAGACGAGGTGTTTAGTTTGACGTGGAAGAGCTCGTAGTAGACTCCGTGAAGTGAAATACAGGATATTCTTGTGAAATGAGGTTGTAGATAACTACAGGTGACTACTACATACATCATGACATGACCTTATATCAGCTACAGCCGTTAGAAATGCGCAGCGGGCGGGGTGTCTTTCCCGTTGACGATGGGCTCTGAGCTGCTATAACCACTGTCAGAGTTGTGGAACAGATTCAACTGCGTATGTATGTGTGAATTGTGCAGAGGTGTGCTATACACGACTGAATGCAGTATATACAATACAATACAATTCTATCACGACTTACCCAGTCTTTGCGGGCAGATCGGGGAAATCGGCCTCCACCCCATCGATACCCTCCTTGGGGGGACCATCATAGTTGCGGTAGCCCCAGACCAAGTACCAGAGCGCAGCAATGGTCGTGAACCCGACGAAGACGACACAGGCGTAGTTCATGGTCTCGAGGGTGACGACCTTGTACGTAGGCATGCAGAATAGAGGGATCGCCAGAAGACTCCATGCTGTAGACATGTCAGTAGGCCGCCAGTAGTGAGTTTATGAGTTTGCGACTGGCACGAGACTTACCCAGAGCAACCACATTGCAGATACTGCCGATGATACCCAGGTTGAATCTGGCGTTAGCGATATCCGAGCGACGACGGAAGAAGAACGAGACCGCGATGGGGCAAGCGTAGCTGAGCGTCAGGAAAATCACACCAACACCGGAGAAGGCGTTGAACGCGGCGGTGGAACCAAAGTAGATGGCACCGAGCGCAATCTCCACCGTCATTCCCAGCATCATCGCGTTGAGAGGGATGTCCAGCTTCGCGTTGACGGTCTTCCACCACTTGGAACCGGGGATACCGCCGTCGCGCGCAAACGCCCAGGTGCAGCGGGAGGCGGCCGTCACACATCCCACACCGCAGATGATGCCGAGAATGAGCAGAGGGAGGAGCAGCAGAAAGGCTCCGGTCGAGCTGCCAAGCGCATCTTTCAGAATCACGGGGGTGGGCTGACCAGAGGCCAGGCTCACCAGCATCGTGATATCGGGCAGGACAAAGGTCAGCGGCAGCAAGAAGCCCAAACCGGCAACGAAGTTCAGCACGATGGTCCCCACCATGGCTTTGGGCACCTGAATAGCAGGCTCACGGACTTCCTCACACATACTATCGAATATTAATGGACTGATCATGAAAAGTGGGAAAGGGATGCTCACGAGATGATCATTCCAGTAGCCGAGGTGGCGTATGCGGCCTGCAACAAACCGATACAGAAAGACCAGCCATCGGGCCAGCCAGACTGGGGCTCAAAGTCGGTGAATACCCACTTACCAGAGTGTCGACCATGTTTGGCGACAACAAGGACGCTGATGATCAGGGCAATCAGGCCGATCAGGGTCAAGAAGATGGCCGAAGTCTAGATGGGAGACGACGCATGAGAAGTCGCATTTGGGAGCCAAAATACTGGTCGCAACGAAGAAAAAAAAAACATACCTCCAGAATGGGGAGCCATTTGTTGCCTAGGGAAGAGATCGCATGGGTCAACAGGGTGATGGCGAGGAAGATGAGGTAGATCTGGTAGGTCTGCATGTCATCTACAATCCCGACACCGGGCGCGGATTCGAAGACATTGAGACAGGCGACAAAGAACAGGGTAGTCCCAAAGTTTACAGCCAGGGTAATGGTGATATTGCCGAGGACATAGGCCCATCCACAGATCCAGGCGGCGGCGCGACGGCACCAGGGGGGCGATAGGGCAAAGGTTTGGTAGTAGACGCCACCGGCAGTGGGATAGACGGAGGTGATCTCGGCCAGCGAGATGGCTACACACAGGACAACGAGGGAGACGATAATCCAGCCCCAGACGATGGTGGACGGGCCTCCTGCGGCGAGTGGGTAGAAGAAGGTGGTAGCCAGACCGTAGGGGACGGAGGAGAGGATAAAGCACATAAAGGCGACCTGCAGGACTGAACGATTGCGGGAGAGTTCCGGAGTATAGCCTAGATGCTCGAGGATGGCGTCTGCCGAGCCTTTGTCGGTGCCAGTCTCCATGATGGCGGCGCTGGCGGTGGTGGTTGTGGAGGAAATGGTGGAGGACGGAGGGGTTCCGGGCTTGTCGCGTGGGGAAGAAGGATATAGGTAGGTCGATGGGAAGGAACGACACAAAGATGTATGCGTCAGAGAAGCATACTCCTTTACAACGGGCCGGGTTGAGTAGACTGCGTTGGGCCTTGAGTGGGAGTATCGTGGTGAGAGCTGCGATGGACAGAGGGCGATGCTGACGGTTATTAAATGATAAGACAAAAAAATTTGAGGACGCCTGAAACAGGAAGATTTAGACTCTGCCCACGTGAGAAACGGCGCAGCAGAACGAAAAGAGAATAATTAATGTCTTAAGCAGGGATACAGCGGGGCATGATTCGACAAAGCAAGGTTTGTGAGGGCCTTGGACTCAGAGACAGCCACGAGGGAAGAAGCGGATGATTGGAGCAGACATCGCCCGACACGGAATGAATGACGACGGTGGAACAAGCTCGTTTAATTGCCTCGAGGCCATTTGCTGCGTTCATGGCTCGAGTTCCACCAGACGGAGGCTTGGAGATCCACCGTGACAGTCCGTCTGGAGATATCCGAGTTGCTGCGTGCATGTCGCATGCATTTGTTTGAGTGTAGGCGGTACGGACTAGTAAGGAATAGGATTACCTATTCAAGGAAAGATTTGAGTACGGCATAATAACCTTCGAGACATTATCTATCTGTCAAGCCATGTAATACGGGATAGGAGTCCCTGGACGATTTTGCCTGTTTGGGGAATAGAGTTGACCCGAGTGTTTTAGTTTGAGTCTGGAGGAATCATGAACCGAGTTACAAACAGTTATCTACGACTCCAGGGATCGAACTAGGAGTCCAGGACTCAGACTAGGACTGGATAGTGAAAGTATCCAACAGAGGACAATGATTTAATGACGCATGGAAAAACTCTGCTGATTTCCGATCGTATCAAGCCAATCAGATTGTGGCAACAGAATCGGACATTATGGGCCAATCATCAACCAGAGCAGTTGGGTAGTTTGATCTAATGGGATAGCCTCGGCTGAGACATTCATTAATCAGTGAATCCTCAGGTGTGTGCCAAGTGCTAGAGATTATACTCCGTAGATTAAAGAGCAGGTTAAAAGGAGTCGGTTCCTCTCTTCCACTAGGATTTAGTACCATATCTTCTGACTACCAACTGTCCATTAAAGGGCCACTATCCCAATAGCAAGAATCAACACTGCCATCCACGTGTCGATATGCATCCGGATTGATCCCGTTCCAGAGTCAGTGGTGGCGCCGTGGAGTGCAGCAGTCTTCACCGTACTCGGAGCAGCAGCGATCGTCGCAGTCGATGTCGCCGTCGAGGTAGCTGTCGAGTCTGCAATGGCGTTCGTTGTCGTCGGTTTTTCAACTACTTTCTTTGACATGCCCGTATTGTACAATGGCAGTGTATCATTCGTTGTCCATCCGCACTTCTCGACCGTCGCCCAACCATACGTCGAGTTCTGCCAATGGTTAAAGAGCACGCTGCTAGAAATCAACTCGACGCGCTGACCATCCTCGGTCATGCCCTTCATATGAATACCAAACTGGTAGTTATCGTACGGATATTCGTGACCGACCCAGAAATAGGCCAGCGCGCACGTCCAGTCGCACTCGCCGTCGTCATAGTAAGAGCTGCTCTGGCCGATATAGCAGTATGATCCGTCACTATGCAACAAAAAAATGTCAGTACCGGTCCCCTCGTTGGAACATCAGCTACATACTCATCTTTAGCGCAGGACCGCATCAGGGCATATTGCAGGATATGGCCCAGCGTCACCACTGGCACAAACACCTTGTCCCCGAGGTTATCCAGGTCATTAGTCTTTAATGCTGCGTCGCTGGCCTTGTTGCAGGTCTTCTCGACGTTCGCGACATACGCCGACAAAGACGACTGGCAGGTGGCCGTGCAGGTGCGGTCAAAAACAACCGAGTCGTAGTCCTGCAGCCACCACCGGTCTTCCTTGGACACGGCCAGTGCGAGCAGAAAGTCGTCGCAGTCGATATTGGCGCTGTAGGCGTCTTTGCATTCTTGCGACGTGGTGCTGGACAGGCTGGCGGTGGTGTAGTTCCAGTACTTGGTGGAGGTATCCAGGCTAAAACTCCACACTGGCACAACGCCAATCGCCAGAAGGAGTGGAAGAAAAGAATGCATCTCAAAGACGACAGGTGACTGAAAGAGTGACTTGGTTGAACTGAAGGACAGTGACTACAGGAACCTGCGCCCGTACCGACGACACCAGGTTGGGGACGAACAACCAGGGGCACTGCTCGTACTTATGACCAGCTCAGGTTACATTTTGTCAACAAACTGCGAATGGCTCGGTGCCGACTGCGAAGCGATGAGCTAGAGCACAGTCCGCTGGCTCGGCATGAACTGGTGGCTTTTTTAGCGATGAACATTGAGCGATTGAGCCATTAAATCACCCCATATCCGGTTATCATAAGAGAGGCATATTGCATTTACATAGAGTCATGGTGAAAGGAATTCGTAAGCAATAATAGATTGACCCTCACTTTCCGCATTTCAGTATCTAAACAAGCGAGCAACAGAAGGATCAACAGCAGATCATTGAGGCAAAGGATGCGTTGAGCTTGGATGAGGTGCCAAGAGGCTCTCATTAAACTACGAGTCACTAAGAGGCCAGTTCTCAGGGTCCAGTGGGTCTAGCGCTGAATGTTTTCCATACAGAGGACTCGGTTTTCCATAGTCTGCACGTCTCATTTTAGTTGTCCTCGTATATTGCCCCTTTTGGTTGAGCCGCACACTTTCTGTTTGTCCGTCGAAGCATGATTCATGGTCTTGTCGCACATGCGGCCTCGGATGCTCCATTGAGGTCTCTTGGCTCATTGATCTTATCCTCCGAAAGGAGCTTGGCTCGTCTGTTGCCAAGATAGCAGTCAATTCTACGTAACTCGAACGATGCACGGGAAAGGAGGATGGTTGAAATGGGCGGGTTTGTAAATATGTACAATCTATGACTGATGTCTACAAATACTCCAGGATAATGCTATCCCACATAAAGCCATGCCACCTGCTGGCCTTGCCCACAGCAAAGTCAATCGAGTTCCAGCCAGGCTGCAGCTTCCCTTGGGGAATTTCAAACTGGAACAACCGCCACTCGCCAGCGGTCGTGGCCGACCGATATAGACAGGGGTCGTTCGGGAGAGTGGTCAAATTTCCGATCGGACTGGCTGCATCGCCATTCAGGAGAATCGTCGAGGTGGTTCCCGACGAGTAGCCGGCCAGCGAGACCGTGAGGAGCGCAGCCGAGCTCTTGGCCGCCTCGAACCGGATCGACCACGTTCCCAACGCAGCCTGTCCGAAGCACCAGTCCGCAGTCCTGCTCTGGCCAACGGTGTAGGTCAGATTCGCAGGGCATTGGGCAACCAGCGCGTGCTCGTACGGAGCGCCGCCGTACTGGAAGCCCAGCGACTTGCGGTCAAAGTCGCCGACCTGGAAGATTCGCGTGCGCGAAGGGACCTCCCATTTGAGCGTGCCCAGCTTGGCTGTGTGCGACTCTCGCACCGTCACGTCGTTCTGTAGGAAGGAGGTGGCCACGTCGGCGAGCTGGCCGCCGTTCGACCACGCCTGCAGCCCGTAGTCGCCGGTGCGCACATCCTCAAATTTGAACCAGCCCTTGTCGTCGGTCTGCCCGGTGTAGTAGTAGGTTGTGCCCATGTCCAGCGCCGTCTTGTTCGGGTGGTTGTCGCCCAGGAAGACCGATGCGCCGGCGGCTGGTCGGCCGTCGGAGAGAACGAGTCGTCCGGAAACGGAGCCGCGAGACTGGTAGGCTTCATCCTCGAACCATTTGTAGGGCCATGCTTTGAACTCGTCGGCTGCGCGGGCGGCTGCGTCGGTTTTGGATCCGTCGTTCTTTTGCCATGTTAGTGGATCGTCTGATAAACTGGTGACAAAACATACCAAGTACCAGAGCCACGGCCCCCAGACCTTCCCGTCGGGAAAGACATCGTTGGACGAGACCATAAAGTGTGTGCCATGGATCATGTTCAGCTGCACTGCATCACCGGTCGAGCTCTCGCGGTGCACCATCAGTTCCTGCTTGAGATGGTTCCCGTTGTAGTAGTCCTTGCCCGGATTGATGTACCACGAGCCAAACTCATCGCCATACACCCCGTAGTAGTCCTGGTCGCGGATCCACGCGGTCCAGTCGTACTTGGTAATGTACGATCCGTCAGCCAGCTGCCACGTCTCGTCCTGCACCTTGGTGCCGCTGGCGATCTCCGCCAGTGTGGGAAGCGCGCCGTCCTTGATGTTTGTCCGTCCGTTGGGAAAGCTCGTATTGTCCAAGCGCCACAATGTCCGGAACTCACCCAGCGTGGGGAGGGCATGGTTGACAAAGTACTGGTACGCGCCGACCAGGTCTTCGAAGATGACCCAGTGAAAGTCGCCCTCTTTGGCGGTGAATTGGATATCGAGGAAGTCTTGTCCTTTTGTTTTTCCTTTGCGATAGATTTCCGCCGAGGTCCAGTTCAGGTCGGATTGCGCGCCATCTAGTCATCACTGAGTTGGTACATGGACAATTGAATGGTAGAAGGTCACTCACTGTAGCTGACATAGTGGCCCACGGCATCCCCTACCAAATCCTTGCCTTTGTAATAGAGCTTCACACCGTACTGCTGCCCAATGGTGACATTCCACAGATCGTTTCCGATGATGTGCGTGGCATCGTCGATCTTTTGCAGAAATGGCCCTTTGGCGTGCACGCCAGCCGCCAATGCCAGACTCACAAGGGATGAGAATAGCATGCTGATCGATTCCTTCGAGGATGCAAAGATAAACCTGCCATGGAGAGCACCACTCCAACAAGTATTTGTACCCCAGATATTTTCCCCACGTTTTGGAGATGCCAAGTCGATTTCGGGGGAAGATTAGCACGAAATGCGGGGTGTGGAGACCGAGGCTTTGATGCTGGATCATGGATGTATGCCAATGGTGGAATTATTTTCCC